TTTTAATTATTCTTAGTCCGTTCTAATTACTATTCGTAACGACAACCACCGCAGTACTATACCACTGGCACAGCTATATCAAAAGCAAACGCAGGGGGCGGGGAAACAACACTAAAATTTATGCAACGGTTTCCCTTCGTATACCGCACGACGTCAACAGGACGGAAGGAAAGTCCAGTAGAACTTTTAATGTGACGTGTCACCACTATAGAATGTCGTCTTCATCTCTAAATCATCGGAATACTGCTGTGGGGTCGGTCGGTCGGTCGGTCGGTTTTCGACATAGAACTTTGCACATATGTGTGGCAGTTCAAGTCGCCACACTCCATGTAGCACACAAAGCAAGAGAAGAAAGTAGGAGAAATGCATATTAGAGACAGTAAACAGAGGTGTGAGACAAAGGAATAGTAATAACGAAGAACAAAACAGTTTCATTAGAAATCATAAGTCACAAGGAGGGGATGCATCTGCGCCACTGAGAACGATTTTGAGCCATGTCACCAATCGTTTCCAACCACTGGTTTTTACCGTCCCGAGGACCCCAACCAGGAAGTCTGCACCTTCCTACGTGGCTTAGACTAACTGTTGTGGATTTCATTGACTGGTGAGGCCATGTTTTCGTTTGACCGCCGCTAGTTCTTTTCCAGCCTGGCCTTATATCAGCTAAGATTGCCCGTCGAGGAAGGCGATGACTAGGCATACGTAACACATATCCTAACCATCTCAGTCGAAGTAATTTCACAGTTTCGTGGATTGATTTCCCCGCCTTACCTAGCACTCGACGCCTAACCTCAATATTGCTCACCTTATTATACCACTTCACGCGGGAGATAGAACGCAGACACCTATGATCGAACACAGATAATCTTTTCATGTCTTCTGCTCTCAATGGTCAGGTCTCACAGCCATAAAGGAGGACGGAGCGGACTGTTGAGCAGTACACACGCCCTTTGGTCGATAGTTGGATATCGCGTCTACGCCAGAGACGGCGAAAACTGGCGTATGCGAACCTAGCCCTCTGTATTCGTGCTGATATTTCGTCGGAGATCAACCCGTTGGGGCTGATGGTACTTCCCAAGTAAGTGAAGCGGTCAACGTGTTCTACCACTTCACTTCCTATCTCTAATCTAGGGGTCGGTGTAGTCCAATCCTGCAGCATCATCTTACATTTTACAGGGGCGAATCGCATGGCCAATGACGTATGTGTCAGAGATGTCCATAAAAGGATGTATGCATGGCCAATAGCGTATGCCCGAGTGAGGGTAAACATAAAAGAATGCATAACCATCTGCGATCTATTTCCAGACTGACGTTAACCACCATGTTACTCCCATTTAGGAGAGGTGTATTACTTAGGACCAGCCTCGAACCACACTGTCTATTTTCTGCACCTGAATTACCTTAGTCGAGGGAATAGTCTGTTGTCAACTGGAAGGTCTGAAGCATTCCTGGCGTCCTTCGTATATTTTAATCCTGAGCTATCCAGCAATGTATCAAGTGGAAGACCTCTAGTTGTTGTCCTTTTATCGGTAGGTGGACGCCGGCGTGGTTGCTTTTCATTTTATATCCCGAAGTCGAAAGATTTTTGGGCGTCTGACGACTTATAGCTGCAGATAGTTCAGGTACCGACGTCTTATGTTCAGTCTCCCGCCATCTCTGCGTAGGAAGCTGTGACACACTTGGGCACATCGCATTGTTCGAGATGGGAGAGTTTGGAATCAACTTGTGGTAATGAAGCACATGACACAGGTCTCTTTGGGTGGGAAACAGGTGTTGCGCCCTCTCGAAGGCGTAGAGTCCGAATACTGCCTAATTTTTGTGGGGCAGGTGGTGACTATGAAGAACGTCTGTGGCCACTTGTCGAGGTTGGCTGTTGTGATGGTTACTTGAGAGCTAACCATAAATGGATGTATTACTATCTATAGTTTGTTTTTCCAAACTGACCTAGATCATTATATCATAAACCTTGCTATCGGAATGTTGATTAACAGAATAATTCAATAAGTATCTTTATAAAAACCGAATAAAGCAGATAAATGCAGTTTATTAACTGTGTACAGTAATTTTAACTTCTACTGATTTATTCGGCTAATTTTGCCTCTTCTGCCAAATACTATTGGTTAGTGACTATCATTACCATTGTTTTCCACACAAGTAACACAGATGTTCCTTATGAGTTATATATCTTATGAAAACTCTATTACCAGTCAACGTACTGTCCTAGATTCACTCTAATATGGTGAAATTTTACCACAGTTTCCTTTGGAAATTGAAATTATGTAGATCACAACATATGGGATCCCTTTGATACCGTAAATAAGTAATCAAGACAGCAAACAAAATTACATGATGCTATATACTGCTGATTGCTTGATATAAGTAGTTGGATAAAACGCACATGAACCGGTGGAGCTTCCTAACCAGATCGAAGTTGTCTAAATGCAGGGTAGCCTGTTTTACTCGTTTCACTGCGATATGGTAAGCAGGCACTACTGCCAGTGAGATCAAAGTTATTCTTATTTTGTCCCCATGGTTTCCAAGTGAAATATAGGCCTTCAACAGGACATCTCTATTTTGTCCTGTTCTCTGTGGTCCTCTTTAGCTGACTTCATGATTGTTTATAAACTCTCCTCTCCTATCCACACGACCTCCTCTATGTAATTCTCAGAAGCCCGACTACTCGGTTTCCACTCGAATGACGCCTTAGCATGCGATTTCTTTCAGCCTTCTCCTCAATGTGTTATCGGTCCATCTCCATTTCTTTCAGTGTATTTGCTGCACAGTACGTTGTTGATTGTTTCGTTCCTAGACTTCTTTGTTGCTAATTCTTTCCGCCTCGCCATCTCATCTTCAATATAGAGCCAGTGAAGGCAGCTGTTGATAAAAGTGTACAATAACGTGTTAGAAATGCTTTTCGTGATGTGCATGTCAAGTTTCTGACCAGTGTGTAAGAACTAACTGACCTGACATTGGTGTTGAAGATCCGAATTTTGTTGTTTATGCTGAGTGCATCCGATTTCAAAAATGACTTCAGAATGATGCAGGTCTATCATGCCTTTGCGATCTTGGTTGACTTAAACATCTTCATCCGTGGTGTCTCCTGCAGTTGAAAGAACACTACCTAAATTTCTCCCCTCGTTAGTGATTAGTGTTTGTTGTTGTTGGCGGTCAGGTATTCTCATCGCCCGTCTTCGCTATGGTTGCCTAGGATCCTGCCTTCGCTGTTTCTTCTGACTTGTTGGTTTTCGTCTGTAGGTCTTCGACTTTGTGGGACACAAGGCATAAATCTTCCAGGTCTTCTGTAGTCTTCTTGTCGGTTCAAAGTGTTCCTGTCTTCTTGCTCCCCACGGTCTCTTGTATGATCCATTCCACGACAGTCAGGAAGATGATTGGTGATAGTAAGTATCCTTGTCTTACTACTGTCTTCACTTCAATGACTTCACTGAGTGTTCGGTTGTGATTCATTTCACATGTGTCATCGCCATATATAGCTATTGAATGAGATTGTGTGGTGTCAAACTACTCATATCAATCAATTAGTAGTACATGCCATAACGATGCATATCTCATAACAATATCCATATGCAAAGTAAAATTTGGCAGGCTAAGTCAGATGAAAATTATGATGACGTTGATTAACTTATAAGTAATTAAACGAAAAATGCTACAATTTCTCCACTCGATGTCAAACACTTTAAATAGTAATGCAAATAAAAGTAACAACAGTGGAGTCGCATATAAAGAGAGAACTAATTCAGTAGATTTTTCTTCAAGAATTGCATAGCGTTTAATGGGAAACCAATTAAATATGCGCGCGACTTCATGTAGTGTTTATTTGATACAATTGCACGATTAAAACAATAAGAAATGCAAAAGAATTTAAGCATTTTCAAGGATGGAAATTCTGATAGCCCAGTGATTCAAGCAGGCCTCCTAGTGTAACAACAGAAGACAAGGGCCAGGCAACAGATCGTTTATTAAGGAAATCAACGCATATTTATATATTTTCATGTACATTATTATAGTTTAGTTAAGCAAACAAACACAGTCTTCTGATTGGTTGTTTCTCACTTAAAGTTAATCTTTCATCTCTTTGTGACTGTTTCTTGAATGTCAGATCATCTATATGTTAACTGTATCCGCCTACGCAAAGTCTGCTGTGGTCGGTTTTGAATCAGTCTTTGTTCATATTTTCTCACGACAAATCTTGAGAACGAAAACATTGACGTAAATTACTGTTTACCAATTTGGCTAGTAGACAGCTCTCACCACACTAGTAGTAGCAGCAGTAGTTGATTGACTGTAGAGCTAGGTACATCTACCGTAAACAGCATTTGCTATCTAGACATATCATTGAACACTTTACCTCACAGTTTTACAAATGAGAACCGACAGATCTCCCAGCAGCTTTACCCTAAACCATCTGATCGAGTCTGCTCATCAAGCTAACTCATAAACCAACTTCAAAGTCATATAGAGAATACTCGGGAGTTTAATTTTATTTTAGTTTCTACTCGATTAACCCTCTCTATATTATGTAGTCTGTTATCTTTGGAAGTTCTCTTTTCGTTGCTAAGACAATTTAATATGTATATATATATATATATATATATGTTCACTACCAATATCCTTGTTCCTTTTGAATGAAGATACTGCAATACCTTCTAAGGTATCTAGCTGTGTGCCTGGTAGATTGGTAAGCACACCAGACTAAATAAACAGTACGTCTTCAGCTTAAGGGTATAGTGCTGGCTGACTAGTTCGGTTCCCTACCGACTCACTCCTTAACCTCGCCTAACCGGTATGAAGTTGGGGAAAGAGGAAGTTGTTTGGCTTGAGGCTAGCAAACCCCATCTACCCCATAAAATAACACAAGCTCTACCGCAACTTCAAAGCTTTAAGTTTTGAAGCCTTATGTTCCGCTAGGAATGCAAAAGGAATAAAAACAGGTGTATAATCGGTTTCTTTGTTTTCCTCTTCTTTCACCCCTTCAGATTACAATGCTCACGACTACTTCTTCAAAGGATTTTATCGCAACTTCTACAGTTAATGGAGGGATTACTATATGGGATTTATCATATTTTAATCGAGTGAGTTAGTTTGTTTATTGTGTATATATTTACTATATGTAGTTACTAGTTGCATTTTAAGACCACTTTGTTGCGAAATATATTGAGTGTAATTGTAGAGAGTGTCTGTCATCTGTCTGAATCAAATGTTGATGACTGACTGACTGGTTTCAACATAGAACTTTGCACAGAAGTACAGCAGTTCAAGTTGCCACACTCCCTCCATGTAACACACAAAGCAAGAGAGGAGAGTAAAGCGAGGTTCAAAAATGAGATAATACACAGAAGTGTGAGGGAAAAGGCATAGTAATATGGAAGAACAATAGAGCTGGCTTTATTGGGTATGATAAATTACATGTTTCCTATCAATGATCACGAAAATATTTTTTATGATAAGTAAAAAATGGTTAAAATGAAAAAGAAAGTCCAGTTTTCGATGGAATTTATACTCTCAATTCATACATGATTTCAACAGGAAGAAACATCACTTAAGAAACCACACAAAAAGAAAAATAGTGGATTTGTCTTAGTTTAGGTGTATTCAGAAACATACACCAACAACCCAATCAATCAGGGGATAAACACAGAGACTACAAGTTATGAAACAAGCACGTTTACCATTTACCTACTACGCTGCAATCTGATGACTCATGGATTCTAACTGAAGTAGAATCGGCAACACTATATTACACACGTCTACAAGTTGGATCAGCCTTACCGGTAATGTGGCCTAACATAATAATCAATATGCCTCAAACATAAATGCATAGTTGTTTAATTCTTGTTAGACAACTGGAGGAAATCAGCAGAAAGCCTTGATAGACCTGGATTTCGTGCTTGTCAACACTCTTACCAGTCAGTAAGGCATATCTGCAACTCTTGAGAAACTCATGTCCCCTTTGAGATCCGAACTCATGTCACCTAGTAGTAGTGCAGTCAGATATTCTACCACTGAGCTATTCAGACTCGCGACTGGTCTCCTATACGGCTGTAATGGATACTTTGATTGGACACCAGGTGGTAACTGGTGTCATGGATCTAATCCTTCGATTGATGCGGAATGAATTCTATCAGTCATGCTTAGAATGTGACCAGCATGGTAGGTGACTGGCCATCACGATGGACTTTGAATTGTTGTCAGATGGTTGGAGGCAATCGGTAGTGTCCAATGAAAGTATCTATTACATCCCTATAGGAGGTAGATATTTTATTATAATTACTGTCTTGAAAACACTGTTCCCTACCATTTGAAGTTTTAACCTTTGTTTTAATCTGTTTTTTTTGTTGTTTAATCTCTAGCGCACTTTGGAGTTCAATCTTGTGGATGTATTGAATGCCTCCATTCTCGATGTCAATAAACGTATGTTGGTGTGAAGCATTTTTTATGTAGACATTAGATATTCTATTGTGTACGTCGATGGCATAGCGGTTAGGACGCTCGCCAACTATGCACATGGTCCGGGTTCGATCCCGGTCGACGCACTCCTTTACCTCGCTAACCCAGAAATAATGCTGGTAAAGAGGAAAGGTGGAGAGTAAATCTGTAAAAAACGATATTCTATTCATACAAGAAAGCAGTAAGTAAAGTAAACCAACCAAGAACTTATTGCTCAGCTTTGAATAGGTCTTCGATAGCCTTGACCGCGAAGTAATTTGGAAACTATTTCAACACTGGGGTGCAGTGCCCGAAATCTTTATCAGCCTCGCTAAAACGCCATATGCCAACGCCACGTGTCAGGTTATCCATAACGAACAACTTAGGAAGGCTTTTGAAGTCAATATAGGCTAACTACTATCACCGATGATGTTCCAAAGTGTGCGACAGACCATGCGTCGGGGGGGGGGCGAGAAGACAGGAATACGTTGGACCGATAGGAAGACTGTAGAAGATCTGGATTTTGCGGATGATTTATGTTGGATGTCACATAAATTTAAGACAAAGTGGAGATCTGTTATCGGAGGCCTATATTCCACTTAAAAAACCCTGGGGAACAGTCATAAATAATGAAAAAAATTATCTATTTAGATTGTTATTTACGGTGACTACTTCCCTCTTCAGTTTAATTATTTATTGATGTGAAAGCCTTTTTCAGATAATCTTAGTTGGGTGGGTTGATTTGTCGTTTTATTATAATTGAAGTGCAAATACCGTATAGATCACAAAATTGTAGCATGCTGATTATTGATTTCGGTTTCCAACTATATCTCATAATGTCTTGAGCTACTATTTTGAATAATCTATCTGACCTCATCCAAAGGGAATCGTGATGCACAACAACAGATGCTAGCCCAAAACAATATCCTTTGCCCGACAAAGTTACGTCACTGACTAAACATCCTTTCCCTCTTTCTGCTTAGTCTCAAGGTGAGCAAACGCAGAGCGTTGTGCGAGGTTTGGAATGGCATTCATGGCACACATCACAATATGACAAGGCGATCTCCACCATGACCAAACACACACACCTCGGATGTTAGGATTACTTACATGGTGATCCCATCAGGTATCTGAGATTCCACAAAGGCAGCGTTGATCGAATATTCAGAGTCTCTGTATATCGTCAGCTCGAAAAGACTAGTTTTTGCAGGTGTACAACAAGACTGCACACAACGTAACATTGTAAACTCAACCTTTGACAGCCAGATTAATATTTTGATGGTATCAGAGGTGGTGTAAGCAGATGTATGTCACTCTGGATTTCACCATAAAGTTAGAGATCTCACCTGTCACACATCCGTAAGCACTCATGTAACTTCCTAGGTACAGGAACTTATCTATTACTTCCTCTGATCCATTTACGGCAGTGAGTACAAGTACAAGCTCCTGCCAATCTTCAGTCTATACTTTAGACATGTGATTAACTGAAATATAGTCAATATGTTCAATTTGTTTAGGGAAGTGTAGCTTCTTCCACCAATTACTGTTTTTCTGTCTACTAGGCTTTGGGCTACATTTGTGACCTGTTCGTCAGACATAATAATGTTAGTTACTGATGTAATTCTTCACCAAGTTACGAAGTATACTTAGTGTATTTCTGGTTCACTTAGACGAAATAGGCGAGTACCAGTGGTGTGATAGTTCGATAGTTATTTTATTTAATCACCTGGTTACGTTCTCTTTGAAACCTTCCAGACTAAAACAAATAAAGCAGTGTTTGAATTTAAAAGTGAGTGTAGAAATCCAACTTCTTACGTCACGTTCAAAGATTTCACGCTTGTTGGTCGTAATTTTGTTAAAGTAAGCCGAAGCCATGTGATTCCTATTCGTTATGGAAGCGTTCATGGTGCCTGACTTCGTGATAGACTGCACAAAGATTGTATAGAAAGTGACTGCAGTTGTAATTAACTAAATAGAGTATGCTGGTAGGTAATTAACCATAACCTCAGATAACGATTTTATTATGTGGTAAATTGGTAGAAGTAGGGAAGCTTCATCTACTATATCCGAACACAATGAGTTTATTTTAACGTTATGAAAAAGCTAGCTGTCTTTGATCATAGGTGTTTGTGTTCTATCTTCTGTGTTGAGTGGTATAATAAGGTGAGCAATGTTGAGGTTAAGCGTCGGTCGAGTGTTAGGTAGGTGGAAGGGGAAATCAATCGATGAAGTTGTGAAGTTACATCGACTGAGATGGTTAAGACATATATTACGCATGCATGCCTACCCATCGCCTTCCTCGACCGACGGACAATGTTAACTGACATAGGATCGATCAGATTGGAAAAGAGCCACTGGTGGTCAAACCGAAACATGGCGTCAGTCAATGAAATCCACAACAGTTAGTTTAAGCCAGTCATGCAGGGAGGTGTAGACTTCCTGGTTGGTGTCCTCAGGACGGTAAAAACCAATGAAGGCTGGAGACAATTGGTGATATGACTCAAAATCATGTCCAATGGCAACCTTTATTATGTTAGATGGAGTTTGAAAAGTTCAATTTCTGTGTCTTTGTGCAAAGTTCTATGTTGAAACTCAGTCAGTCCAATGCTAATACAGTGTGATCATTATTCCCTCTAGCTTTTATTCACTGTAATTTCATATTGCTTGTTATCCTAACGTTGGTGATCTATTGGTGAAATGCTCTCCAGCCATGTGACACATTCCTAAACTTCGCCTACTTTTGCTAACTGATAGTAAGCCTGGAAAAGAGGGAAAAGTTGAATGTGTGAGGCTAGTCAACTACACCGCTGTAAAAAGGGGAATACCTTTGATACTGAAACTTCAAAGTTTACAGCCCTTTCGTATATTCCACTTGGAATGCAAAGGAATAATGAAAAATAAATAAATAAAGATTTTATGATATCTTTTATAGATATGTAATTCATGTATAGTGGATTTCACCAATTGTTGTTCAGATTTATGCGTCGTTTTGTTGTTTACATATCTTTAGCTCTTTTTCCCACTTTAATAAATTGAATAGTTAGTTGCATAATTGAATTTCGCACAATTTTTTTCTTCTTCTTCTGTTAATTAATATCCTTCTATGAAATTAGGTGTCAGCAAATCTCAGCTGGAAGTACACTGTGGTTGTCTACTAGTATCCAATTCCTACTTACCTGAATTAATCTGTCTTCCAAAACCACCGAAACTCCATCATTTAATTTTAGGTTGTTGTTTACCGAATTCTGTATATAACGAATTAAAGCATACTTTGAATAAAAATTCTTCTTCTACTGCTACTGCTACTACTAATGTCAACAGTTTTGGATCACATAAACTATGTCTCTTAGTTATACAATTAACTCCATTGAATAGTGAACAATTAATGTGGTTATCAGATTCTTTGTCAGCACCTACGTCAGTAAAATCATTCGTGTATTCGTCATCAACTTCTGGCGCAAATATATTCTCTCTGCACTCAGTCCCAGTGGACCTAATGAAATTCCTTCCATTGATTGGAAATGATGGGCATACAATGGAAGATGAAGACGAAGAAGAAGAAGAGGAGGAGGAGTTGGATGAGGAGCAGGAGGGAGAAGAAGGTGAAGATGATTATGATGCTGGTGATGGTGATGACTATGACGATGAATTGGCTCAAATTGATTCCAATGAGTTTAAATTGCAGAAAACTAACCTTGTAGACGATGCGACACTTTCACCGACTAGTTCCGGTGAAGCTACAATGACTCAGTCCCCGTCTACTTCACAGGTAAGTAGAGAAGATTTGTAGCTCAGGTGGATGATTTTGATTCGGTTATGTTCTCTGAACTGCGGAGCTTTCATTGTCCTCCTAGACAACATCTTTAGCGCAAGCCTAAATATGAGGTGAACAAACACTGTCAGGAGGGAAAATTATCTATCATTCATGGAGAAGTAAAATAAGTTCACTTTATATTGAAGCCTGTCCTGAAGACGTCTAGAAGAAGGACAACAAAAGCCTTACAATTAAATTAACCGGCTCAGAGGGCATTACCAAATCAATATATATATATATATATATATATATATATATATATAATAGCTTTATTCTGAACAGTGTTTATATAATGTACAGAATTTCCAGCAGAAATTGTTGCATAAGGGTTCCTCTCTATCCAGGTTCTTCAATTAAAACAGTAACTGACAGTGAATCGCTTGACACATTGCTGTTTTTGACCTGAAGCGAAAACCAATTCCTTATAGTATTCCTTCTTTGCCTCTTTTTTGCGAAAACAGCACAGTATTTGTTTGAAAGCCAATTAAGAAAGGTGGAAGAGTACATGTTTTCACCCAAGGACAATTTCTGAATGATTGAAGACTGTAGGTAGTTGTATTTCTCAGGCAGTGGCAACTTGTACCAAAAATCTCAGCGATAGTTGCCACTCACGATTTTAATCTTTCTAAAGTGTAGTAGAAACTTTCTAATCAGCAAGTTGTAGTCACTTTAACTACCCACGAGAGTAGAAAACACAAATAAAGATCATATGCTAGTAGATTAAAACGAACTGAACACGAGGAACTTTATACAGTATTATGATGGAGTATTTCGGTAGCCCAGGTTTCAAAGAGGCCGCCTCTGATTTATATATATATATATATATATAATTCACGCCAAGCTGTTGAATGGAGCCCGAATGTTAAGTGACGCGTTGGGCGTCTGAGGGTGACACGAAGATCATTTGAAGAGAAGACGAAAGCTTGTAAGCAGTCATGGAACCAGCTGATTGTAGCGGCATAGGACTGAATGCAATGGAGTTGTTTTGTTAAAGCCCATTATTCCACTTGACACCCAAGAAATTATATATATATATATATATATATATATATATTTGAGGAAGCATCGTTTCAACAAGAGTCAGAACAGATGAGGATACCAAAATCAGAATCGGAAATGCAAGATACGCCTTCATCAACCTGAAACCAGTTTAGAAATCTTCTGCATTCCGCCTCAGGATAAAGAACAAGATTCACGTTTTCAAGACAACTGTGAAGTCACTTCTGCTATATTTGGATGATAAACAGTCCACAAGTCACCAAAAGCATCTCCAACAGATTGCAGACTTTTATCAACAACTGCCTTCGCTGGCTCTATATTGAAGATCAAATTGCCAGCCAGAAAGAATTAGCACCGAGGAACTCGGAGAAAAAACCAATCAAGAACCAATTGCTCAACAAATTTGCTGAACAAAATGTAGGAAGTCCTACTCACTGCCTTCACGTGGCGGAGGTGTTTTTCACCAAAGTGAGAGGGCGAAAGCGGATGCCCGGCGCTCTTCTCCGGGTTGACTGTCCATTGGATGACAGTCTAGGGGAGATGGCTAAACCCTGATTCCAAACCTCCAACGACTGGCGTATGAAGCTCACTGGAGCTCACCGGCAGACGTATGGACAAAGGGCTTGTTGGATGTCCTGGATGTCTGGCCCCATTCAAAAAGGCGTATGAACCGAACTCCGGTCACCGGTTGCCAATGGATATTGGACTCCCTACTCCACTCCTACTGCCTTGTAGGTCACACTTGGTTGTGTAAAGGCTAGAGCTGCACTCTCAAACAAAAGGCTGAGCGATTCTGGGGACATCACTCGTACCAAATTCCCATGAAACTTCATGAACTCTCTTATAACGTTGCCTTCGGTGGTTTGGCCATGTTCTGCGCCGACCAGATGACGATCTGGTCAAATCAGTTCTAAATCCCTCGTCATTACCATCTTGGCGATGTCGCAGGGGTGGACAGCTGAAAACATGGCTTGGTACAGTCAAGGCTGATATGGAGTGCCTGGGGCTACAAACCGTCTACGGACTCCGTCTGTGGAACGAGAATTGGGTAACCCTGTCGCAAAACCTTGCATCAGATCGCCGCGCCTGGGCAGCGATGATTCGAAATGTTCATGCAGCCGGCTCATCCTCCCGTAGGAGATAGCCGAAGTAAAGAAGAAGAAGAGATGTAATGGACATACTCTGAGGAGACCGTCGGGTGACATCGCTTGCCAAGATATTGCTTGAGTGGGACCCGAATGGGAAACGATGAGTTGGTCTTTCTCTGAGGGTGACTCGAAGGAGATCGTGCGAGGAGAAGATGTGAGCTTATAGGCAATCGTGAACCCAGCTAAAGATGAGTGTGGCGAATGGGGCAAAGTGGAGATGGGCTATTGAAGTCCTACATTTCACTCGGAACCCAAGGGAATAATAATAATATGCATTGTGTGCAGGTTGAATTCAGTCAGTCAACTTTTCAAAGTGGTTACCATTTTAGGTTCCTAACCATCACGGTTGTTTCTGAATTGTTGTTATTAGTTGGTTGGATGGAATCGGCCGGAAGACTTGCTTAAATTAGGGTTCGTGCTTGTCGCCACTCTTCAGAAAGATGTTATCTGTAGTCCTGAAGAAACTCGTGTCCTTTCTGTGATTTGAAACCAGTGCTATAGCCAGAGACATAACCACTGTGCCGTTCGAGCTCGCGTTTGACTTGTACTTATTTAATTTATCGTTTTTTAGAAGGTTTAAATGATTAATTCTAAAATTCCTTATAATATTTTCAACTTATTAAAAAAGAATTGTTAGTTGTACAATAAGAATATGAATATTTTGTATGCTTCAATGTAGGTGGATCTTAGTCAACCTAATGAAGATGATCTATTCAAATATCTTGCTTTGTCTAATGCCATCTATGAATCACTCTCCTCTTTGAATGCTATGGATTCTCAAAATATAACTTCGAATGATAATGATGCATCAAAGTTGAAGTCGCTATCGAAGCTTTTTATCTCATCACCTTCACCTTCACTATCACCATCATCACCAATTAAACAACAACAATCCAATCCGACTGATGAAGCTACTACTACTACTACGGATACTTTTTCAGGTTGTCATTCAAAAGGAATCACTGAAAAACTGCCTACACTCATTGGCATAGTACATTTATTAGATATTAATCCTATTGACACAGATGTTCAAAAGTTGAATTTAAAAGTTTTAAAAATATCACCAGTAGTCGGTTTGCCAACATCGATGAATCATGCCAATAATAGGTCAACATCACCACCTCAAGGTATACTTGTTTGTTGTGGTACTGAATTATTATCATCTCTGAGTAGGGATGATATTCATCACAATGACACTGAGGAGAATCGTCATCAATCGACTGAAAATGGTGATTTATTTTTATTTGAGTAAGTTTATTTATTTGTCGACGTTTTTTTTTATTGTTTTTTGTTGTTGTTGTTAGGGAAGATGACTTTTCTTGCTAATTGAAATTTATTTACATAGCTGTAAAAGTGGGTATATTAATGGTTCTCTGTGTTTACACAATTAAATTTTTTTTAAGAAAAAAAAGTGATTGGAACACACACACGTTGTTTGACCACCAACATAGGATTAGGTCAGAATAAAGTCTGACACCATTCCATGAAATCTTTGACATTTAGTTTGGGCTCTTCTATTGGGCTTGGGCTTCAACAGTAATTCTCCAATTTTTCCTGTTCTCTGCAGTCCTCTTTGACTGGCTGCACAATCGTCCATGGAGTTTCATTTCCCTCTCAGGTAATCTCCTCCAGATTACCCTCGCATCCATACCCAACTCGTAGTTTCCTACTCTGGTCGCACTCAAGCGGTGGCCTGGCGCATGTGTCTTGTCTATCCCCATTTTCTACGGATTATTTGATTGGAATAAAGTTGGTGAATGGTTCATTCCGAGAGTTTGTTGTTGCTAATTCTTTTTGCGGACCACTTGATCTTTAGTATAGGGCCAGCGAAGTCAACTGTTGATAAAAGTCCACAGTAGCCTGTAAGAAATGCTTGTCGTAATCCGCGTGCACAGTTTCTGACGCATAAAGAAGAACTTGTGGCATGTGCTACTCAAAGGATTATTAAGTAGTATATAAGGTGACGTTCATTGGCATAAACATGTCAAATATTTGAGAAATAGATTTGATGTCAAAGAGAGCAAATGATTCAGCGTTGCGGCAAAACATGGGAGGCAGGAACAGAAGACAAAGAAACACAACATGAAGGTTAGAAGTATCCTAACACGTAGGATCTGTGCAAATGATGACTTGCACATAAGGAATACATAATTTCGCTATATGGCGATACCGAACTCTAAATAAGCATTTCTTAACAAGTCTCTTGTCCTCTACCGTTACAAAGTGACTTAACGCACACACACTCACCCTAGATCGATAAAAGAAATTTCTACCAGAATCATGTTGACTATTTTCATAGTTATACTTATATAAAGTCTATGAAAGTGTACAAATCCCTTATCTTTTTGCCTTTTATTTTCTTAGGTATAAAGCTTGTACAGTTGATTGGAATACCTCTCATTCAGTTCTTAGTGAAAATCCACTTTTGCATATTCAATTACCTGGTAATTATTGTCCCATAGGAATGGATGTCTTGTCTAATGATAATAATGATCTTCAATATTGTTGTTCAAATCCATTAAACAATATCATTCAATTACCAATTGAATACTATTCTGTTAAAAAGGATAATCAAATCAAAAGGGATTCAAAGTTGACGCTACAGTCATTTGTAGATTGTACGCCAGGGGATCTTTCAATGTGTTGCTTCCTGCTTACAATATCTGGTTCATTGTTACAAGTGAATTTTTACACTGATTTCTCGTGTCTTATCCAACTTCTTATTTCTGATCCAATTACATATATGGATGAAGATATAGAGAAGAATGAGAATAGAGATGAAGAAACCAGTGTTAATGTACATCGTATACAATTTAATGCATTCACATATTGTACTGGGCTAGGAAATCTATGCTTGTGTACTGTAGACGGTCAAATGTGTATATATCAATTGTATAATCAAGAGCTTTTCAAATATGATATGAATAAAGAGAAACGAATCACTTTAAAGAGTTCAGCTTCACGCGTAAATATAAAGAAATCTATAACTTCATCGAGTATTATTGATACTTCCATTACAAGTTGTTCATTAAGCGATCTATATGCTTACTGTGATTCTCCCATAGATCAATGCATTTTATTACATCAGTTAATTAAAACAGTTCCTGTAGATGCACAAATTCAAATTAATTTTCCTGATCGAATTGGATGGTATGAAGTTGATCTTTTCCGATCAATATCATCTTCTACATCTGATGGGCATATTAACAACACTCGATTTGAGAAGCAAGATATGCTTACTGATGAACAATATCCAAAAATATCATCGTCTTCCAATGACAATGAAACAATTCATGTCCTTTCAAGGCTAGTCACGCGTTATTTACAATTGGAAGGTTGTGATTCTTCGAATAAATCAAAGTTACATGCGTCGACAAATAATCTTCTTCCAGTCGCTTTGAAATGTGCTTCATTAGCAGTTCAACTGAGTTTAAGTGGTGGTCAGTCAGCCCGTTTATGGGAGTTTAACATTAAAAATTGGGTTGCTTATCAAGCTTTAATGAAGCATCCATCGCTTGAAAAGTCTGAGGCTACAATGACTGATGAACAAAATACGCTACCGAGTAAAATTAATTCTACATTATATTCAAAGATGAATACATCATCTGAATATGTGTTGGATATTAGCCTGCCTCGTGTTTGTTCATTATCACATTTTGTGTTTCACTCAACAATGAAACCATATGAAGTAAGTTTCTCTTTTTCATGTGATTCATTGAATTTATTACTGGGTGAATATAAAACTTCTGGTATTCTCAAGTATTAGTTTGCTGGGATTTGATTGGTTACAGGTTCGATCATAAGACGACATTAATTAGAAAACTATTGGAAAACCAGGGCCTCATCAGCAGTACTCACCCGCGACTCGACCGGGAGTCGAACTTGGAACTTTCAGGTTATCAGGATAGGCTTGTTGACCATTCATCACTTGGGTGGGTGACCAATGACACATAAATTCTAACTTCTGTCAATTCGCGATTATAGCGCAGCCACCAGCCAGAATCATCAGTGAGTCTTCACTTGGTCTACGCTATTGGTCGTGACTTCTCCCTAGAACTCTAGGCAGATAAGCAATGCATTATCCTCTTATGGTTATCTTCTTTCAACCCGACCGATAGCTGCTACCTTGACATGGTGGTCGGACTTGCATATCGCAATGACCCAACAAGCTACACTGGCTGGAACTAATTTTCCTGCAGATCTTATCATGCCAGCGATAGCGATCAGACTAAAAGCAGTTACCAACATACTGTAAGGTAAGGAGGGGAAATCAATCGACGAGGTTGTGGTTACACCGATTGAGATGGTTAGAACACATGTTACGCATGCATGCCCAGTCATCGCCATCCTCGATGGGTAATGTTAGCTGACATAGGATGGATCAGGTTGGAAAAGAGCCAGTGGTGGTCAAACCAAAACATGGCTTCATCAGTCAATGAAATCCACAACAGTTGGTTTAAGCCACGTCGGGAGATGTTGACTTCCTGGTTGGTGTCCTCTTTGATGGTAAAAACCAATGAAGGCTGTAGACAATTGGTGATATAACTCAAATCGTTCTCAATGGCTGTTGCAAATGCATCCACTCTTTGTAATTTATAATATCCAATGAAACTATATTGTTCTTCGATATTGCTATTCGTTTTCCCTCGCACTTCTGTTTATTATCTGTCTTTTGAACCTCCCTTTACTCTCTTCTCTTGCTTTGTGTGCTACATGGAGGGAGTGTGGCACGTAGAACTGCTGCACATCTGTGCAAAGTTCTATGTTGAAACCAGTTGGTCAGTCAGTAAGATTTTTACATTTTGCTGGGAGTCTGGACAAAGTCGTATGGCTGGGGAATAGGGATGTAACAACAGTAAGGTGTTTGCCTCAGGTAACCAGCATGCTAGCTATGCTGTCTCTCCACTCTAGAGATAGGGGGTTAGAAAAGGTCAACTCCAAAAATTCCACATCCCAATTAACCCTCAAGGTGCTCCGTTGCCAGTGGTAAATTGCTAAATGGAAACAACTCTAAAAGCCAGTTCCAGCAGGCTATGTGTGTGTGACTGACGTCAATCTGTTGTCCCCTGGGTTTTGCAGTCGCGCAACTCTAGTTCTCTTTTTAATTTAAGAACCCAAAGGAAAAAACAACTTACACGATGTGGATGGCCGGGAAGTGACAACCTCTCAGATAATTCTGAAACCACACGAAGCTCTCCTGATCATCACCCTCCTATCTTCTCTCACATATACACCATTGAGCATATATATATATATATAAATAATAGTTTCCTTTTTTGTACCGATACGTATACGAATACTGATAATGTTTTTTTTTGTCTCACGTCGTGGTCTTTTCCCGCTTAATTAGTGCAGGCTGGGGAAACAGGTAGCTGTTATATACGATGATGGAGTGGCTAGCGGTTGCGTGGTCACCACGTCCATATTTCAATCCCCAATGTTACTGAGAAATATAAAAATGGCACCATCATAATATGCATCCTTTAGCTAGTCACTATTAAATAGTGGCATCAGACATTAGTTTGTGCTTATACTTGAAACCAATCAGATCCTTATAAAGTAACTATTGAAAATTAAAATTAATCCTTATTTATTATATCTACTTTTATGTCTTCTATTCGAAGATTTATTGTAATTTTAACAATATATAATTATTGCTTATATTTTATTGTTTTTGTTTTTTGTATACATTTAGAAAACAAAAAAGCCGCCAAAAGTGTATATAACACTGTTAAGAAAATATATCTCTTCGAACAGTTCAAATTTTATGCACCAGTCTACAAGTAAAATAAACACAGATAATGATGAATTAGATAATCCTCCATCTGATCTTGATCATAGTTTAGTTGTAGAAGATTTAACAGCTCCGTATATTGATGATGAATATGATTATACAGTTGAGAAGTTGTCAACATCATTCAAATCAAAAAGTGAGCATATGTTTCATTTTGATGAGGAATTTCTATCAAAGTATTTAAAAGGTGAGTTTTTGGCAGTATTTTGTATAAGCTGTCGTTAAGTTGTTTTTATTTTGTCACTTTTCTACAGGTTACTTGCATCATTATGTGGTAGCTGTATCAAAAACGGTACAAAAAGTAGCTACTGACAGTTAATTGTGCGTCTGTAGTTCAGTAGGAGAGAGTGCTCCTCTGTCACTCACGTGGTACCGTTTCGATTTCCGGCCGATGCACTTCTTAACCTCGTGCCTAGTACAGTAGCCGATGGTAAGCCCGGAAAAGTGGGAAAGGTATGCGTGAAGCTAGCAACCTCACTCTGTAAAAGAATGCCATTGATTATGAAGCCTCAAAATATGGATACTTACCTTCTGAACAAAACGCGGGGAATGAAAATAAAAACTCATGATTAATTAGGTTTATACTTTCATTGAACACCAGGTAGTAGCTAATGTCATCAGTCTAATCTCTCGTTTGGTGCAGATTGAATTCTATCGGTCAGGTCTGCAACATGTCCACTGTGCTAGGTGGCTTGTCATCAGGGTGCGCTCTGAACTGTTGTTAGAAGGTTGAAGGGAATCGACAGGATGCCATTGACCTAGGTTTCTTGCTTGTTGGCACTATCCAGCCAGAAAGGCGTTTATGCAGTTTTGAAAGAACTCATGTGTTTTGGACCTTGGTCACCCAGTGGTGCGATAATAGGTGGCATCACTGAGCTATTCGGGCGTGCTGTCGACCTCTTAAATGACTGTAGTGGATAATCTCATTGAACACTACCGATTGCCTCCAACCATCTGACAACAATTCAAAGTGCATCGTGATGGCCAGTCACCTACCATGCTGGTCACATTCTATGCATGACTGATAGAATTCATTCCACATCAATCGAAGGATTAGATCCATGACACCAGTTACCACCTGGTGTCCAATCAAAGTATCCATTACAGCCGTATAGGAGACCAGTCGCGAGTCTGAATAGCTCAGTGGTAGCATCTCTAACTGAACTACTACTAGGTGACACGAGTTCGGATCTCAAAGGGGACATGAGTTTCTCAAGAGTTGCAGATATGCCTTACTGACTGGTAAGAGTGCCGACAAGCACGAAATCCAGGTCTATCAAGGCTTTCTGCTGATTTCCTCCAGTTGTCTAACAAGAATTAAACAACTATGCATTTATGTTTGAGGCATATTGATTATTATGTTAGTCCACATTACTCAAAGTTTTCACCGGTAGGCTGATCCAACTTGTAGACGTGTGTAATATAGTCTTGCCGATTCTACTTCAGTTAGAATCCATGAGTCATCAGATTGCAGCGTAGTAGGTAAATGGTAAACGTGCTTGTTTCATAACTTGTAGTCTCTGTGTTTATCCCCTGATTGATTGGGTTGTTGGTGTATGTTGCTGAATACACCTAAACTAAGACAAATCCATTATTTTTCTTTTTGTGTGATTTCTTAAATGATGTTGGTTTTTGTTGAAATCATGTATGAATTGAGAGTATGAATTCCATCGAAAACTGGACTGATGGAAATCAACAGACAGATGTGGCGATATCATTGGAAAGCCTCGCTGTCGATGTCTGCTTCATTTTAGAGACCTGCTTGCAAAATCCACGTGAAATGCTCAGAATATCTTCCTGGAGGTTCGAATAGTATATATCACCTGTGGGAACCCTTTGGCGTCGGCATCCAACGTAGCTGGTGTCGGTGCCGCACTAATCGTTACAGCCGAAGTTGTATCACTTGAGTGGATCCTCAGTAACAGTTGTTTATGTGCTGTTAAGTTGGAAGGTTATACGAGAGTAAGAAGCGGTAAGCCAGATAGGTGGTGCCTATTTTTTCTGCTGTAACAAGATTGGCAGAAGCCTGTACCCGCACTCACTCTTGCAGGTGAACCACTTGAAGTTGTTGATAAGTTCGTACACCTGGGCAGTAGTATGAGTGCTGGTGGGAGTGTGACAGAGGAGATTTCTGACTGTACCATGAAAGCTAGGGTGGCATACGCCAATTGCGTTACTTCTGGCTCGGTCTTGCTCTGTGAAATTTGACTTCTTCGGGCTCTGCGTATTCAACAATCTCTGTCTCCATTGAATTGGGATATGGTCAAGAATCACAGTCAGTTGCGAACATGCTGCAACTTCATTCTTTCTTCCCTGCCTGATAGTAATACTACGATTGTTATTCGGTCTTGCTAAATTTAGCTGCTTCCTGTCTGGATGAAGTCCTTTGTTAATTCTGTATACATTGCTGTTTTATTGTTGTGTGGCGCATCTTCTTGGTGCCTATATTATACCATGTTCTATTTTTTGAATAAATGAAATAAATAAGCATGGGTTTCATGTATGCTTCGTTATAAAATATGTCAATGATTGAAACCTAACTGTTTTTAGATTCTGTGCCTGCTGTTTGCTATTCCCCTTATATTAATATAAAGACCATTTTAAGTATGCATGTTGTTGCATATCCACTTTGTTTTTTTTCTCTCTCCTAGTTCCTGGACGCTTTCATCAAGTACCTACTCAAAACCTATCATCGGAACGTCTTCGTGAATTAAGCGCGAATATAATTGCTGGCCCATATTTGTTAAGTGACTTTTTGGACGTTCACGGGCGTTATTGCTGTATGCCATTAACAAGTTCTGAACTTATAAAATGTTGTTCACGTCTGTTCGCTCTACATATCAAGATTACTCTTCCAGACACTGAGGTGAGTACCCTTAGAAATACCTTTATTTCTAAGCATATTTTTGTGTACAGGGACGATCCTTTGGAAGTAGCCAGGATCAGCGTTGTTTAAATATCTAGTAATGCTTTCAGTTAGACAGACCCATTAATAATCCGATCTCTGAATCTGTTGAAGTGTTGCATTTAATCTGCGTTTATTTTATCTTTTTTCATTCAGGCAGTATTATGATATTATTATCCTCCTGATTTCCTAGTGAAATATAGGGCTTCAACAGCAGATCTTCATTTCCTGTTCTCTGCACTCCTCTTTAGGTAGCCCTGCGATTGTCCCTCCTCACACGATCTCCTCCATGTCACTGTCGAATTCTCACCCAATACGTCGTTCCCCGTCCGGCTTCTGCTCGAGCGATGCCTAGTTTGCGTGTGAAGTCACTAAATGGGTTTCCTCGGCTTGTGTCCAACCCATCTCCATTTCTTTCTGCTTATTTATTGAGCAGTAGCTTGTTAACTAGTCCTCTGTCAGAGTGTCTCTTGATGCCTATACTTTCCAGCCGGTTATCTGTTCTTCAGTATCAAGAGATGGCAGCTGACTGTTGGAAATGTTCTTTGTGACGCACCCGCCGCCAAGTCTCTGGACCAATTTAGAAGCGCTCATTAACCTGACATTAGTGTTGAAAATTGAGATCTTGTTCCTTGTGCTGTGGGCTGTAGATCTTCATACTGGAGTTCCCTATCATGGCTGACTTCTACATTGTCATCTGCGTTGTGTACAGCTGAAACGATGTTGCTTAGATAAGTGAAAAAGTGATAGTGATTGGTTCTTGTTGTTGTTGTTGGTGATGATGATGATGATCGGGTATCTTCTTCACCTTTGTTTTCTATATGTGCACTTGAAACCCTGTCTTCGCTGGCTGCTTTTTCTGTCAGCTTGTTGGTTTTCACCTGTAGATCTTCGACTTTGCAAGACACGAGACAGATCGTCCATGAAGTTCAGATCCCTCATTGTCATTCTGTCTTTCCAACGTATGTCGTGACCAGTAGGGTGCAGCAGGTCGAGTGTGAGGACAAATACTCGCCGAAGATATTGGCTAGCGGTCGCGCTATATCGTGAATTGGCAGAAGTTAGAATTCATGGGCCATTGGATCGGGTCCCAGTGGCTTAATGGTATATGAGCTCGCCTTGTAACCAGAAGGTCCTGTGTTCGAACCCCGGTAGGTGCGTACTGATGAAGAGTCCCAGACTAGGACGAAACAGCTGTTCACCACTCCTAGGTTTTCCAATGGTTCTCTAATCAATGTCAGCTCATGATGAAATCCTGTAACCAATCAACCAAATCCCTACAAACCCATACTTGAGTATGCATATCTCCTCGCTGCCTACTGTCTGTTGCATGGTTCAGTCCATTACTTTCAAGAATATCATCAGTGATAGTAGGCAGCATTGTCTTACCCTTGCCTTCATTTCAAAAGCATCTCTGAGTTTTCCGCTGGCATGTGCCATTGTCATATAGAGTTGTTGAATGAGGTTGATACATGCTTACACGCTGCACTCTGTAGTGTTGAAGCAGATTAAAGCTTTTCAAGAAAATTATATGCTGTGGCTAAAGGGACATTATCATCAGTAACATTATCATGAGAAGAATAACAGTCTTATAGCCTGTCAAATGATGCACTAGGCTGAACAGTTTCGGAATACACTTAATTGAATGATGTCAAAACAACCAATTATGTGTATATATAATACAGTCATTTTTTCTGTTGGTTAGTTTCACAACATCTCAAATACAGTCATTGTACTGTTTTATACACGACATCTATCCTTTTGTCTCCTAGGTTAGTATATAAAATCGTAAAGTAATGTTTACAACTCGTGATTTTATATCAGCAAGAGGAGTCGAAAGGAAGCAGCAATTGTGCACTAATTTCATCAAACACTTATTCGATTCCTATTAGTTGTGAAGTCAGTGCTACTATACGGATCAGAGACTTGCACTGCGCGTCATAAAGAGCATCTCAAACAAACTACAGACCTTCATTAACAGTTGTCTTCGCTCAATACTACTCAAGATCAGATGGCCGGCCAGAAAAGATCAGCAACAGGGATCTCTGGGAGCGAACCAATCAGGAACCGATTGTGAAACAAATATGCAGAAGGAAATGGAGATGGATTGGCCATACTTTTAGGAAACCATCAAGTGACATCACTAGACAAGCCATTGCTCGAGTGGAACCCGAAAGGGAAGCGGCGAGTTGGTCGTCAGTGCAAGGGTGAGGTGACTTGGAGGAGGTCATGTGAAGAGGAGATGAAAACGTGTGGGCAGACTTGGAGCCAGGTGAAGACTCTAGCAGAGAACCGAACGCAATGGAGACGCACGGCTGAATCCCTATGTTCCTCTAGGAATTAAAGGATACAATAATAATAATAATAATAGTTGTATTAACTGTATTTCACTACATTAATTTTTATTTCATAACACGTTCATTTCATTGACCAGTTTGTTTTATCTTCTTTGCTTTGCTTGCTTTACTCTTCTTAGGTTTCTTCGAATTCTGATTCTCAATCAACGCTGTGTGAAGAGGAATTGCCAGTACTGTCTGATTTATTCGCACAAATTGGCATAAGTGTACATCAGTTTCAAGGTCCCTATAAACAACCAGCTTATACGTCACCGACAAGGGACAAGAATTGTTCTAAACAGTCAGTAATTGACAATACTTCACCTCGTTCATCACCATTATCCAAAACTAATATTATTCCACACGAAAGAGCTCAACGTCTCGGCATTTTACGCTCTGTAAAACTTCATGAGGCATGTTTTGAATTTCTTAGTTCGAATTCGATTGGGGATGTTGAAAAATGGAGTCATTTATATAAACAAGCTTATCCCAAGAGTTTATTTTCAATTATCTTAGATCTAATGAATTGGATTGTTTCAATGTATTATCATGAATTGGAATTTCCATGGTAAGTATTTATGTTGGTCTTTAGAATATTCATTGTAACAATAGTAATGATCCTCCAATGATAATAGTAATGCTGGCATTCCATGCAGTCAACTGGCTTTTATAGTCGAGGTGTTTCTAGCAGATGAGTATTGGTGATAAAATTTGCGCTATAATTATGACTTATCACTGACTACAAAATGTGTTGGAAGAATCTGCTGAGTGTACCGTGTTGGCGAGCCGCCTAGCATGGTGGCCACATTGCAAACTTGACTGATAGAATTCAAAAGAATAGACACGGAACAAAGAGTACTCTTTTCGATAAATTCATCATCAGGTTCTACAATATATATACATTTTAATGAATGAATGAATTAGTCTTATGAACGACATCAATGTTTAAATAACATCAAATCATTAATATTGATAGATTACAGCTGAACAGCATCAACATAAAATAAACTGAATGTCAGAAGAATTAGGAAAGGTAATAGTACAAATTCATGAGTTTATAGTCTCTACTGAGGGCCAGGGCAGTAGTAGGGGCTGGACTTGTTTCTTTTAGACACAGAGCACTGATTGTTTGAGGCGAATTGCAATAGCCTCTGCTGTTCGGAGCATGCGGTGCTTCGACGATTTTGGTAGTTTGTTAGGCACCCGGTATATTATAGGGAAGGACTCTTCTACGCTGGCTTTGTGACCGGTTTGCACCAGATGGTCTAATATCGAGCTGTTAATAGTTTTAACTACACCTTTACTTAGCCATAGTGGGATATGTTCTCGAGCACGAAAAATCAAGTCCTATGTAAATTTCCTATTATGCTACCGTCTGGTTTTCTTGTAAGTAGGACATCCAGGAAGGCAATTCTGTCTTGGGATTCTTCTTCGCATGTGAATTTCATGGCCGAATGTACTTCATTGAATTCAGTAATTATTTTACTCCTATCGGAATCATTATCACAAAGAATTAAGGTATCGTCCATATATCGGCAATAAAATGGGAGCTTACTGATAAGGTTGTTCAGCACTGGGTGAAATGGGTTCGAATCTCAGAAGCGACATGAGCTCCTTTAAGATTGAGCGAGGCGGAATAGTGCTCTCAAGAGCATTCTACAAGCGGATGTATAGTATAGGCAATGTACTCAGCTCCACTCAAGCAAATGAACTGGTATATTTATGTTAAGATGGTGGTCCAATGCGACAGCTTGTCTTTCACGTGCTGGTTGAATAGTTTCTTGCAAGAAAATGTCACCCGTAGGCTGACAAAGAAGTATGTTTTATTGAGAGATTTCGAAAACCGTTTATGGAGTACTTCTGATTCAGTTTCACCTTTAAATTTGAGATTAAGCAGCAACATCTTTTTAGAGGCGACGTCGATCTGTTCAGTAGCTTTCTTTGACTTGAGTTTCTTGTCTATTAATCTGAATGGGAAACCATTTCCCATGAAGATTCCTCGGCACATATACATTCCGGATCCTCGAGGAAAGAAAATATATGGGTTTTCCCTTTCTACTCAGAGGAACACAACTCTGAAAACTGATAAAATGTCAATTCCATGTGAGCTTTTTGTAGATGGATCTCCTCAACGAGTTGTCAGCGTTTCTTTGCGACTGAATATCGAGGAAATAGAGCGTTGAGTCAGAATCAACTTGCAGAGTGAAGTCGTTGTTCGGTTGAGCATTATTGATGGTTTGGAGTAAGTTCCTGAGATCTAAACTGTCATCACAAGTGATGAAAGCATCATGGATGTATCTCTGACAGAGGTGGAGCTCACCGACTGTTGACGATAAGATATTGTTTTCGAGGATATACCAAGACGTATTCACTTCACTCCCTTCGAGAAGTTTGATCAGATCTTGTTTAGGACTTTGTGGAACTTTTCAAACAGAGTTTGAGTGTCGTGAGTTCCCTAAATGTTCTGTTACCGACCTGTAAACACATTCATAGTATTATGTCGGTATAACTGCTTCATTTCGTTTTATCGTCACTAACAGTCTAAATCTCCCAATGATTACAACAATTTAAATGAAACAAAGTTTTAGCAAAGTACTGTCACTAAGAGATGTTCAGAGATTTTAATTTGAAAACTCAAAGTATTCAGAATAAAATAAATTCTCATCCCAGCAACGTAAATGACGTCATAACCGCGTGTTTACATGCCACACACCATATAGACTACTGAATAATACTACTAGCAACAAATCAGTTATAGCAATTAGTACAACCTAAGTACTTTTTCCGCTAGGGTCTATAATTCGAAAATTAGGGTGTTTTTTGGCGTTTAAATCCCTTATTTTGTTTTCGTCCTTCACTAGTTTCTATGGTTTCATATAGCCGGTAGTCTTTGATTTGTCTTCTTCACACATGATATGGTATTGCAACTGGATTGTGCATAAACTATGTAGTGTGGCTGTGTGCTGTATCATATTCTGCGATTGAGGTATTTCGCTAAATCATACCTCATATTGGATTTGGTTCTTCACAAAAGCCTCATAACCATTCACCACAGTAGTGAGTCAGAATGCGATCTGCATTATTAACACCTCTAGTATGACCAAGTCTGACTATGCTGCTGACTGGCCTAACTATAAAGACCATCAGATGTTAAATAATCACCTGAAGCTGGTGTACCCAATCCATTTCCATTTTCTTCTACATATTTGCTGAGGTATGGGTTCTTGGTCAGTTCGTTGTGAAAGTTTCTACTTGCTAATTCCTTTTAGCTGGTCATTCGATCTTCAGTATGGGGCCAGCGAAAGTAACTGTTGATGAAAGTCTTCAGTAGCCAGTTCGAAATGCTTTTTGTGATGCACGTGCCAAGTTCCTCAGCCGCATAGAAGTGACTGACTTGGCGTTGGTGTTGAAAATCCGGATTTTGTTCTCAGTGCTGAGTAGGAAATATTTCCAAAATGATTTTAGAATGATGAATGTCCGTTTCGCTTTTCCGATCCTGTCTGGCTTTGACATCTTAATCCGTGCTGTTGCCCATAGTTGAAACGATGCTACCCGAATAAGTGTAAGGAGTGACCTCGTTCAAATTTCTTCCTCTGATGTGTTGGTGATTATTGTTGTTGTTGTCGTTGTCGTTGTAGTTGGCTGGTCATCATCACCACCTCCGTCTTGTCCATGTTCACTTGAAGTCTTGTCTTTACTACTTTCTTCTCCTACCAGTTTGTATGTTTTCGCCTTTAAATCTTCTAATTTATTTGACATTAGACATAAATCGCCCACCGATTCCAGATCTTTCAGAGTTTTCTTATTTGTTCAACGTATATTCCTGTTATAATTAGTCTTTGGTTTTCATTGGTTCTTTAACTGTTATCAGTTCATAGTGAAATACAGCTTGAAATCAGTCATTTAAGCTCTCCTGCAAGCTAGTATTTGAAAGCAATTAAATATCTGATCATTCGAATTTGCTTAAATTAATTCTTTTAAAATGTCCTTACATTATACCATGTCTTCTTGCTTTGTGTGTCATTTTCTTTTTCAAAAACAAAACAAAACAGTGATGTTATTACAAACCTCTTGAATTTGGCTGCCAACAATTGTGAAAATCTAATTGAAAATCTTATTGTCCATGGTGATCGTGAAACTACACAACTTGGAACAAAATTTCTATTCAGTTTACTCAAGTAATTTTTTATATTTAACGATTTTGGTCTCGTTGCTGATATTGGTGTTTATTTTGTTGGTGTTTTTATACCTTCTTGTAACATTTTCATTGCGCATATTTCAGGCTGTTAGGCATCTGGACAGTATAGTTTGTGTTTTGACCTTATATACCATTTCTGACTATATCTGTTAGAGAATCTTTAATCTCTAGGGTGAAAATACATTCCTAACCAATAAAACTCAAGGAGGGTTTCGGTTTAAAGCCAAATGGTTTTATTATTGTTTATTTTCAATTCAATTTTGGTTTCCCCGTCGACTGATCGGAGTGGGGTGTTTGGTCTCTGTCGACATGTCGATTTTGAGTACACGCATTTCGAAAATGTCTGAGAAAACAACTTGAAGCAGTTTGGTGTATGGTGACTAGCACTGGAATCCAGAATGCACGTTTCGTCCTCCTCGGGTCTTGTCAGCTGAACTAACTCAGGACAATCCTCGGATGTCGTCGAAGTGTCCGTACTAGTTAGGAGCTGACATGTCAACAGAGGCTGAACATCTCGGTTCAATCAACGGGGAAATCAAAATTAAATGAGTAACAAATAACAACTGATGTTCGTTGCACAAGAGGTGGCTCTCGTGACCCAAGTGGTGTCTAGTGAATAACGCTTTGGTATTGGAGACGATGAGTACTGGATTCGAGTGTCAGTAGGTAAACCATCACTCACTTGGAATGCTGGCACATCAAGTAACGAGTCTCAAATAGGACGAAACGCTCATCCTGGATTCCACTGTTAGTCACCAGTCACCAATTTATTATTGTTTTTTGTTTTTATATATAAAATCCCCCACCATTGTCTGATAGGCTGGTGTCTGATATTTCTGGAATTCACTTTTGTGGCGAATTAGAAGTCTGTTCTCAGTGCAATTGTGCAATGAGATTTAGTTGACGTGTTCTTCATAGCTAATTGATTAACAATTTGTCTGAAGAAAAAATACTTTTTCCTCTAAAATTTTTTTTCATTGGCAGTTTTCAGCACCTATAAGTTAGATATAAGTTTAAATGTAGACTGTGTCGCGAATCAACATCAGTTGGGCGTTACTGAAAACCAGAAAGGACAGGATAGTTGCTTCGTCCTTGTTTAGGTCTCTTCAACAGTACACACCAATGACCGCCGCAGGGATTGGACCCAGCGTACATACTTTTGTTTTCTATTCTTATAATAACGAAGAATGTATTGAGTTTTTTAATTTTATTATTTTATATTACTGTTTAATGTTTTCCTTTCAGATTGGAATTTATTTTCCTGAAGTGTGCGCCACCGTCAACCTGTAGCACAATGCCTAAGAGGGAGGCGGTATTTTTTCAAAAATTATGTGATTGTTTATCTCTTACAACAAGTGGAAATTGTCATGGGCATAATTTAGCACGTTGGCTATTGATCTGTCAGACATCAGGTGGTTGTGAAGCATTACTGAATCTGCTCGAATCAATAATTTCTATCACTTCGAATGAAAATTGCAATGATGCTGCTAGTGTGTATTCAACATCATCAATATTAAGAAATAGTTTATTAAGTCTCTTCAGTATAATTTATATCTTTGGAGAAGACACTATTGGTTCATCACATTTGTAAGTAGTTCTGTTTTCTTTTCTATAGTGTAGGGGAATAGAATGTTTACTGCCTAGTTTTTGATAGCAGTAAGAAGAAAGTGTCTTTTAAATTTTGTGACTTTAAATTCCCCAGTGTTCTTTTTTCACTGTATGGTCTTTAGTGTTAAATTAGCTCATGTGAATGATGCTTCTTCGAGGTCTTTGAGTTCAATTTTGATTCTCTGTTCGTAGCTGAGAGTAGCATAGTGAATAATAACAACGTTCGGAGCGACGACTGCTAGGTTCCTGTCTAATTCCGAACACAGTCGTCCACTGGGATGTAAGCACATCCAAATGATGTTTTTCACAGTGAATCTTGCATACCAGATTCCAACAGTAGCCTCCAAGATGATGTTTTTCTTATATTTATTTTTCTTACTTAACTGAATATCATTGTGATGTAAAAAATTTAAGAATCTAAAGATATTCTGCACAGCGTATTGTGGCGTATGTTACTGGCAAGATTTATAAGTAGTGCATAAATTGTCTCCATAGGTGTAATGGGATCTTTTACGCAGACATCTGGTGGTAATCAATAGCTTCTGTTGATGATGGAGAACATGTCACATGATGGGGGAGACGCCGTGGTTATCCGGGAACAACGTGTAAAGTTTGTTACTGATGCAGTGGTTCGACATGTAGAGTTGCAGACCACGATTTTACCAAAGACGATACCTGTTTTGAAAGTGAAGAATTTACATTCCTTTTGCAACAACTAGATATTATAAGAAGATTAGAACAACACCACATCATCCAAAAACAAATGGTCTGACAGAGAGAAATAGCCGTACACTGAAGGAGTGTGGTTGGCCTCAAAAGGAGGTAACTGGGAGAATGTGCCACCATTAATTCTACTAGCAAATCGTGCTTCCGTCCCGGAAACAACAAAGAAGTCACTGTTACTGTTGATATATGGTAGGAAACCACGACTACTAATAAACGACAAGACCTGTACCCTTAATCAAGAGTGGAGTATAAAGAGATTACGAACAGAATGGAAAGAAGCAGTCAAGAATGTAAAGCATAAACATAAGATGCATGTTGTGAAATTTATACAGAGGGAGAAGACTAAATGCATAACGTTTGATCTCGAAGATCAAGTAAAGTGTAGAGAAAAAAGCAAGTGATTGTGTGTGGATCAGGTTCACAGAAACTCCCTTCCAAAGTGGGAAGGAGCATACACTGTTACCGAGAGACGTGGTCCCGTTTACACTGTCACTAGAGGAGAAAACACAAACTTGTTAACACAAGCCAACTACAGAGATGGATACGGTGGGATAAACAAGTCGATAATAAGACACAACAAGATTGGTTAGAATGAAGACGGTTACAGCACCGCCTCCAAAAACTATTTGACGAGGGGACGAGTGTAGCGTGTGCTACTGATAGGACTTATAAGTAGTATATAGATACAGATATAATAATGTACATCATCTCCAAGAATATGGAATAATGGTTAGATGGATTTAATGTTGAAGAAAAGAAGTGAGCCATACTTGTGAAACAAAATAGAAAACACTAAAAAAGACAGAGAAGTACAATACGGAAAGCATGTGCATATTGTGATTTTCATGTATGGCAGGCGTATTTTCCCTATATGTAAACATCGATTTGTCAGTAAGTAATTCCATTGCCAAATACTTTTGCCTTCTGCCGCTACAGTATCATATTTGTCTTCATTAACTCCCTTCAACTGTATGTATTCGACCGTCATCATCATCATCATCAATATTATTATGATCTACTTACATTCCCTAACATTCTATCAAGGAACCCCTTCTAGGTAATTAGCTGCTACTAAACTGGAAAGAGTGGGAATTCTGGCGTGAGGATGGCAATTCATCCCGTCAAAAACAACTCCATTGCTATTGAAATTTCGAAACCCGGAAAAATGACCTTATTCTTTGGTAGAATCAGGAAGACTCCTCAATTGGAGGTTGGATGATGCTGGTAGGCGGAAAGTGAGATTTGAATCTGAATCACTCAGTATTACAGTCAGAAATGTTGTTCAGACTCGCAATTGACCCCGTTGTAGGACTGTAATGGATACTTTGATTCGACACTAGGAAGTAACTAATGCTATGCGTCTAATCCTCCGTCCCTTGTAGAGTGACAGGTGTCAACAAGCGTGAACTCCAAGTCAAGGGCTTCGTGTCGATTGCCTGCTACCATTTAATAGCAACAATTCAGAGTGTATCGTGATGATGAGCCACCTAGCAAACTTGACTGATAGAAGTCACTCCTCATCAAACGAAGGATTGAACACATGACGCTAGTTACTACCCAGTGTTCAATCGAACTATGAGTTGTTCGCATGTAACTTGTTTAAAGTACCTATTAAAATCAGTTTTGGTTTTTTTTCTCTTTCTGTGTTACAGCTGGTATCGTTTACCCTTGTGTCTTGGTCCTGTATCACTCCTAAATTTACCAATATCCAATTGGACTTATTCAGGCAGTGAATGCTTAGCACAATGCTTACCTGGGAAACCTCAAAAAGCTGAAAAAAACAAAACCCTACATTCTTTATCGCATAGTACTAACGCCAGTAGTAATCCTAATAGTTCTTCTCTCACAGTACCTGTGAGCAGTACTCATTCAGTTGTAAATCATAATTCTAATGGAGATATATTCACTAGTCTCAGTGGTATTTCAATACCTAATAGCTATTTATCCTTTTTAAGTGGTTGTTCAAATTTCAATGATTTTGTTGATAAATCTACAGACAGTGCAGCTAAAAAGTCTACGCATTCATTGTTTCCATTAACAAATTATCCACCGGAATTACTTATTCACTTAACAGATATTATCTCATTTATGCGATATAATTTCATTACTAATATTGATCCATCGGATAATGCCAATAATATTATCTTACCAGATTTACAAGATTGGCATTTGTATGGTTTACTAGATGTGGAACCGTTACACTTTCCCCTGGATAAATTATCACTACAATTAAGCGATGATTGTGAAGTAGAACGTGTAGATTTCTGTGAGTTGAATTTATTTTTTTTTTAATGTTGTTATTATTGCTAATTGGAGTTCGTATCAAGCTTGATCACAGCTTGATGTCAGTTAGAAAATAGTCGGGAAACCGGGAAGTACTGGACAGTCGTCTTATTCTAGTTTGGGACTGTTCAGCAGTATCCACACACCGGGGTTCCTACCCAGAACCATCCGGTAACAAGGCCATTGAGTCACTAGGACCTGATCTATTAACCCATGATTCCGACTTCTGTCACTGGCAAGTATTTGTCCACACGTTCCTCGTGTTCTAAGTAAACTGTGTTCTTACCGTTGATCGTTCAGGAATACATTTTTCCCCCACATATGTCATGTTTCCATAACAACCTCTTAAGCTGTGGTAACGAATCGCTGAGTATTCTATCAGGCAGAATACAATATAGGTGCATTTACTGTATTCAAGTTTGTATCACATTAATACCGTCTTTACGGAGTGCAGTACCCTAAACCTTTATCAACCTTATTCCACAGCTAGATAACAATATCACATGTCAAGTGATTCACAACGGTAAATTCAGAGATGCCTTTGAAGTGAAAACCGGACAAATTTAAGACTGCCTACTACCATCAATCATCTTCTTGATTGTGTTTGAACTGGATCATGCGGCATGTCATGGGATGCGTCGAACCGACAAGGAGATGTACAGACAGAAACCAACAAGTTGATGGGAGAGCGAGGCAGCGAAAACAGGACTTTAAGTGTATACAGAAAAAACAAACGTGATGAAGATAACTTCCCCAACCAACAGCAACAACAAGAAGTACCAATCACTATCAACAGGAGAAATATGAAGGATGTTACTTCTTTCACTAACCTAGGCCACGTCGTCCCAGCTAAAATTAGCACGGATGAAAATGTGATAGACAGGATAAGAAAGGCAAGATAGACCTTCATTACTCTGAAATCAGCGTGAAAATATCCTACACTTCGCTTAAAGTACAAAAATCGGATTTTCAGTTCTTCTGTTTGGACATGACGTGTCATGTCCATCTATCTTTGTTGACTTCATACTGAAGATCAGATGACCAGCCAGAAAGAAGTAGTAACAAGGAACTCTCTGGCAACAAACCAATCAAGAACTCATAGCCCGACAGATTATTATTGTTATTACTGTTTCCTTTAGTTCCTAGCGAAATATAGGGCTTCAGCCGCGCGTTTCCATTGCGTTGGGTTCTCTGCCAACGTTTTCACCTGACTCCACATCTGCCCACATGCTTTCATCTCCTCCATGTCACCCTTGGACGACCAACTTGCCGCTTCCCATTTGGTCGGGTTCCACTCGAGGAATGGCCTAGCGTGTGATGTCACTTGATGGTTTGTTTTCTCAAAGTATGACCAATCCACCTCCATTTTTTCCGGCATATTTGTTGCACAATCGGTTCCTGCTAGGTTGGGTCGCTCCCATAGATTCCGCCCTGCTGCTGATCTTTTCTGGCCGGCCGGCCGGCCATCTGATCGTGAGTGGTATTGAGCGAAGACAGCTAGCTGTTGATGAATGTCTGTAGTTTGTTCGAAGTGCCCTTCGTGATGCGGCGCCAAATCTCTGTTCCGTATAGTAAGAAGCACTGACTTCAAATTGGAGTGGAAAATCTGAATCTAATGTTTCATGCTGAGTGCTGTTGACCTCCACACAGACTTGAGAGTAATGAAAGCTTACCTTGCTTTCCCGATCCTTGCTTTGATATCCTCGTCAGTTCCGCCTGTAGTTGAAACGATGCTTCCCAGGTAGGTAGGTGGTAAAGGAGGTTGCTTCTTTCAAATTTATCTCATTTATGCTCATTTTTGTCAGCCAACAGATATTCCGAAGGAAATAGAGATGTATCGGGGACACACACACAGAGGACCGTTGAGTGATATTGTTGCTTTGCTGGAAGCTGAATCGAAAACGGGGATAATATGAAGGAGATGAGAGGTTATAGCCAATCGTGGAGCCACCTTAAGAGGAGTGACAAGAACAGGATGAAATCGTGTTGCTGTTTGTTTCAGCGATATGTAAGGACATGAGTAGCTTGCTTGAAGTTATAATTCATGGGCTCGCCATTGAATCGGGTCCCAGGGAGTGACTAAGTGGTCTACCAGCTTGCCTCGTAACCAGAAGATCCTGGGTTCGAACCGTGTTGGTGGGTGGGTACTGATGAAGAGTCCAAAACTGGGCTGACGAAACAGCTGTCCAGTACTCCCTGCAGGTTTTCCAATGGTTCTGTAACTGATGTCAGCTCATGATGAAATCCTCCAACTAATAGACATATGTTTGAAGTTCTGCTGAATAGATGCTAGTTAATTGAATAGTGACATTTCCATTTCATTTTGTCAATCAGTTGTTTGAAGGTTCATTTCACTTAAACTGCAGCCTGCTTAAAACTTGGGCTACCAAAAACCTTCATAGTCATATTGCATAAAATTTCCATTGTTCAGTTTTGTATTAGTCAAATAATATATGATCTCTAATAGTATTGATGACTCTGCCGAGTACTTAAAATGTTTACAACCTACTTATTTGCAAGTTTCTACTAATCTCGAGAAAAAGTATCCCAATACATAAGATAACTGTTCTTAAATTGTGTCCTTAGTTCTTGAAATGTACTCCTGAATTTTTTATAATCGTTATTCAACCAGATGCGTCGGTGGCACAGTGGTTACGACTCTCACCGACCATGCACATGGTCCGGGGTTCGATCCCCTGCCGACGCACACCCGATATCTATGGTCGGCCTGCAAAATTTGGGCTACCGATATCCATGCTGAAAATTCCATACTTGTACTGAAAATACGGTGTGGCATTAAGCTGTAATCAAAATATAAAAAATATAAATGTCTCGAAAGAGATAAAGAAAAGATAGCATTACACGATTTGGTTTGAGCTGCCAGTCAGACAGCATATTGTCAACACGATCTACTTCTTATTTGAAGATCCTGGACAAATAGCAAAAATTCTGTACATTATGTAAACACTGTTCAGAATAATTCAGTTATTATTATTCCAGTGTTTATTATGTAATTATTATGATTATTATTTGTTGCTTTATTTTACAGTTACTGGAGAACTTTTAGTTGACAATGAACAATGCCGTATGACAAGTAATGCATCACAAATGAATGCCAACGGAAAACATTGTGTTTATGATGCATTATCTCATTTAACAGATCCAGTTGAAGCCTATCATTTAGTTATATCCCGTATGCATCCAGGAGCACATCGTTCAGTTACCTTCAGTTTTAATTCTTTAAATAAAAAGCATAATTGTTTATCATCATCAGTAAATTTACTCACTGATATTATAATTCCAGTTAATCCATGCCTACAGTGTATCACTCTTGAAGCTTTACTGGACAATCTATCGGATAGTCAATCGTCTCAAAAAACACTGACAAAATTGATAGCTGTATCAACAGATATTACTCATTCAACACTTGTGTTACGTGATATTCATCCACCGATTGAATTTACGCGGCTACGTGTATCAATTGTCGGTCGATTAGACTATCCACATAGTAAAGCACGTATTCATCTTGGTGCCTATTTTGGTAGAGCTGGTCTATTAATGGACTATTTCAATCCTATCCACAATGCTGATAATCGTGCAGTGAATGTATTGAAATGTTTAGATAGCCTTATAATGAGTAGAACAACAGAGTTTGTCACTGTTCAACAGAAATTAATGAATATTTGGAATGAAAGTGATAAAAAGCCCATAGTAACTAGAAGCAAAGATGAAAGTGAAGTGTAAGTATGTTTACTAATTAATGATGATTAAAAAATGGAGATTATTATATATGTGATATTATATGAATTAAGAAAACTTGCTGAAGTTACTTATTCACTACTTATAATTCCAAGCTAATATGTGATTGAACTATCACGATATCAATAGACGTGATATCCCACTGACTATCGATCAAACGACGTTTATACTGCACAGCAGCAATTCGTTCCGTCTTCCTTTATGGTTCTGAGACACGGCCAGTCGAAGTGGAAGATATGAAAAGGCTAGTTGTCATTGATCATAGGTGTCTGCATTCTGTCTCCCATTTTAGATGGTATTACTTGGTGAGGAATTCTGAGGTTAGGCTTTGGTTAAGTGTCAGTCGACCGACTGACTTACTTACTTACCCTCTTTACCTAACACTCAATCGTCCCGCCAAGTGTAAGATGATGCTACAAGACTGGACTACATTGACTCCTAGCTTAGAAATATGGGGTAAAGTGGTAGATCGCGTTGACGACTTCACTTATTCGGGAAGTTGCATCAGCCAGCCCCAATGGGTTGATCGCTGACGAAATCTCAGCATGGACACAGAAGGCTAGTTTTGCGTATGCCGGTTTACGCCGTCTCTGGCGTAAACGTGATATCCGGCTGGCTATAGACCTGTATGCTCAGCAGTCGTCTTCTTTATGCTAGATGGCCATTGCTAGTGGAAGACATGAAAAGCCTGTCTAGCTGCCTTTGATCATAGGTGCCTGCGTTCTATCTTCCGTGTGAAATGGTATAGTAGGGTGAGCAATATCGAGGTTAGACGTGGGTCAAGTGCTAGGTGGGTGGGAGGGGAAATCAATCTATGAGGCTGTGAAGTTACATCGACTGAGATGGTTAGGACATGTGTTACGTATGCATGTCTAACCATCGCCTTCCTCGACCGACATAGGATCGATCAGACTGAAAAAGAGCTAGCGGTGATCGAACCATGAAATCTTAAGCAGTTAGTTTGAGCCACATAAGAAGGTGTAGTCTGGCTAGTTGTGTTCCTCGGAATTCTAAGAACCAATAGCTATAGACTATTGGAGATATAGCTCGAAATCCTTGTGTATGGTGCAACTGCATTCCCTCTGTGATCTGCCATATTCATTAAACGCTACGTTTTTCTATGTTACTATTCCTTTTCCCTCACTTCTCTGCTTATTATTGTACTTTCGAATAGATTTTTTTTCTTTTTGTGTGATACATGAAATGCGGCTATTTTGAACTGATACACTTCTGTGCAAAATTCTGTATTGTAACCAGTCAGCCAATCTGTCTGTCATGTGCATTCAGACCACTATTGCTCTATCATTCTATAACCTTTATGGAATGTCCTGAATTTTCCTGGATTATTTTCTTCTTCTTCAGAAGTTCGCTTATTTCCTTCATTGTTTATCCCGCTTAGGTTCTAGGATTTTTTTTGTGTGTGTATGTGTGTTTGTGATATTTTTTAATCATGTTTGTGTTTTAATTATCCCCTAATATAGGCCATCTGTACTGTCTGATAGTGATCTGGAAATGTCATTATTATACAGAAAATGTTGTAGCCTTCAATACCAAATAAATTGGTTGTGTCGTACATTGACTCGTTTGAGAAATGAATACTATCCTGAAAGTATTTATGAATATAGAAATCGAATTTGTAAAATGGTAAGAGGAAGAATAATGTAAAAATAAATGTCTGTTGTTCTTTTTATTCACTTGTTGTATATGTATAACACATTGATAGTGATTTTCTATATTCACTTCAGTTATTGTAGACTGTTTAGTTCTGTATTATTGAGATTTCGATTTAAGTACTATTACTCGTTGGGCGGAAAAAAAGGTCAATATACATTATACAATTGACTTTCAGTCATTTCACTTAAAGTCCGTAACTATTTGTCCGTTATTATTACACTTTCAATGACTCCATGTTGATAGATGGTCTGTACTTCCTTACACAGCTTAAACCAGTGTTTTTTGTTGTTGTTGCATTCATTGCCTTCCTAGTGGAACATAAGTTCTCAAGCTTTGAAATTCCACTAGCTATGGTTTTGTTTTCTACGGGGTTGGAGTCGCTAGCCCCAATCCCAACTTTTCCTCTTTTCCAGGATCATTACTGATATGATCGTGTGATACTTGGTTGTTATTATTATCATCATTATTCTCTTGGTTTCTAATTAGAACATGGAGCTTTAGCAGCAGCACATTTGCATTCTATACTGTTCTCTGCAGTCCTCTTTAGTCGCCTCCCTATCTCATACGATCTCCTCCGTGTCACTCATGGACCTACACCCAACTCGTCATTTTCCATTCGGGCTATACTTAAAGGCCTGGCACTTGAAGTCATTCGATGGCCTTACCAATCCATCTCCATTTTCTTCTGCATATTTGTTGAGGTATGGGTTCTTGGTCAGTTCGTTGTGAAAGTTTCTACTTGCCAATTCCTTTTAGGTGGTCATTCGATCTTCAGTATGGGGCCAACGAACGCAGCTGTTCATAGAAGTCTTCACTATGTAGTTGGAAATACTTTTTGTGATGCGCGTGTAGAAAATCTGACTGACTTAACATTGGTGTTTAAAATTCGAATTTTGTTCTCAGTGCTGAGTGGGTGATATTTCCAGCATGGTTTTAGAGTGATGAATGTCCGTTTCGCTTTTCCGATCCTGTCTGGCTTTGACATCTTAATCCGTGCTGTTGCCTGTGGTTGAAACGATGCTACTCGAAGAAGTGAAGGAAGTGACCTCGTTCAAATTTCTTCCGTCGATATTGGTTGGCTGCTTATTACTTGCGTCTTCTTTACGTTCACTTGCCGTTGGTGCTACATCTGTGAGCATGTTGTTTTTCACATGTTAGTCTTCGAATTTTTATGACACTAGACGTAATTCATCCGCGAAGTTCACATCTTCTAGAGTTGTAGGGTCGCCTAACGTGATCATAATACTCCTCGAGACTCGATATCATAACCATCTCCCACAAAAGTCAGTCAGACTGAGAAAAGCGACGACTATAACAGCAACAAACATCACGAGTAAAGTTTTTAAATAAATGATATATTGTACTTTCAAAACCACAAGAATTTAAGCTATAAATAAATAAACAAATCTGATTGGTTTTACGGCATCGCAACCCCTCAGAAAGTTAAGCTAAAAATTAACGAATCAAAAACTGTTCAGTCACGTTACCATGTCAATAGATACCTAAACCATGACTTCGTTGTGAACAGTTAAGCTTTTCCATCTTAACACAAACTGCTTGATGAAGTAAGCGAACATGGACCTTCTGCGTATCTGGGAAATCTGCTGTCATTGGTAGATGAATGCTTAATGATCGCTAAATAGTGTCCTTTTTGACTTCGTCACAGCCTCTGTTACAATGGATACTTATTATTCTGTCTCCATTATTGCACATACTCAATGTCAAGCATAGTGTCTTTTTGATTCCCTTGCACATAACTTATCCTAGATATCCTAGATAATTACGGTCCGAAACATTTAATCTTTTAATATATGAAATATTGAAAAGATGGTTGCAACAAGTCTTTGCATTCACCTCAGCAAGCTCGATGGACAGACTTAGAAACTTTTCCAGTTCCTTTACAGTCGAACGGTGCTTGCTATCCTTCAGACCGCAGGATATGCACATCATATCTTAGTATATATGTATATATATATATATATATTCCATCGTGAAAGATTATGCATTGAGTATGTTTCTGACAGTTCAACTACTGGAACAGGTGAACTGACATTCATAAATAATAACCTGAACTAAAGAAAGCTTCTGAACAGGTCGAAGTCGCCCCCAGAAAGACGCTGCTACTCACTCTCGAATTTAAAATTGATACCGAAACATAAATTCTCCGTCAACAACTTTTGAAATCTCTCAGTAAAACATACTTTGCCACCAACCTACGAGTAACATTTTCTTGCAAGAAACTATTCAACCAGCACTTGAAAGACAACCTGTCACATTGGGCTATCACCTCAACACTTATATACCAATTCACTTGCTCTTGTGGAGCTGAGTACATCGGCTGTACCTTGCATCCACTTTTAAAACGGGAACACTATCCAGTCATCCGAGCAAAAAGAGAACGTGTGTGTGTGTGTATGCAGCTCGGTATCAAAACATCTGGTGAACTCGATACTCAGCTTCATTTGAAATAAATCCTTCAAAGTCAAATACAAGTTTCTATCTATCAAACACTCTCAAAGAGAGTGAGATCAATGCATCTGGGCATCGCTGAGGCACTAGCAATCCGCATGTTCCAGCCCACGCTATGTACTCAAAACAAATCAGTCCAACCTTTATCTCTGCCATGGCCAACATAAACACTTAATTCGTCAATAACTATTATCCTGTTACCCTATCCAAACTCCCTGTCTATTCTGTTATCATTGCATTTTAACCCCTTGTTTACAATCTTCCTAACTTGACCCTTGAGAGGAAACAGTTTGGAACTTTCTCACCAATTTACTGCAAATACACGCATGTACAGGCTAGTTGATGACTTCACTGAAAAGAAAATCTCCTCCACTGCAACCATCTTTTTAATATTCCCTATAATCTTATGTGTATATTCCGTGATTTAAAAAAAGTTTCCTTCCGAGAAAATTATCAGCTGGACTGAACGTTTGTGAATATATAACAGGGGGACCACTATAAGACTTAAACTTTGGCGTTTGAAATGATGGGTGCAGGGTTCTAATCCCAGTGGAAGCATCATTATTCACTGGGAGGGAGTGCAGCTAAATGCAGATGACGAGTCCAAAGATAGGACGAAATGAACCTCCTGGATTCCGCTGCTAGTCACCATTCATTAAATTTCCTCAAGGTAATCCTTAGACATGTCCACCATAATACTTCAGAAAAAAAACTCGTTTTGTCTATTCCATTATTTCCCCTGTTATTGTATACATATTTTAATCGTAATTAATATTTTATTTTGGTTTTACACTTACATTTAGTCTGATGAAAAATTGAAAGAGGATTTGTATCCAGATAAAATTCGATATATTCTAGAACGTTGTTTACTTTGTTTACTAAGTCACTCAAACAGTCTGTTGTCTCAAGTCAAGCCGATATCGCCGTCACCAGTACCGCCTATCGACTCAGATAATAATCAAGAATTTATTGAATATGTTGACGTGTGTTCTACTAATATTTTGCATGATTTGCTTATTCATGGAAGTCGTTCAATGCAGGTGACTCACATTTTTCCTTATTTTTAAGAGTTAATTTCTATGAGTTTGATTTGTTTCAAGTTTGACTACCTAGTTATATCATCTAGAGAAGCATTGAAAACCACCATGGAGTGAGTGTTGGACAGCTGTTTTGTCCTAGTTTCAAACTATCCAACAGTACGCACCCACAAGGGTTCGAACCCATGGCCTATTGGCTAGATGAAATGCGCGCAGACTATCAGCCACTTGAACTCGATCCAGTGGTCCGTGAATTTCAACAACCACCAGCCAATATCATCAGTGGATATTTATCCTCACAGCCGACCTGGTGGGGGGGGACCCAACTGGTTACAACTTCTCACTATAACTCCAGTCAGCTTCGTTCTATAGTCAGTCACTAGCGAGCATACTGCCAATGGATCTCAGACTAGGACGAAACAGCTGTCCAGTACTCCTTGGTCTTCAAGCGTTCTATAACTGATATTCTTTGTCCATATATCTCTGTTTGATTTAACTGATGAATTTTATAATCCGCCTCTTTATTCGTTTTTGTAAATCACTTTCAGTTATCACTGCATTATCGTTTAATTCATCATGAATGGGATTGCAATTGGCAGGAAACCTTCTTTCAGGAAGATTAAAATCTATTAAAAACAAACACAAACCTGGTACATTATAGGCATCAAGAGATGTGTCACACAAAACCTCGTAGCTTGTGCAAGGCCTGGGATACCGACCGAAGCAGGTGGTTGTCTTCACGGACTACCCCACTTCTCAACCCTTTGACTTGAAGTCTGATCAAAAAATTAGCAGAGAAGTATCAGGAGTTACATTCCTATGGTTGTCAGTGACGACAACAGATTCAAATGGCATTTGATCCTTTCGGATTGTCAAGCCCATGTATGCGTCATAGGTTTGAAATTAAGGTTCTCCAGCTAGTCCAGGTGGATCTGTATGTCCATCAATCCGGTTATAAACTCTAGATGTTCAAATTTACCGTCTTACTTTTGTGTGAACACCCCTGTTGCTGGAAGGCAGTCAATAGGCCTTATGAACACGTTGCAACATGAAAACGTTTCCAGAGGAAAGACTGAGGTCTACCCACTTTCTACCGTAGCATTTCAGCTGTCATGCTTATTGTCACTTATATGTTCGTCTTTCCAACTCCAGACGCTAGAACCATTTTCCCCCAGGCTAACAGGGAAAATTAATAGTTCTAGGCGTGGCACTACATTAGTGTTATTGTGGAGTGTACCAACATGTAACAAAGTAAAGCAATAGGAAAGTGGTAATTTTGTTATTCAAGTTTTGATTTGTAGGGGTTTGATTGATTGGTTACACGATTTCATAATGAGCTGACATCGGTTAAGGCGAACTATTGGAAAATTAGGGAGTACTGGACAGTTGTTTCGTCCTAATTTGTGACTCTTCATCAGTATGCACCCACCACAGGGGGTTCGAGTCCAGGACCTCCTGCTTACAAGGTGAGCCCGTAGACCATTCAGCAGCCACTGGGACCCTATCCGATGGCCCATGAATTCTAACTTCTGCCAATTCACGACATAGCGCTACCACTAGCCAATGTCATTCGTGGCAAGTATTTGTCCTCGCACCCAACCTGCTGTACCCTATGGTCACGACTTTGTATTTTCCAGTTTTATCTTGATATCAATAAGTTTTAGTGGTGTTTACGGACTTTATTTTGTAGTCTTCGCCGTGTTATTACATAACGTGAATTTTCGTTTGATGTTTTTAATGTTCCTCACCAATGTTATGATACATTGCATATGATCAAAACTAAATCTCCGTCATTTTTCTGTATAATAAAGGGTTGAAAACGAATTACGCAATACCTGATTTTAATGTCTTTTGTATATTTCACCTTGTAGATACTCATTGTTGGACTAATGCCAGTCTTAACAAAAATGCATTCTCTGCTCTCGGTTGCCTCTTCAACTCCTAATGAATATAATTTCCTTTGTAAATTTATCAGAGAATTTAATGCCTCCACTAGTTTAATAAAGACTAAGCCACAACTTTCAATGATTCATGAATCCAGAAGACATTTGTTGTTTTGGGCTGTTATTCAACGTCTTATACATTTTGGAATGACAGGTGACTTGTTGAATGCTTCTGTTTCCATTCTACGAAATGTGTGGAATTCTGTAGACAAAGCTGAATCTAATATTTTCACTGATGTTCTTCAGCTAATTGATACAATTATAGAAAATGGCTGTTCATCTCTCCTCACTCTGCATAAATCATTTTCCAGTCTACTCACATCACTTGATGCGTGTAAATCAGCCTATTGTGGTCAAACAGGCGTGAATGGTCTGCTTAAATGGCATTATTCTCATCAAATTCATAATGTTGATCATCATAATCTTGTATATCCATATTGTCAAACGAGAACTACACGTGTCACAAATGGAACATACACATATGACTCGATATCTCTTTTCCAGTTGTGTCTTATTTCTTTTTATCGTTTACATTTGGAGCGTTTGACAAGATTATCAACTCAATATGTAGGTATGTATTTCTTATCGATTGTAATCTATATTCACGTTGTTTTTAATGCATATATAAAAAAACGATAGCAAACACTATTTCAATTATCCTGTATTGGTTTGCGGGAATTTGATTGGGTACAGGTATGTTCATTACTTAACCATTGAAAATCTGGGGAGTACTGGACAGCAGATCTATCCTAGTTTGGGATTCTTTAACAGTACCTATCCACCGGGGCGGGGGGGGGGTTCGAACCAACGACCTTCAGGTTACAAGTCGAGCGCATAGACCACTCAGCCACTAGGACTGGATCCAGTTCGCGATAATTAGCTGAACTGCCAGCCGATGTTATCGGGGAGTAACTGTCCTCTTACTTGACTTGGTATGCCTCATAGGTCAGGAATTTGATTACGAACTGACATCAGTTAAAGGACTATTGAAAAACCAAAGAGTACTTGACAGCTGTTTCATCCTAGTTTGGAACTCTTCCGCTGTACTCACCATGTCAGGTAAAGAAAAAAACAATTACGCGCCTATAACATTGTGCTTGGTGGTTGGAATTCAAGCACCATTGGATTGCTTCTTAGTGGCTAGGTGTAATTGGAAGGGCGTTGGTAAGGAGTGCTGAAGAGTCTCAGACCTGGACGAAACAGATGTCCTGTACCCCTTGGTTTTCTGTTTATTTCAATTGATTATTTCACGAAAAGTCACAAGATTTGTTGTCATTATTTTTCGTTAACCGTACGCTGCATTTTCATTTGCCATTCTTTCGTCAGATTATGCATCTAGTAAATAATTATAAATAAATAGAATGCAAATAGGTCTACTAGAGACTGTAATGCTTAGAGTGTATCAGTAAAGGTATTTGATTCACTTATATATTCTTCTTCAATGGTAGGTAGAGGACCATAAAAACGATAGCAATTAACTGCCTAACTTTGTTCTCGTCAATTTTTATTTCAAACCACTGCCCCTAGTGTGTTTTTGAGCTCCAAGATTATACTTAGTAGTTCTTATTGTATCGTTTATGCTGCTCTACAATGATTGAATCAATAGGAAATCCCCCGTTGACGTTAAAGCTAAGATGTGGGGGCGTGGGGGGGGGAGGAAGTATGACTACATAATACTACCTCTCATAATTACACTTAACAGTAGTTCTCATAGTTTCAAGCAATTCAGTCGATCATATGCAAATCTGATCATGGTAATAACTGCTGTATGTGCTGGATAAAGTGTTTACACAGTGTACAGAATTCTCAACGTGATTTAGAACACAATACTTTCAATTTGTCCATGATTTTTTAGTAAAATAATGATCTATAGTATACATTGGGACGCTAGTGGTGTTTGTTTTTGTCAGGTCGGACAACCTGTCTTTGTTAGCAGTGAAGTCATGATTTAAGCATGCACTGACATGATATCCTGATTGGGAAGGTTTTCGATTTGTTTATTTTTAGCTTGAATTCTCGAGGTGTTAGTAATTCACACATCGCATGTATTTTGAATAATAAATAATGTTTTGTTGCTGTTGTTTACGCAGCTGAATCTGACCTTTGTGCTGATTTCAGTGCGAAGGTATTTTCAAGTGATCAAGTGGTAAGCTATAGGCTTGGTAACTGTACAACAATATAGACATCGCAATCATTCCTCGAACTCATCTTTATCTTCACTGTAGATGCTACTGCAACTGGAACACTGTCTGCATTCAGTACTTCACCTTCTTTTGACGAAACTTTTCTTAATATTAAATATTCCCATAGTAGAATCTAGGACAACACATTTAAGTGAACAATATTGTTTTCAATTAGATCTGATCAGGCTTCACTATAATATACATAACTTCACAAATAAATATTCAAATATAAAACAATCAAAATGATGATTTGTCAATACGACGATAAGATTGTGCATATAAATTGTACAATTAGTCAATAATAATAATAATAATTCTACCAGTAACAAGGATGAAAAAGTGAGGTGATCTGTGATAACAAGTATAACGAAAAACAGCATGATTAAACAAGCAAATATTCAGATAGAAGTAGTCGATAAAGGCTAGGAAAAACAGATGAACCGATTAAATAATGCTAAATTCTACGGGAAGTAAATAAAATTACGTTTTAATGAATGAATGGTAAAATTGAAGGGTAATAAGAGGGGGATTGAAAATGCAAATTAGGAGTGGTGGAGAAGTCATCATTTCTTTAAAAGCCAAAGGAGGGATAATGGCTGTACGAACTTCTTTTGAATGCATAGTTTAGGTTTAATAGTTCGAATGCCTATCACCTCAGCTATAGGTAGTAGACGAATACGAACGGAGTCTATTAGAAAGAGCCGGTAGAATATGATGAATAACCTTAGAGGCTTTCGTTTTCTCCACTAGATGACCACTATCAACCAAATATGACGAAACGAAGCTTATCATAGATTTTGTCTATCCATTGCCGAACCACGATAGGAGATTTTCGGTAATACGTTGTCTAAGCTATCTAGTAGTACGTCCAACATAACTGTCATCGCAGGTGCAGTTGCATTGATAAATGCACATAGATGTGGCAAAACTATCTGCCTTATCCATCGTTTGCATCTCAGTCAGTCGTCGGATAGAGAATGACAAACATAGGTTTGATGCGTTAAACATTCTTCATAAACTCCTGGAAAGTCTGTGAAACAAAATCTCACTTGACAAGTCGCCATTAATTTGTAACTTTATAAAAAGAAGGTTTTTTACGTGCAGTCATAGTCTCAGGTTTTCTCTCCAATGTTTTCATATGTTTCTTTATGAAACTAATCGGATAGCCTATCTCCTTCAAGGAATCATGAGTCATACACGCTTCTCCCAAATGACCCATCTTCTCACCAACTTAGCAAGACGTCCAGAAAATGTCATAAAATAAGGGTGCGTGTATATATTTTTGGTATATTTTTCCATTGTCTCTGATATATGAGCAACGGTAGTTTGAAGCCAATTAAATATGTGCGTGAGTAAATTTGGCAAATCAAAGACATAATTGATTGTTAAATGTATTATAGCAAATTTGATGTATTGTATTGTGATGAAATTAGGGCAGTCCAGTGATTTAAACATCCTGCCACTTAGGTGTTAAGCAAATTTGTCTACTTAAAGTTATTTGATGGATGGTGACTCGCAGTGAAATCTAGAATGCACGTTTCGCTCTACTTGGGACTCGTCATCTGGGTGTACTCGCATTCTCAGTGGGAACACCACCACACACACTGGGAACGCAAGTACATCCAGCTGACGAATCCCAAGTAGGACAAAATGCATATCTCGCTACTAGTCATCATCCACCAAATTACTTCAAGTTAATCCCCTAAGACGTCGTTGAAGTGTCCCCACTAAGAGCCGGACATATCAACGGTAGCCAAGCGCTTTTGTTCAACCAATCAGCAGGAAAGTCCAAATTGAATTGAATAACAAAGTTTGTCTACTGTTATAGATAAACTAGTTAATTTTTCTTTTCCGTGACTTTATTTTCTGTTTCAGCTGACCGTGATAGTCATTTTCAAAGTATAAAAAATGATACATTTCCATTGGGAGCATTGTTTGTACGCAGAAATATTGACTCACAGACATCCCTACTAATGAGATCTGTAAGTTCGTTTTTTCTCTTTTTTCAAAGAAGTTATTCATATTAAACATATACATGTTCAAAACAAGTTCACTTTTAATAGCTTGAAACAATTTTGGGCTTTGGTTATATGATCTTCATTATTATAAAAGATTTTGTATTTCCCAATGAATGAAAAACAAAACAATGTTTTTAAAGTATTGGTTTTGTGGAGGATTTTGTTTGATTGGTTGGAGGATTTCATCATTAGCTGACGTCAGCCGTGATCAGTAGGGTGCAGCAGGTAGAAAGTGAAGCAATAACTCGTCGAAGAAGACTTCGTGAAGTGGTCGCGCTATATCGTGAATTGTCAGAAGTTAGGATTCATGGACTGGCCATTGGATTGGGTCCCTGTGGCTGCTGAATGGCCTACGAGCTGGCTCGCCTTGTAACCAGGATGTCCTGGTTTTGAACCCTGATGTTGGGTGCGTACTGATGAAGAGTCCCAAACTAGGCTGACGAAACAACTAGCAGTCCAGTACTCTTTTCAGATTTCCCAATGGTTCTGTAGCTGATGTCAGCTCATAATGAAATCCTCCAACCAATATTATTTTTACTGACGTTTTGCTATTTAATGCTGTTAATAGCTTTTTATCAAAGTATTATTAAACCAAAATTTACTGAATCTCAGCTTATATATAACAACTTAATCATCATTCATCAGCATATGGTAATTTTTACGTTGTTGTCAATTTGACCAGTTGGTAAAGATAACAAAACCATGTGGAGATTGTTGGATATGATATGTCTATGAAACTCTAAAAACAATATGCGTTTACATAAGGAAGTTGCTTATCACATTTGTGTTGATTTTATCATTTTCCACGAGAGTGGGAGTGTTGCTATCACGTCGAATTCTGTCTTATTTCATCATTCCTATTCAGACAATTTGGATTCCCTTTAATATAAAGTGTTTTTGATACTAGAGGTTCTTTTTGATTTCAATATTTTCAAAATCAATTTTGTTGGTTGATTCTATAGCGTGTAGACCTATGGCTGACTGATGACTATTTAAGCTTCTCAACTGGATTTCTCAGTGGTTGATTAAAGACACCTCTACGGTGTTCATTTCTTCTGATTCTGATTTCCCGCTAGGCTTGTCCAAGCATTTTTCTGTATGGACACAGTTAGATTGTGAAACTTTTGGAATTTGGTGTTTTACATGTACATGATGTTTTCAGGAAAACCCTGATGTTATGTCGAATGACATAGCGTGCTAGGCCATCGTTGGAGTGCAACCCGAATGGGAAACGACGAGTTGTCGGTGTGTCCGAGGGTGACACGGAGGATATAGTGTAAGGAAGAGATGAGAGCTTATGGTTATTCGTGGAGCCAGTTAAAGAGGATCGTCACTTAAACTGCTTGAATCTGTCGCTGAATTAGATAAGCGCTTTTGTATCGCAAGTTTACTTCTTCTCAGCTTACTAGTTTTATTTCGATGTGATCCCGTTTGTGATCGCAAATTTTTCGTGTAGCTATTATCACTCACAAAGGCATGTTGTTCTATTCACCCTGACATTACTCATTAATACGAATAACATGTCTGAATTTCATCTTATCCACGAATGTCTTGAGATGTTTAGTAATACTTTGAATTCATAAATGTCAGTTTAGTTGTTGAGTGTTTTTAAATTACTTTCAAAATATGTTTATTCATCTTAAATAATTTAATTATGTTTTCTTTCATTGCATATATTTTTATGTTGATCTATACAGTGTATTCCTAGAGGTTTGCATCAAACAAACACCTATCCAGGCAAATCTTTAATCCCCTTGGAGACATATCAAATTCCTCAGCAAAGATTTCTCTGTATGTTTGGTGATGGCGATTCTGTTAACAATGCCTTCAATCAGTTATTACCACTTTTGGCTGAACTTGCATTCAAACTATTGAATAGCCTTTTGTGCGTGAATCGTATGTTTTCAGGTGATTCTAGTCTACACGAAAATTGTTTTGTCATCTGTCGTTTGCTTGGACGTGTTTGTTGGCATCTTTCAGGTGATACAGTTCGTAAACATTTCATTCCTGGTGGAAAGCTTACAAAATCCTCTGTGTATTCATTGTTTTACAAGTTTTGTCAATTTGGTCAACAGGAGTCATCTCTAATAAGTGATGTATTCATCGAATGCATGTGTCTTATTCTCAATTGTGAAAGATTACCTGATTGTCCACAAACTGTTAAACCGGATAATTATGGAACTACTCAAAGGTATTATTTAATAATATTTAGCTGAAATATTCTATATTTTGATTGTAACTTACTTATAATGCCTGTAGTGATAATTGATTATTTTGTCATTCCATTTTTTTTATTTATGTAAGAAGTAATTTACGAATTCGTAAGTTGGCACAGTTTCGCATCCCTGGCAAATGCCAGTTTACACCATCTCTGGTTTAGACATGATATTCGGCTGGTTATAGACCAGAGGGCGTGTATGCTGCTCAGCAGTCTGCTCCGTCTTCCTTTATGGCTGTGAGACCTGGCTATTGAGAGTGAAAGACATGAAAAGCCTGTCTAGTTGTTTTTGATCACAGGTGCCTGCGTTCTATCTCGCGTGCATGCATGCCTAGCCATCGCCTTCCTCGACCGACGGGTAATGTTAGCTGACATAGGATCGATCAGGTTGAACAAGAGCCAGTGGTGGTCGCTTCATCAGTCAGTGAAATCACTGACAGTTAGTTCAAGCCAGCCATGTAGGGAGGTGTAGACATACTGGTTGGGGCGCTCGGGATGGTAAAAAAACCAATGAAGACTTGAGACAATTGGTGATATGGCTCAGAATCGTTCCCAATGGCTGTTGCAGATGCATCCACTCCGTGTGACTTATAATACCCAATAAAACTATGTGGATCTTAGATATTAATATTCTTTCTGCCTCATATCTCTGTTTACTGTCTCTGTTGTGCGTTTCTTTTTACTTTCTTCTCTTGCCTTGTGTGCTGAGTGAAGTGTGGCGACTCGAACTGCTGCACATCGATGCAAAGTTCTATGTTGAAACCAGTCAGTCGTCCCTCAACTAACTGTGACCAAACGTTATCTGAGTGTTAGACTAAATGGTGTGTTAGCGTTGTTGTTTACAGGACTTCAATAATCGTTGTCTGTCGATATATTATTATTATTGCTCGTTTGGGTCCCTAGTGGGACTTAGGGATTCAATCTTGCCGTCATCAGTCCAAAGGAGGTCGGTTCCCATTTCATAAGAGCTTTGGTTGCTACTGGTGACATCATGATAGCCGCTCATTGCCTCAGTGTTCTGGTGGTTGTCGTCTGGGTGACGAGACCGGATAATACTATTCAGTTGGGATAGTCCACATCCATTCCACCTGGTTTGGTAGATTCCTAGTACTTCCATGCCGTATCTTCTCATTCCTTTGGCTACCTTGGGAGTCTTCCTACCTGGCTTCGTACACTGTACTAACACTCCACGTCCCCATGCTTATTTTTGCTTTCATCGACAGAAGATACATTGGCTGGTTGACTGGCTTCCCGAAGGCTTTTACCACTTCGTGTCATTTCGTCTCTCCGATTCCAAGGAAAAATAAGTTTGTAGTTTATATTTATGATATTTTTCTTATGCACTGAGGTTTCCGTAGCTATCTGATTGATTTTCTGGGATTGGGTCGCTGGCCTCAAACCCCCCTCTTTTCTCAGGATGGACTAGTAGACTAGTGAACTAGTAAAGTAGGTGAGGTTCTGATGACACAAAGACCTGTTATTATTATTATCATTATTATTATTATGCTCTGGTCCTTCCAATTCGGAGGACTATGTGTTTAAATTTGGATGAAATGAGATTAACAATACTCATAGGTGTACAATGAAACCTAGCAAAAACGTGTCACATAAGATCTACAAGCCTACTGTATGCTATACTTAGGGAATAGCTAACTCAATTGTGAGGATCTTGACTACTGAATTACTATTGCGGAAACCATACCATGTAACGTTGTTGGTACTCATGTTATTGGACTATAGTTATTAAATTGCCCGATTACGATTGTTGTATTATTATTATAATTATCCCCTTGTTTGCCGAGTGGAACAAAAGGCTTCAACAGCACATCTACACTTTGTCCTGTTCTCTACAGTCCTTTTTAACTCATTCCACAATTGCCCATTAATCTCTCATCTCCTCTTCACAAGATCGCCTCCATGTCACTGTCGGACCTACGCACAACCACCCCCTATTCACCTCCATTTTCTTCAGAACATTCGTTGGGAAACAGGTTTGTGATTGGTTCGTTTTTCTCAGTTGCTAATGCTTTCTAACCGGTCATGTGATCTTCAGTATAGAGCTAGCGAAGACAGCTATTGATAAAAGTCCACAGCCTGTTGTCTGATTACAATAGTCTCGTTGAATTCGTTAGACGATTCTGGATTGATGCACCAATTTATCAATTTACTTCATGAATTCCATAAATTGTAATATGTCGTCCCATCTAATTTAAATATCTCTTGTGGTCTGTTATTTTTTTTGTTTGTCATATATTTTAATTCTTCAGTATTCTCTGAACTACACTGTTGGTTAATACCTTGTAAAGCTTTCACTGCCATGCTTGACATAACATCTTCGGCGTGATATATATATATATATATATATATATATATATATATATATATATATAAACAGGTCATCTGCTATATATCACGTTCTCTGAACTTATTCCATTCACGTCAGCCAAACCAGGAGACTCATAGTCTAAGTGGGCGTTTGCTATTGTTATTATTTTTGTTACAACAAACTTGTTACATTATGGGCAGGGAAAGATGTGCCACACAAAATCTCTTAGTGTGTGCAAGGACTGGCATTACCGTACGGATTCCCAGATCGAAGCAAGTGGTTGTCTTAAAGGGCCACCCCCCTCCCGCGTCGAGCCACTGACTTGAAGTCTGATCCGTTATTCAGTGGAGATTGGCTGACTTACCGGTTCCAACATAGAGATTTGCACAGAATAGCATTATTTCGAGTTACCAGTCTTCTTGTAGGAAAAAAGAGATTCGAAAGAACGATGATAAACAGAAATGTGAGGGAGAAAGAAGAGTAATATGAAGAAACAACTTCCCAAACAACTGAAGTGATCAACACGCTCTACCACTTTACTTCCTATCTTTAGTTCGTGTAATCCAGTCCCTCAGCATAATCTTTTATTTGACAGGAGCGAATCGCATGTCAAACACTGGAAGATTGCAACTCAGAGTGTTCAGATGACTGTATTTCATCAACGGCTTCACCTAGGAGGACTATTTCATTTGTATATTCTAAGTCAACATGATCATTCCCTGATAACAGGTGAATCCTTAAGTCAATGAAGTTACGCATTGGATCATAGGAATTATTAAAAAGATGGTTGCAGGGAAGTTAGTTAAGGTCGATTCCATTAGTATATCTTTGATGAAATTAAACAGAATTGCAGATGATGAGCGTCCCTGATGGACACCACTAATTGTCATCACTTTAGATGATAACTCTCCATAAGTCAGTGGCGAAGCACGTTAGGTTATGTTCCAATGCTTTCAAATGACCAATACCGATTCATGCACCATTCGATCGATCGGGGTTTTCCAACTCCTTTAGGTGTAGACCTGCATGGTTGTTCAAATTCACTTCCCAGCCATCCAAAAACAGTGAATAGGACTTAACTGGCAGAAGCCGTGAACTCAAGACCACTTTAGAGCTTTTCTGAGAGGAAGACCGAGATCAACCCACTCTCGGTCTTGCCAATTCATTTATGGAGATAAAAACAATATGCGTCTGTATTGCTAGTCATTCCCCTTTCTTTCCCCGTAATGCTTGTGTTTTTGTCTGTTTTGTTAACTCCACGTTATATTTATTTTTTTCTATGCTTGTCTTTTCATTGAATTCAGTATTGATCTGCATAAATCTAAGAATAAATCGTGGCCTTATCCGAATAACTCTGTGGTTAATTATGATGTCCAACAGTGCATGAATACACTATGGCATCTATTACCGAATCACCTATTGTCTACTGCTCAATCCGTTCTATTCAATCCATCAAACTTTTATTCATGCAATTCAAGTGATCATTCACATGTAGGAGGAGGAGTCGGTGATAACGCTGCTTCTGCTGCTGATAATGATGATGATGGTGATAACAGGAAAAGGATGAAATCATCGACAAATGGTCATTATGCCTTATGCGAATTATTCTCTAATTGTATAAATACTTTACTAATTAAAAAATCAGTATCAATTCATTTTTGCTATTCAGCACATACCTGTGAAGAGGGTGTAATAGATTCACATCCGTGTCTTTTGAATCTTTTACGTTTGTATTGTGGAATTGTCGGTGAACCGAGTTTTAAGTAAGCATGAACTTTTATGTCTGTATTGATTTGTTTGTTGTCTAAAGATCTTTTTCTTAACACTGTAAAAATTACCCATCTAGACATAGAAATAAGAATGAATAGTTGAGCGATGAGAGAAATTATTGATGAAAAAGTCTCTTCATGGAACTACTTCTTTTTTTATTCCTTTGCGTTCCCAGTGGAACATAGGGCTTCAAGTTTGAAGGTTTCAACTTTCAGTAGAAATGGTGATTTTCTTCTTATAGGGTGGGAGGTTGCTATCCTCACACCCAACCTCTCCTCCTTGTCGGGATTATAACTGGCTAAGGAAGGTAAAGGTGTGCATTGGCCGGGATTCAAACCCTGGACCACGTGCATGGTCGGTCGACCAGCAATCTGTCGCTGAACAACCGATGCACTGAACTACTATTTTATTCCTATTTGCAACTGTAAATAGCCGTGTTTAATAACTCTCTCTGTATATAACTAACTCTCTATACTTTCATTTATTTGCAAAGTGTCAATGGCGTGGACGTGATATCCGGGTATCGATCAAAGGATGTTTTCACTGCACAGCACCAGTTCTCTCCATCCTCCTTTATGTCTGTGAGATATGGCCATTGAAATTAGAAGACATGCAAATACTAACTGTTTTCGATCATAGGTTTTCGCATTTTATCTCCCGTATTAGGTGGTAGAATATAGTGAATTAAATAGAGAACAGGCGTCGACTCTTAGGTAAGGAGTACAAATCAATCGATGAGTTTGCGAAGTTACATCGATTGAGATGCTTCGGACATATGTTGTGCATTCCCAACCGTCGCCTTCCTCGATGGTCGATATTAGCTGACATAGGATAGCATGAAAAATAGCAACTATCAGTTAAAAAGATTTAGTCTAAGAAATCTTCAACAAGTAGTTTCAGCTAGCCACCTTGGGAGGTGTAGACTGCGTGGTTGAGGTCGTCGGAGTTCTAATAACCTATAACTCGAGGCGATTGGCGATGTTCCTCGAAATCGTTCTCAATGATGCAGATGCATTTACTCTTTGTGATCTCCCATATCTACTACATATTATTACATATTATGCAACTTTTCTACTAATCCTGTATTATTTTGAATTCTATGTCCCTTGAGATTTACATATATTCATCCTTCATCTCACACCTTCAAGCTTTAATATCAATTTGAAAATTATCATCCCCTTTAATCCTGCTTAATTCGTCGGTGTTTCGGTGTTCGATTCCTGACCGACTCACTCCTTTTATCTCACCAAGATGATAGTAACCTCGATGGTAAAGAGGGAAGGTTGGGCGTGATGGCTGGCGTCCTCACTACTGAAACTTCATTTCTGAGGCTTGAAGCCGTATGTTCCACTGAGGATGCAAAGAAATACAATAATTAATTAATTGATCCTTTTCCGTTACTATGTTAGATTAAATAATAACTGCGTAACTATGGCAACTTAGATGTATAAAAATGCTATTGTGCAGCTATTGAGGTTAGAATAGGTTTTTCATCATCTTATAATCTCTTTTATCTAGTGATCAGTATGTGTTAGCTAACTATGTAGCCTTTGTGTGATTCCCATCTACTGTCACAAAACTTGTAAAGCCTTTGTTCGGTAGGAAAATCAATCCTTCTTCAAATCAGCTATGAGACATCATCATATAGAGGTTATCTTAAATCTTATTCTATAACTTAGAAAATTTATTAAATATTTCTTGTTGAAGAAACGGTCCATCTTTACTCTCTTTATTTTTACCATAACTGAAAAATTGTTCGGAAAATCTCTTCTCATGGTTGATCTAATCATAATATTTTTACTTATTTGCGTATTTCAAATAACTTTGTAGTCATTTTCCGCTTGCCTCCTAGGCTGTATATCATTATTTTGACATTTGCATAATATTTATTGATATGATCCTTATTATTATTTGTCTCTGTGTGTGGTTGTTTAATTCCTAATTTCAACGCTTCTCTTTTTGGTTGTGTGGTGATATTGGCAATGTGTTGATTTTACGGCTGAGATTTAGTTTGGGTGAATCAAAATCATTCTGACCCTGAAATTTCAGTGGGTAGCGTTGGTGTGTAATTCTTATGAACAGAGTTTTTGACTCCACACTTTATGTAAATATTCTACTTGATTCTGAGTGTGCTTGTGTTGTAATGTAATTAAACCCGGGCTGTACAGCTGCCTAACGGCACTGTTGAGATAATTTTTAGTTAGCATAGATCTAACCACGAATAATCTCCTCTTCGCTGTCTTTGGAGCGTTTTGTTTTTGTGTCCGCGCGTGTCTCTAGAAAGTTTTCCCAGATATGCAGTAAGAAGGAGAGATTAGTTCCCTGTGTTCATTCGACAACGAGTCGGGTTCGGTCGCAGCAATTACTGTCAGTCATTTGATTCTGTGATAGTGGGAAAGCACATTCACTGTAAAAGATATGTGAATACAAATAACAAAAAACGTTTAGGTTTTGTTAGCCGGTAGGATTTCTACGTTTAGCCTGAATTATCATCTGCCTATATGAATTACTACTTAAGTTATATTTATAAATATTCCTTTGAGTTGTAAGTGGAGCATCGAAGACTTCAGTAGCTCATTTCCATTTCATCCTGCTTTCTACAGTCCTCTCTAGCCGACTGAACGATTGCCCATAAAATCTCATCTCCTTCATGTTATCATCAAAAACACACCTAACTCATCTTCTCCCTTTCGGGTTCCACTCGAGCAGATGGCCTGGCGCAGGATGTCACTCAACTGTCTACTCAACAGCGTGTTTTCGATACAGCTTCATTTTCTTTAGCATACTTGTTGGACAAATAGGTTCTTGGTTGTTTTGTTGACAGGCAGAATTTCCTGTTGTTAATTTATTTCTGACTGGTGGTCTGATCTTGAATATTGAACAAAGGCATTTTTAATGTAAGTCTTCAGTAGACTGTTGGAAATGATGACGCACTGGCCAAGTCTCTAAACCAAATAGAAGCACTGATGATTAGACATTTCAAGGAATTAAAAATATTCAAGTGTTGGTTTGCAGGGTTTGATTGGTTTCAGTATTTCGTCATGAGCTGACATCGGTTAGAGAACTATTGGAACACCTGGGAGAAGTGGACAGCTGTTACCTGGATTCTAGTGAGAAGTCGTGACCAGTAGGGTACAGCAGGTTGACTATAAGGACAAATACTCGTCACGGACGACATTGGCTAGTGGTCGCGCCTAATCGTGAATTGGTAGAAGCTTGGAATTCATGGGCCATCGGATAGGGTCCCTGTGGCCTAATGGTCTACGAGCTCACCTTCCAACTTGAAGGTCCTGAATTCGAGCCCAGTTGGTGGGTGCGTACTGATTAAGAGTCCCAAACTGGGATGAAACAGCTGTCCACTATTCCATGATGATTTTCAATAGTTCTCTAACCTATGTCTGCTCATGATGAAACCCTAATTACCGAACAGTCTGTTTTTTTACAGTTGCAAAGTAGTATAAGAAAATTAATTGCTTAATTTTTCATGTTTTAGTATTAAAAGTTATCAGTGTTTCATAACTTATCTTTATAAAAAATGTTGTTTATGATTTTTATTTTTTTATTCCCTTCTTTTCTGTTCTATTCATAACTACCTAGGCCTTGGAAAATCCTTCCACCTAGTGTGAATCCTGAAAAATCCTCATGGCATAGAAATAATGATCTACAAATAAATATACACATTAAAAGCGTTAAATATGTATTGGAATCAGTTAAAAACTTTGTATTATCAATTCAAAAACAAAGCAATTCATATGCAAACTCACCTTTTATGAAGAGAAATATTGAACTTCGTCGTGATTTATACACACTAACTATTCAATTCTTAGCCTGCGTAGCAGCTGATTCCTCAGATTTACGTTTATTCATTCTTAAGTCTTCCGAATTTTCAACATTTTCAATTGAATTGCTTACAGATTCTTCATTTGAAGAAGGTATAAATCGTTCAATTACTTCAGCTTTAGAAGTACTCTTCACATGGTTTGCATATACAAAAGTGGAAGAGAGTGACTCCGCTATTCATCCTTTTGATCAATTTTGTCTTGAACAGTTGACTGCTCTATTCCCAGATTATTCTATAACTGCATCATTACCATTCACTCAGTAAGTTAGTATTGTGTGTTGATTTTGCATTTTTCTTTAAATAGTTGTAACTTTGAAATTTCGTATTCCCTAAAGAATAATTCACCCCCACCCCTACCTTCTCTCCTCTCTCTCTCTCATTGCTTTGCGTCCCCGGGTGGAACACACGGCTTGAAACTTCAGCGTTGAAGTTTCAGTAACAGTGGTGTGTTGTTTACCGGTTGTGGGCACCAACCTCACATCTAACCTTCCCTTTTTACTTACCGTCAGGATTACTGTCGTCTTAACGAGGTAAAGAAATGAGTCGACTGGGAATTGAACGCCGAATCCTATTTGTGTTTGGCGAGTATTCTTCCGCTTGACTACGAATGCATCAAGTAGGATTAAAGGGGATATGAATTTATATATATATATATATACGGATATATCAGTTGATCTGCTCTTTTTGAGCTGAACACATAGGTCGTTTGATACTCCTTTTAAATCGTATTAGAAAACACTACCCACTGTGGCTATGAAGAGACAGCAATGGTTCAGTTACAAGAGGTACGATTGAACAACTTGTCAGCATCTATTATAACATTTCAACTGATTCATCGTCGGTCATATTTATTTACAAAGTAAGCAAACATCTAATAAAATGAGTGTGTTTCCAACTTCTTTGTATGAAGACGACGGAGGTATGTATTAAAAGGAAGCTAGTTCAACCTTTTTGTCTAGAGTGAATATGAAGTCATGTTTTGGTCGTTAATTGACTGCTTTTACATTCCCTTCAAAGTGAACTTGGAAAGAAAGGGAAGGTTGGGAGTGTGACCAACAAACCCCATTGTGTAAAAAGAAAATACTATTTCTAGAGAAATTTCAAGGTTTAAAGACCTTTATTCTAGTTGGAATGTAAAAGAATGAAGGAAACAAACAGTGAACTGTAATTTGTCAGTTTTCTGTTGTGTTATTCACGTATTTATAACGTTGTTTATTTTATTTTATTTTTTTATTTGGCTGTTAGTAACTCCGTTGCCAATTTGTTATAACTGAACTGAACTGAACTGAATAAATCCGTTCGCTACTTTGTTATGTCTGTGCCTGTTATTAATCACTATAGCGGCGATGAACTCGACTAATACGCCAATATGTCTATTTGTCCGATGTGTACACCTTCCAATTTTACTAAACCATTCAAATATCAAAAGATAAAGGCTGACCTGTGACTGTCAGATAATGTAGGAAACAACACATGATAATTATACATTTTCTTTACCATAATAAAGTCGGATCACAACCGTGAGAATGGATTGTTCCTACTGTCTGGATATGACTAATCTCATTGGTTAGCGATCTGACAAAGACTAAGGTGAGACAAAAGACGATGAACTGATCACACACTAAATCGCAATATGCTAAGAGAAATGATACATTCATCACAAGATAAATCACACGTTTGGTGAGAATGGATGATATACTATGTTATGCTAAGAGAAATGATACATTCACATAGTAACTCCATCACAAGATAAATCACACGTTTGGTGAGAATGGATGATATACTATGTTATGCTGGAACCCCAACACTTTTGATTGACTATGTATGAACGTCTATCGATCAACGAACATGTTGAATGCGCACCAGTTTGCTCCATCCCTCCTCTATGGCTGTAGAAAACGGCTATTGAAAGTGGAAGACTTGAAAAGGTTGGTTAGCTGTATTTGAGTATAAGTGCCTATGTTCTCTTTCCCGTGTCAGAGGGTATAATAGGGTGAGTAATATTGAGGTTAGCCTTCGATAGGAGGAAGAGTCAATCGATGCGGTTGTGAAGGTGAATCGATTGAGATGGTTTTGAATTGTGTTACACATGCCCGGCGGTCATTGTGAGGTCATAAAAAATCAGGTTGGAAAAGAGTTCGGGCGGTCAAAAGCAAAACTTGGGATCAGCGCATGAAATCTGTGACAGTTGGTTTGAGCCAGCCATGCAAGGAGGTGTATGCTGTCTAGTTGGTGTTGTTGGGATTCTAAGAACCAATAGCTGGTGGCAATCGTTCATATGTCACGAAATGGTTCTCGATATTGCAGATGCATCCACTTTTTTTTTCTAATTTTCCATAACATTTGTTCAAAAAGGGAGTGCTATAATTGAACATATATTCAACACTGGCCACTTAATATGCAAGGAGAATTCATTCAAAATCATCTACAAAGTTAAAAAAAAAAGCTTCCTGAAACTGGTAGGCTTCCGTATACTTTGTATTGCTGAGACATTAGCGATTCAGATGAAAAATCCTGATTTATGCACACAGAACAAAAACTTCTCCATTCCCTCCTTCTACCTTGGGTATAATCGCAAGTTCGACTACTTTGTTACTAATACTATTTTTGAATTTTTGTATAACATTTTAGTAACATCTTTTTCTTATCTAACCGTTTGTTTACTCTTCTTACCTACTATATAATTTATTTTTGGACACTTGTCAGCTCATGATGAAATCCTGTAACCAATCAATCAAATCCCTGCAAACCAATACTTGAAGAAAATAGGATGTTAATGAAAAGCATGGAGACATCTGTTAGAGAATCATTGGAAAACCACCTGGGAGTACTGGACAGCTGTTTCCCTCCTAGTTTGGAACTCGTCATCAGAGTTCAAATCCCGGTGGTTGTGTGCTGATGAAGAGTCCCAAACCAGAATGAAACAGTTGTCCAGTACTCCCAGGTGGTTTTCCAATGGTTCTCTAACAGATGCCAGCTCATGATGAAATTCTGTAACCTCTCCCATTTTCTGGGTGTCATTCGTATTACGTAACCCTAGTCAAGACTTACTAATCTTCAGCCGCCACCATAGTTACAATATAATTATTCATCACATTTTTTGGAAACATTTTGATGATGTAAACAATGAAGCTAACTAATTTTTGTTCTTGTCTGAAAACCTGACCTACACACATACACACGAATAATCATGTAACTGCGATTGTACAGCAAACTGAATGAATTCGCCGCCGAAAAGCGACTCTTCACTGAACTGTTTGTTCTTATTTTCCATATCTGTCAAACCTTCATATTTCTCCACGTTACTATTTTTTTCTATCTCCTTCATATTTCTGCTTATTATCCTTCCTTTGAATCTGTTTTTCTCTCTTTCCTCTTGCTTTGAATGACGTACACGGAGTTTGGCAAGCTGAACTGGTGCAATTCTGTGGAAAGTAGTTCTATATTGAAGCCAGTCAGTCAGTCACTTACTTTCTATCCCCAATGAATCAGACAGCTTGAAAATTCGGTCTTGAAGTTTCGGTAGCAGTGTAGTGTAAGTTTGTTTTACCGAATGGGGTTCGCTAGCCTCATAGCGAAGCTTCCCTCCTGATGAACTGGGCTTACAGACAGTTACGTCAGGTGTAAGTGTGTGCCGGTTGGAAATCGAACTCCAAACCACATATGTGGTTGGCGAGTATTCCTACTAGTGAACCACTAACGCGCATAACCAAGGTACATGTGTATATATTGCTGTTTTTATTATTTTTAAATGATGGTCACTTACTTTGAATATATTATTATCGTATTATTCTTATTATCATATGTCTTATCATCATTACTATTCAGATTTGAACTCGATACTGACATGACCAAAGGACCTCGTGATCTACGAGCTGTTCTTTTAACTGCTATCTGTTCACGTGTCAAATTATGGAAACAAGTGAAGATTGAAGACTGTGAAGTGAATGAAACCACTTCATTACTTCATGGAATTGAAGACAATATCATCTCTTGTTCATCGCATACACTATCATCTATGTCATCTGAATACCTGTTGATTATTTTTAAAATGATATCAATTTATTTATATCATCGTCTTAGATGGCTTAAACGGCAATTCTCATCATCATCAAGTGGTGGTGGTAATATTGTCAGTCAACGTGATGTAAATAATAATAATAATAATAATAATAATAATAATAATAATAATAATAATAATAATTTCGAGGCTTATTTTCTTTGCTTATCATCATATTCAACTATCATCGATGAAGAATATGAATTTTATGATAAAAATTCCACTTTATGGTCAACAATGTCTAGTAATCAAATTCGTCGGTTAAGCAGTATAAATCCTGATCATATATCAGAAAATCCAGCTTCTCTTGGCTCATTATATATGATGAATCAGTTAACCTGTTGTTGTTGTTATCTCTGTGGGATATGCTCTGCTGGTAATGTCTACTCACAAATCCTGTCTTCATCTCTATATCATGATAAGTGTTTATCTTTTATTCTTGGTAATTTGTGTAAAATATTAATTGAAAATTCTAATTCTACAGAGAGACAAAAATTGTTTACATATTTTACAAAGAATACAGAATTATTTCTAGCATCATTACGTGTTAGTCATGTACCGACTTCTCTGAGTACAATGATTACATTATCTTGTCTTATTAATGGATGGAAAACACTGAGACGATTAACTGATCTGATTATTACTCATTTTAAAGCATACAGTGTATGTGATTGGTTATTTTATTGTATACTGACTATTACAACCTACCCTTCTTCGTCTCTCCGCTTCTTCTATCAATAATGAAAAGAAATCAATGCCTACATCTAGAATGAAAAAACACTTAATCCATGCATTGTTATATTCACACCCGTTAAATTCATGCTGTCTATTCTTATTGTTAAGTTTATTCATTTCAACCGATACCAATTTATTCCGTAACAAAGACTATGCTGATGTTATTCTACGTACACTTGTTGATGATACACAGTGTTTAGCAATGATGATAGAAAATCAAAATACTGTTCTCCCCTCCTTCATCTCTTCATCGGAGTATGCAAACACACGGAATAGTATCAATTCATGTGAATTAGGTCAAGCTTTATTGAATCAATCATTATTCTTTCATATCCCGTGCTACCAACAATCTTCAGCATTGAATTTTCATTGTTTAAATCAATCTCTGCCTATCGGTTTGTTTGGTCCAATTAACATTTTCAAACAATCATCATTAAAGTGTTTACAGGATACCATCGATTTGAATTATCCGTCGACGAAAAAAGATAAGCAAACGTCAAATACTACTACTACTACTAGTTGTCAATGTGCAAATACACTTCTGCCTAATCCGAGGGTGAATAAAACCCGTATTGGTAATTCTGAGGATGATGGTGATGATGATGATAAAGCATTGATGAGAATTTGTCGAAAAGATTTGATTGATTTTGCGCCAACAGCCCTGATTTATTCCGATATACTAGATGAACAAGTGACATCATTCTGTAGAACACTATCAGTTATCGATGAGTATAATGTTGACTGTGAGAATATCATTTTCCCAATGTATTTAGGCCATTCTGAGTATAAATCTGCACCGATGACTTGTACTGAATCAAGTAAAACTGAAGATGGTGATCCTAAGAATTCGAACACTACTAGTACTCATGATAATGCTAATAAAAGTAGTAATGATAGCAGTACAACTAATGCTGACCTGTCGAGTAAAATTCTTCCCGAGAAATTCAGCTTATCCGAGTTTACAAGAACAAGTTTCAATTTTCAAAATGATAATGAATGCTTACAAATTGTTGTTCGACTGCCGTGTTTAATTCAATTGGAATGTGTATTTTTATCAACAAAGAATTCAGCTATGTCAGGTAACTATGATTCTCTTATTAGTGGTATTGATAATAATCATAATAATAATAATGGTAATAATACTTATATATTCATATCTTATTTGATAATCACACTTATTATGCCACTACATTTCACCAAATTTTAAAGTACTTTGAATAGATTTGAAACACAAAAGTTGTAAAACAAAACACCTAGTTCAACGAAGGAGCTCTTTTCAACGAATTCATTTCATTGGTACAAACACATTTGTATGCTCAACAGTACTGTCAGAACAAATTTTTTCGTGCTCTATTGAACAGTGTTCTGACGAAGTTCTTTTTATACTGGATTGGAACAAAACTCTTGAAATGCATGTACTGTCCTGTCCATGAAGACTTTCTAAATATAGGTCTTTCGATTGTGCCATCATTCATTTTCGCCAGAAAAACGTCTAGGAATTTAATAGTATCGTTTTCCTCGTGTTCTACTGTGAAATTGAGATTTGGATGGCATGAGTTGAATTTTATCAGCATGTCTTCGGCCTTTGATCTGCTTCCACAGACAATAAAAATGTCATAAACATATCTTAGGTATTGATCCATTTCTTGTATATGTTGCTGGGTCGTTGGTTCAGTGATAGAATACTCGCCGACCACTCACATGGTCCGTAGTTTGATCCCCAACCGCGACACACTCCTAAACTTCACTTAGTCTGTAACAAGCCCGGTAAAGAGTGAAGGTTGGGCGTTGGGCTAGTAGTCTTATCCCAACCAAAATAATCAATACCACTTCTGCTGAAACTTCAAAGTTAATGCTAGAAGCCCTATGTTCCACCGGGAATGCAAAAGAAGAAAAGAAGAAAATCACTTTCGAAATGTGTTTGATGAAGTTCAGTTTTTTAAGACGTAATGGAAGGATTATATACCTGTGATTGAATTTGTTTGTTTGTTCTGAACTAATACACTGTACAAAGTAAAGAAGATTACTATTTTATTTTGTCTATAAGATGATCTTTAACATCATGTTGTTGTTTTCGCTTTTTTTCTTCCTTCATCGCCTTTCCTAGCTAGTCCTGCAGCCGTTGAAGTTGAATTATATCGTGATCTACCCGGTTCTTCTCGACGATCGTTTGTTAGTGCACATAAATCTGGTACATTTCCATCAGCCAGTAGTAGTAGTTCATCTTGTCAGAATACACACACTTCGTGTCCTGAATTTCATACAATTACTTTTTCGCCTCGTTTAGTATCACATGTTCTACTACGACTTTATCGTCCTTTTGATCGTGATAAAAATCTTCATGTGAACAATTTACGTCTGCTAGGACAACATACAGATGTTAAACAGTTTTGCAAAGAAATCCGTGTAAATAATCCTGACAATTTTGCAACTACGAGTGCTAAACGAGCAAGTACCAAGTATTCAGATATCAAAATGCGGTAAGGTGGTGATATTTCACTGTGTAATTATTTTAATACAGTGCATAGAGAATATTTGTAGTTCAGGTGGATTATTTTTTTTATTTCGGTTGTTGTGTTCTCTGAGCTTCCGGTTAGTGTAATTGCAAAGTTTGCTTTGTTCTACTAGACACAACTGTCCATTGGATGACAGTCTAGGGGAGATGGCTAAACCCTGATTCCAACCTCCAACGACTGGCGTATGAAGCTCACTGGAGCTACGCAGACGTATGGACAAATGGCCTGTTGGATGTCCTGGATGTCTGGCCCCATTCAAAAAGGCGTATGAACCGAACTCCGGTCACCGGCTGACAATGGATAGTGGACTCCCTACTCCACTCCTACTGCCTTGTAGGTCACACTTGGTTGTGTGAAGGCTAGAGCTGCACTCTCAAACAAAAGGCCGAGCGATTCTGGGGACATCACTCGTACCAAATTCCCATGAAACTTCATGAACTCTCTTGATTCGAGATGTTCATGAAGCCGGCTCATCCTCCCGTAGGAGATAGCCGAAGTAAAGTAAAGTGAGACACAACATCTCCAGTGCAAGCTTTAGTTCAATATGCGTCACATTAAAGCTAACGTTGAAGATGTTGTCTAGGTGGACAATGAAAGCTTCTCAATTGAACTGATCAGCAGCTCAAAAAATACAACCAAATCAAAAAAAGTAAAGTGAATATTTTTATCTACTTCAAGATTTCAAAATCATACCGCTTTCAAGATTCCTTCACTAAATTTCTCTGTATTTCCTGAAGTCACTGTATTATATACTTTGACGTAGGGATAAAAATTGGACACTGTGGTAGAGTATAATTACATTATGGATAAAATTTGTTTTGATAAAGTCATAAAGTGTTATGCAGTAATATCTACTGATGATGTTTCGAGCACAATTTATTACTCTGCTCATAATCATATCAAGTTGCTCGTACAACTTTCTTGCTTCTCTGGACTGGTAGGAACCTGTACCTGCACTCACTCTGGCAGGCGGTGAACTGCTTAAAGTTGTCGATAAGTTCGTGTACCTGGGTAGTTGTGTGAGTGCTAGCAGAGGCGTGACGGATGAGATTTCTAACCGTATCATGAAAGCTAGGGTGGCATATGTCAACTTGAGCCACCTCTGGCGCTGTCGCGACGTCAGCCTAGCTGTCAAAGGTTGGCTTTACAATGCTTCTGTGCATGTTGTCTTGCTCTACATCAAGGGAACGTGACCTCTCCGAGGTGAGGATGTGTGGCGACTCTGTGTATTGGATCATCGCTGTTTCTGTAGGATTGTTTGCGTTCGATAGCATCATCGTGTAAGTAATTCTGAGGCCTAGCTCGTGTGTTTGGATACAGTGGAGATTACCACTCATTGAGTGTCATCATCTGGACACCGTCTTTGGTGGCTTGAACATGTGCTGCGAATGTCATTCCAGAGGCTTCCGTACAAGTCTCTGTTCGCTAGCCCTGGAACGGGATGGAAAACGTCGAGAGGTGATTAGCCCATAGCGTGGCGTCGTGTAATGATGGATATTTGTGGTAAGTTAACGTCACAACTCCCTGCTTGGAGTTCGAGAGACAGCTCGAATCGGTGGCTCGAGACGCTATCGGATATGGCCAAGAATCTCAATCAATTTACGAACGTTCTGAAATTTACTCCTTTCTTCCCTTTCCGACAATAAGTGATGAATGCTGTTTGAACTTGTTAAATGTTCTCTGCCTATATTTTTACTTTTTCTTCTCATATGTTGTTTTATTATTATTGTGCCATATTGTACCAAGTTTTTTTTGTGTCTAACTAAATAAATAAATTCTTGCTTCTCCATACAAACGAAGTTAGAAATTTCTGTGAGTAACTTGATATGATTATGAGCGATAAATTGTGCTCGAAACGTCATCAGTAGATATTACTGTATAACACTGTATGACTTTATCAAAATAAATTTTATCCATACTGGAAGATACTTTGTCAGTTTGAAATCGATATTCTTAATCAGTCAGACTTTGATTGGACACTAACTAGTTTCATTTGTCTAGACCTTTTGTTTACTGCAGACTGAATTTTATTAGTCAAGTTTGCAATGTGGCCACCATGCTAAGTGGCTCGTCATCACTGTGCACTCAGAATTGTTGCTATTACATGATTGGAAGCATGATGTCCTCATTTCAAACGTGACTGATAGAATTCAGTCTATAGTAAACAAAGGACTAGACACATATCACTGGTTAGTGTTCCATCAAAGCATCTAATACTCCCCTATAGGAGGTCAATCGTGAGGTCGGATAGCTCAGTGGTATCATCTCTCTGACTGCAGCACTAGATGGCGCGAGTTCACTTCTCAAAAGGGTCATTAGTTTTTCCTTCAAGATCGTAAAGGCACCTTGCCACAACAAGCACGAAACCTAGGTTCAAGGCTTCCAACCGATTGCCTCCAACAGTCTAATAACAACAGTTACACAGACTGTCATTTATATGTCAATCTTCTACAATGACAGGTTTTATAACATTGGATGGCTATTCTGCTTAATTCCATGACTTCAGGGACACACTTATTTTCTCACAGCTTTTCTATATCATTACGTCAAATTTCACTAAACTTTGTTCATAAAATGCGCTACACGACAAGCATATCATTTAGTATGTTATTGCTGTCTGCAGTTCTTCCCCAAAAGTGTCTCAGTCTGTGTTATCAACTGATCTGTAGTCAAGAAAATCACTTTTTTTTAAAAAAAATTTGAATAAAACAAAAACAACAATTCGTGCATAATAAGATGGTACTAACATTTATTTAGCCCGACCGAAAGCTGCTACCTAGACGTGGTGGTCGGGCTTGAACACCGCAATGACCCAACAAGCTATACTGACTGGAACTTATGTTCCTGCAGGTCCTACCATGCCAGGAAGGTTGTTTGGATAGCGGTTAGACTAAAAGCAGTTACCCAATCCAATCCTATGACTTCAAATAAATCACAAAATATCATGCCGGATCGGTCGGGGCCCGGATTAACAACGACCGCGCTTTCTGCTGCCGTGTCACAGGCACAAGTGATAAATACGCTACTGAGACACACCAAATAAAACAACATTTATTTAGTTGACTTCTCATCAGCTTCCAGTCAGCCTAAAGAAATTATTAAGGTTATGTGCAGAACAATTTTAATATACTTTCAAATGTTACATAATGTCAGTTGAGTGGAGGCTCCAAACTTAATAAACAGAGCTCAGAAGTCATGCTTACATAGTTTATTCTCAGAAAGTTCAAAAAACGAAGGCTTGGATACACTGGCATATGAGTTACTTAATAAAGACAAAAGGTAAATAAGATGATGAGTAACCAATAAGTTGAGTAACAGTGTGATGAGCTCAACTCGAATCAGAGAAACAAGCGACAAGGTTGGATGTCTGCTAAAACAGGGTTAAGTGGACTGTCCATAGCTGCACTATCTATTTAATGATGGTGTAAAGAGTGTTATCAAACTAGAATAGTACATTCATAATACACATTAGTAGCAGTAGGCGTTATTCTTCACAAACTGCTATTCTTGCTTTATTCAAATTCATAAAGGGGGGAATAAGCATATGAGATCAGTTTTTAGTTAGGTGAAGTGTAACCTGTGCATAATAAATATATTGGCATATATTTTGATAAAAAAGGTGGTGCATCCCAGTACATAATTTCCAACTAGTCAGTATCCAACAGTAGATTGATTGCCGTAGCCATGTTGGAAGTCCCGATTTGATTCTCGGCCGACACACTCTGAAATAACGCCTATCCGATAGTCATCTTGAGCGCTAAGCGTGAGCCTAGCAACCTTCACCCTGTAAAGACGAAACCGCCACTACTGATACTTAAAAGCTTGAAGTCTTATATTCCCCTTGGAACACAAGCAGTGAAGACTGCTGACTGGACTGAACTTTGTCACAATCCATGTAACACACACAAAGACAAAAAATTAGAGGGGGAGAAAAGGATTCAGAAGGACTATAAAAAGCAGAATTGTAAGGGAGAAAGAATGGAGTAACACATTGAAAAACATGAGGATTTAACAGATATAGGGTTCTAGTGGGAAGCCGTGACCAGTAGGATGCAGCAGGTTGAAGGCGAGGCAGTAACTCATCGAAGAAGACATTGCGAAGTGGTCGCGCTATGTCATGAATTGTCAGAAGTTAGGATTCATGGGCTGGCCGTTGGATCGGGTCCCAGTGGCTCAATGGTCTATGGACTTGCCTTGTAACCAGGAGGTGCTGGATTTGGACCCTGGCGCTGGGTGCGTACTGATGAAGAGTCCCAGACCGGAGTGACGAAACAGCTGTCTAGTACTCCCTGCAGGTTTTCCAATGGTTCTGTCACTGATGTCAGCTCATGATGAAATCCTCCAATGGATATAGGAAATCACAAAGACTGAGTTCATCTGTGCTATCGACAACGATTTTGAACCATATCACCAATAGTCTCTAGTCATTGGTTCTTATCATTCCGAGAGCCTCATTGTGACAGTCTACACCTTACTATATGACTCGGTGGCTCGGCATTCGTAAAATTATGTCCTATTCATCTCAATCGATGTAGCTTCACAAACTAATCGATTGAATGAAGAAAGAAAAAGAACTAGGGACTATAATTAATGTGTACGAGTTTATCATACTGTTTATTTATTCAGACGTAGACGTAAGTAAATCGCTCCTTAAATCCGCGAAGTGTTTGTTGAAAACTTGAAGCTAAAGCCAAACGACTTAAATCTTAGTATGAAGTAGTAGTAGTAGTATAAAAGTATTTCTTTTAGAAAATAATTTAATCAGTCGTAAATTCATGAGGTGCGTCGGTGGCATAGCGGTTAGGATGCTCGCCGACCATGCACATGGTCTGGGGTTCGATCCCCGGCCACCGCACTCCTTTACCTCGCTAAGCCGTAATAAAGCTGGTGAAGAGGAAAGGTTGGGCATGAGGCTAGCAACCCCATCCTGTAAAAAAACATTGCTACAGAAACTTCAAGCCTCTAGCTTGAAGCCCTATGTTCCACTGGGAACTGAAGGAAAAAAAATTCATGAGTGTTCTTTTCGCTAAAGAAGATAGGAATACTTTTGACTGATAAGAAAGCTCTAGAAAATCTGAACTTCACGGACGATTTATGTCCAAGGTCATATAAAATCGAAGACTTACAGGTGAAAACAGACGAGTTGGCAGAAGAGGTAGGCAACGAAGACTGGACTTCAAGTGGACCTAGAAAAGACGGAGATGCTAGAGATACGCGGCAATCAATAGCAAAAAGCACTAATCACTCAATGGGAGAAGTTTGAAAGAGATCAGTTCCTTTATTTAATTAGATGGTATCGTTTCAACTACAGGAGGCCATCGGTGAAGATGTCAACGCCAGCCAGAATCGGAAAGGCAAGACAGAACGTCATCACTATGATATCAGTGTATAAATCTTCTGAACTTAGCACAAGCAACAAAATTCGGATTTTCAAAACCCGCGCAAAGTCAGCCAGTTCTTCTATATGCGTCAGAAACTTGGTCAGTACATCACAAAAAGCATTTCGAATAGAATGCAGATTTTCATCAATAGCTGCCTTCACTAGCTCCATAGTGAAGATTAAATGGCCAGAAGGAATTAGCAACAAGAAACTGGGAATGAATCAATAAAGAAACTATTGCTCGACAGATATTCTGACGAAAGTAGAAAGCGGTCGAACACACGTGTGAGGAAACCGTTGGATTATATCACACGCCAGGCTATCGCTCAAGTTGAACTCGGACGGGAAACAGCGACTTGGGCGTGAGTCGAGGGTGACGTAGAGGAGACCGTAGAAGGAGAATTATATATATATATATATGTTTGCTAGCATTATTATGCTATTTTTTCTGTGCACTGTTTTACTTTTTCTCATCTGTTTTTGCACTAATGTACCGTTTTCTCTGTGTGTGTATTTTTTTCAGAGCAATTATTCTACTGCATTTAATTCATAATGAACTGATTTCACAATCATCGTTACCATCGAATGAATTTTATTCCCGCCTATTCGTTGAATTACTTTTACAAAGCTTAGAAACTGTCAGCATGGATGAACAACTTTCATTTTATACGCGTCAATTACTACAAATGGTTTCTTGTCGTCAACAAATTTCTGAAATTACTAGCTACATAAGTAATCTTACTAGTGCATCAATGCAAAGTGAATGGTTTTATCCATTAGAGTCATGTAATAATTCTTCGACGTCGTCTTCTATGCCTTATTCTTGGGATTCATACCCTTCATCTGCTGTTATTTGTGAACGTATTCTACTGGGATTATTGATAAACACGACAAGCCATAATTGTTACAACTTTGCTGGTTACTTAATGTTAAGATTACTCGACCATTGCCCAACCGCTATGAAAGAATATGATCAGAATGAGTTCTTTATAAGTGAATCAGAATTGAAACAAGGTTAGTTGTCTGTTGTTTTTTTTGGGGGCAGGGGGGTTCTTTGTCTGAATGGTTGTTAATATACTTAATGTATTCTAACAGTTGATATATATTGCATAATGAATTAGTGAATGCGTAGTAGTAGTAGTCGTTGGCAGTATCACATCTACTCGATGTACAATTTTAGTTCTTTTATCACCGACCGATGTGAAGAACCTAGAAGACCTGGATTTCGCGCGTGGATGATTTATGTTTGATGTCACACAAAATCGAAGACTTACAAGCGAAAACCGACAAACTGGTCGAAGAAGCAGCAAAGACAGGACTCCAGGTGAACATAGACAAGACGGAGGTTATGAAAATAACCAATCACCAACAACAACAACAGCAGCAACATCCAGCGCCAATCACCATCAACGGGAGGGATTTGAAAGAGGTTACTTCTTTCACTTATCTAGGGAGCATTGTCTCAACTACAGGAGGAACGGGCGAAGATGTCGAATCGAGAATCGGGAAGGCGAGAAACACATTCATCAACCTGAAACCAATCTGGAAATCTTCGTCACTCAGCCTGCATCAACAACAAAATTCGGATTTTCAATACAAACGTCAAGTCAGTCAGTTCTTCTATACGGATCAGAAACTTGGCCAGTGGGTCACAAAGAATATTTCCAACAGCCTGTTGCAGACCTTTATCAACAACTGTCTTCGCTCCATACTGAAGATCAGATGGCCGGAAAGAATCACCAACAAGAAACTATGGGAACAAACAAAACAAGAACCAATCGCCTAACAAATATGCAGGAGAAAGTGGAGATGGATTGGACACTCGCTGAGGAGGCCGTTGGGTGACATCGCGCGTCAGGCCAGTGCTCGAGTGGAACCGAAGGAAGGGCGAGTGGGACGTCCAAGGGTGACATGGAGGAGATCGTGTGAAGAGGAGTTGAAACAGTATGGACTAACATGGATGCAAGTGAAAAGTACAGCAGAAGACAGAAGCAAGTGGAGACGTGCAGTTGAAGCCCTATGTTCCACTAGGAACCCAAGGGAACAATAATAATAATAATCACATTCACAATATCATAATCAGGATAATTTGTTGTTTAATAATTTGAGATAGTTGTCCATTACTTGGCTCCAAAGAGTTGGTGTTCTTCTACTGCAGACTGCCTTTGCTCTAAACTCAAGAACAGAAGATCAATCAGAAGGAATTAGTTACCAAGGTCTTTTAGAACAAATCAACCCGCAACCTAATCACCCAAAACTTATGCTGAAGAAAATGGAGATGGATAAAACACACACACACACACGCTGATAGGGAGACTGTGAATGCAGTGGCGCACCAGGCCATCAGCTCGAGTGGAACCCGATTGGGAAACGACAACGTTTTCATGACTCTGAGGATGACATGGAGGAGAACGTGTAAGGAGGAGATGAGAGAGTTTATAGGGAATCGCGGGACCAACCATAGGGGACTTCAGAGATCAGGGCGCAATGGAGATGTTCTGTTGAAGCTCAATGACAATGCCACGTGTCAGGTGATCCACAACGGAAACCTCAGCGAGGCGTTCGAAGTACATACAGGAGTAAGACAAGGCTGCCTATTATCACTGGTGATATTTGTAATTGTGGTAGACTGGATTTTGCGTCAGACTGTACGTTGGCAGTGAGAAGACAGGAATACGTTGAACCCACAAGAAGACTATAGAAGATCTAGGCTTCGCGAATGGGTGATTTATGTTTAATGTCACAGACACAGGCGAAAACCAACAGACTGGCTGAAGAAGTAAGCAGCGAAGACAGGACAGCAGGTGGACATAGAGAAGACGTAGGTGATGAATATAACTAACAAACCGCAACAACCAGCACCAATCACCATCAACCGGAGAGATTTAACAGAGGTTACGTCCTTCGCTTATCCGGGAAGGAAGCACGGTTTTAACCACAGGCGGAATGGATGAAGATGTCAAAGTTAGAATCGGAAAGGTAAGATACGCCTACATCAACCTGCAGCTAGTTTGGAAATCTTCTGCGCTCTGCCTGAGCATAAAGAACAAGAGTGGGATTTTCAACACCAATGTCAATTTGGTCCTTCTATACGTGTCAGAAACTTAGCCAGTGTGTCACGAAAAGGATTTCCAACATGTTGCAGACTTGCAGCAACAACTGCCTTCTCTGGCTCCATTTTTTTTATTCCTTCACGTTCCCCAGTGGAACATAGGGCTTCAAGCTAGAGTCTTGAAGTTTCTGTAGCAGTGTTTATTTTCACAGGATGGGGTTGCTAGCCTCATGCCCAACGTTTTATCTTCACCAGCCTTATTTCTGGCTTAGTTAGGTAAAGGAGTGCGCCGACCGGGGATCGAACCCCGGACCATGTGCATGGTCGGCGAGCGTCCTAACCGCTATGCCACTGACGCACTCCATACCGAAGATCAAATGGCCAGAAAGAATAAGTAAGAAGAAACCCTGCCTGGGAAAAAACCAACAGGCGAGAACCGATCGCTTAACAGATATGTGGGAGAAAATGGAGATGGATCGGTAGAGCATACGTTGAGGAAACCGTCGAATGACTGAGAATAGGGACATGCCAATAATAAGAAGAAGAAAGAAATGTTGTTAGATGATATGACTGTCGTGGTTTGCGAGTCTCTTGCGCTAAAGAATAGTAGATTTTGGAGCCTAATGGTGTCATCACTATTCGCAACGACAACCACCACAACATGGTCCCACACTGGCAAAGAAAGACTGTTGAATAAAGAACTTTAACCGTCTCGAATCAACAACGAAAAAAATTGACGGCAGTTCCTTTTGTATAAACTTTTAAATTACCTTGATTTCATTAATCCTAATTTGATAAGACAAAACAGTTAATAAAGAATAGAATTCAGAGGTCATCAATGAGGGAAGAAGTGGGGGGGGGAGGAATACGAACTTCTCTGTACTGTAAAAATAAGTGCCGTATTTTAAATAAATCAGGTGTACACGACAGTTGAAGACAGGCATTATTGCTTAGCCAAGGATGATTTGTTCTTGTCATCGTTCCTCACTGTTATGCATATAACAAGTTGACTGAATTAGCTAGAATTGTAGTCACAATATAATAGTAAAGTTAAAAGATACTTAAAAGGGGAGGGGAAAATCGTTTGAAAACTTAATACATATAATTTAGTTGGCCATGGCAAACAAGAGGGTTGCATATATTTCTTTTCAATACACAGATACGGCTTGTTCAGATGAATTCTGATCGCCACTGCTGTGTGTAAAAATCATTCTCATAGAGCGTGCGGTAGGTTGGGTGATATACAATGAATAACTTCAAAAGCGTTGTTAGCGTCAACTTGATGTTCAGTATCGACAAGATGAGCTGCTATTGATCTGCATATAGCTATATTTGAACCTTTTCCGAAGTAAGATTTGAAGGATGGGGTGGGTGTTCTGAAATTCGGCTACAAACTTGTTTGATCGTACACTGCTCCGCAAGAGCAGTTAGACTGGTCGATACACATAGAAGAGGTGAAACAAAGTTATTTGTCTTTATTTGTTGAACTGAGTATTGGTTGGTTAGTGAATAAAGAGCATAACTTAGCTGCATTGAAGGCACTTCTCAGTTATTGTGACAAAATCTCACTATTAACATCTCCCGTGAATGGCAACCTTAGAAACAATGATTTTTTGGGAACTGTGGGCTGTTTACTTGCTCAGTCCATGTGTATATTGTCGGATATCCGTTTCTACTTAGTACTTCACAAATATTATTGTAGAACCGATGATGAAGAACTAATTGTAAGAGAATAATTAATATTTCTTCGCTCAATTTGTTTTTGTTTGTTGTTTTGTAAATATGTAAGTGGGAATTTTTTAATTTTGTTATAACTGCAATGAATGAAAGTAAACCCCGTCGCCAATTTGTTATAACGGTAGGGGGAATTAAATGAGGACGTTGTCGCCTTGTTCTGTCTGCGCCTGACTAATATGCCTATCTGCTTCTGGTACCTTCCGATTCAGCGAACCACGCAAATATCAAAAGACAAAGGCTGGTCTGTGACTGTGTATTGTAGTACAACAACTACGACAAACTACGACTACGACTAAGAATCTTATTTAGGAAATGGTATTTATACATTTTTACAACCAATACAGACAGCTAACAGTATTTGAAATAATTGGTCGTAATAGTCAATAAAAATAGTCAATAACAAAGTGCGTGGGAAATGATAATATACCACTTATGCGAGATTAACAGTCGTTAAAATAATTGAACAATAACAAAGTGTGTGGGATCCTATCAAATTTATAATCTTATGATAAGATTTTATTGTATTGTGTGTCTCTCTCCCTCTCCCTCTCTAACATCTTTCCTTTTTTTCTCTTCTTCTGATTGCCAGTTACTACAGATAACGAAGACTTCAATTCCCTCTATTTGTTTGGCCCGTTAGCTTCATTAGCGTCTACACCTTATCAACGTTTGTTTGCCTGGTTATGTCTACATCAAGATACTGAACAGTCTAAGCGTATTGAATTTGTCTTCGACTGGTTAAGCTGTTTGTATAAAACTATCATACCAACACGACAACCTAATACTTTTCATCCTAAGCTTTTCAAGCATTGGTCTCAATTATTATTAATATTTTCAAGTGTTCTATGGAGTTTGCATAGTAGTAGTAGTAGTAGTCAAACAAATTGTACGCATTCATGGCGAAAATGTGTAACAGTCGATTTGATTAGGTAGGTATGATTTCTTTTTTTTTCGAATTTGGATATATTTAGACGTTTTACTGATGTGTTGTTTTCTTGTTGCTGACTTGTCAGGAATTTTGTTTTTTGTTTAAAGACTGAGTTTAGTAGTGAACAAAGAAAATCCTTTCCGATGATTTCCTCTTCTGGCTCTACAATTATATATATATATATATATATATATATATACATAGAATATTCTAGAATAGTCATCGTTGGAATTACAGTTCATGTAAGACGCCTAAGTTATAATATAATAAGCATAAAAATGTAATAGCAAATAGAATATCAAATAAGATTGAAGAAATCTCTACAACAATGAATTGAGGATCACTAAAACCTTGATGGCCCGGAGGGTAAGGACAGTGTCTGAACCAACTTCTTCTTCTTTAGATAAATAAGTTAAGTTTCTTAGTGTGGTCCCCAACAGCCAGCCTCAGCAATATGTAGTAGACGAACTCTTAAGGTGAAGTTAAGATTAGTTAGTATGCGGTAGATGACTTTGAAAGCCGCCTCGTTAATATCAATCTTGTGTTCTGTATCCATGAGATGAGGTAGAATAGAGCTGTGAATGGATTTTATTTGTCCTCTACTAAACCACTTCGAAGGATGATGTTGGGAAATCCGACGATAAGCATGCCTAATTGTACGGCCTATGTGACTGACTGCACAGGGGCAGTCAAATTGCTAGACAAGCATAGAAGAGGCGATAATTAGGCAGTTTATCTTTAACTCCTAAATGCAAAATAGGGGTGGTTTTGAAGACAAACCATAATATTCAGCAGTATTCAGTGCTGCTGAATGATGACTATTTTAGAATATTATATATATATATATATATATATATATATATATATATATATATATATATATATAGTCATATCTGTGATCGTAGAGACAGAAGAGGGAATTATCGAAAAGGATATTCTTTGCTCATTTTTTTTCTAAATATCTGAATGAATATTTTCGTAATATTTTCTTTATCAAGTTCTACGTTCATATGACCGTAATAATTAAGAAATTATTGTCACTAACAATATTAATGTATCAAAATACATTAAATCAATCAATAGTATCATCAGATTACATTTCGAAAGCATTACTAAGAGAGAGACACTGTGCATTAATATAGCATTAAACTGATTTAATATCCGATAAATTTAAGGGAACTAACACAGAAAACAGCGGGACCTGTTTCTTTTGCACTCATAGCTCTAGTTGATTTAGGCGAATTGGAGTAGCCTCTGCTGTTCACAGTGTTCGCTATCTAGAGGCCTTTGGTAATTTATTCCATACACGATAAATGATAGATAAAGACTGTCCATCAGGTGGCTTTGTAGCCTATCTAATGTAGAACTGCTGATGGCTTAAATAACATCTAATTTAGACACACACTAAGTATTAAGTTCTCCTAGTGTGCAATGGGGTCAATATAAATAACTGGCCCCACAGGAGCTTTTTAACGGACAGATACAATGATAGGTAGCTAGCCTAGGTACTTCGTCTTTCAGTTTCAGAATAGCTACTGGTCATGTGAAAAGAATATAAGTTGCAGCTTACCGGCATTAGATGTTGTTTGAATCAATTTCCTCAAATTGTTGGTTATTACTTTACAAGATGAGATGGAAGAGGGACTTAAGGTTGTATACAACATGTCAATTGAAAACAACTACCCTGTAAAAGTGGTATTCTATGTGATTCTCGTCTCCAGCAAGGTTTATACAGTTTCAGTCGTTTGAATCATCTGTTCAGTGTTGTATTCAGTTGCCCTGCTTGACCTAGGTTTCGCGCTTGCTGATACTTGTCAGTCTGCACCAGTCGAATGATATTAGTTACTATCTATTGTCCAATCAAAGTATCCATTACAATTCTGTAGAAGGTTAATCACGAATCCGAATAGCTCACTATTAACGCCTCTGAATGCAGCACTAGGCGACACTGATTCGAATCTCAACAGAGACATGAGTTCCTTTAAGAATCCACATACGCTTTTGTGACTGGTGAGTCGCAACAACCCCGCGACCTAGATCTAGACTGCGCTTCATACCGATTACATGTAACCATCTGCTAACAGCAATAAGTTAGTGTTGTTTTTAGTATCGTTCAGGCGAAAATGTCAATGTGTTTTATCAATAAATATTCTATATAAATGATCATTGTTTTCACATTGTAACACTTGCCCTTTTGTCTCTTTCAGTTCTCTTTATGACTTGTGCATTTCATTGAGACATGATCGTGAAAATTGTTTACGCATAACAAAGCTGGATGATGATTGCATCGTTGAAATCGAACACTTCTGTGATGTTCTAACTAGTCTGTTATGCTCGTTATGCTCAATTGAACCGAATGCTGTGTCTGTCCTCTTATCAAAACCGTTAGTAGTTCCCACCTTTTCGTCTTATTCTGCTTCTTCTTGTTCTTCTAATACTATTGATCGAAATCAGGAATCATTATTATTCAATAGTCAACTAAAGATTTTAAATTCAATTCTTTCTTCTGATCATATTGTCTACTATGTTTTCTGCATGAATAGTGAATCGCCCACAAAAACAACAACAACAACCACATCAGATAATTTCTTCTATGATTGTTGTAGTTGGCTGGGAAATTATCTTTCTTGTTGTAACTCCCTTTCTTTCAACACATTAGCTTCATTTGTTCATTCAGCAGTTGTAAGACGTCTTGACATGTTAACTTACTTTATGCAATCAAATCAACCGACTACCTTGAGAAGTGCTCTTGGCAAATTAATTTGCGATCATCTCCTTCCGGTTATATTTTCTACACTCACTTCAATGTCTTCTTCTATGAGGCTGAATTCATCAAAAATCTATGAATTTTGTAGACTACAAAAAGCAACTATCGAATTATATGAAGCAATGAAATTACCTATACCTGTTCAAAAATCACCTCCTGATGATTTGTCAAATGTATATTATGCAAAGACTACTTTAGAAGCTTCAGATGTCTATGTGAATCGTTCAAATGATCTTCTTATTGAAGCTTTTAAAGAATCACTTTTAAACTCCAGTAAGTGGTATATATATTTATATATATTGTATATTGAACATTACATAGTATGTAACTAGTTTCGTGCATCAAGTTCTTCGTTTGGTACAGGCTGAATTCAGCCAGTCACATTCGCAATGTGGCCGTCAGGGTGCACTTTGAATCTTTCTTACTAGATGGTTAGAGGCAAACAGCTGGAAGCCTTGCTGGGTCTAGATGTCGTGCTTGTTGGCACTCACCAGTCAGAAAGGCGTATCTGCAACTTTGAAGGAACTCATCTCCCTTCGGCGATTTGAAACTTGGTCACTCAGTGCTGTGTGGTCAGAGGCTGTTTTTTTATTCCTTTACGTTCCCAGTGGAACGTAGGGCTTCAAGCTAGAAAATTGAAGTTTCTATAGCAGTGGTGATTATTTTTGCAGGATGGAGTTGCTAGCCTCATGACCAACCTTCCCTCTTTACTAGCGTTATTACTGGCTTAGCGAGGTAAAGAAGCGCGTTGGCAGGGAATCGAACCCCGGACCACCTGCGTGGTCGGCGAACACTGTGCCGCTGTGCATAACACTGTGCACAGTTATGGGATTTCCTTCACAGAATAATTGTGAAGCAAGCACTGAGTATTCGCATATGGGGACGTTTTTGGAAATTTGGTTAATTTCTAGGCACATTTCACCATCAGTAATGTGAGAGTAGAACTTTTTCACCTTCGTAGATTATAATTCTGTAATACGTGATTAGATTATTGAATGTAGCTGACAGTTATACGTTATTATTATTATCAATTGGATATATTGAGCATCATAAAATCACTGAACATCTGGAAGTAGGGAGATAATAGTGTATTCTCCTCTCGTAATTTCTGTAGTTATACCGTTTCATTCCGTAATGATTAACTCCAGATCACTAGAAAAAAAGGCGTTATACTTCTGCCTGCAATGTTGGTTTTACGAATTGCGTTGATCAAGTGATGTAGTCCATTTGAATATCGTCTAGTAACTTGAGAACAAAATGACTAACCGGAAGATCTAGAAGATGAAAGGTCTGAGCCAAGAATATTCCTTCCGATAAAATCTTCATTAGCTTCTACGGTCATATATCCATAGTATATTTTTTTCATTTCTTCGCGTTCTGAGTGCGACATAGGTCTTCAAGCTTGAGGTTTGAATTTTCAGTAATGGTGATGTTTTTTAGGGGGTGGGGCTGCGAGTCTCACGTCCCACCTTCCCACTTTTAGGGGTTTACTTACTGGCTAGGCGAGATTTAACAGCACATAGACCGGAAGTCGAATCATGGACCACGTATGTATTTGGCGAGGATTCTACCACTGGACCACCGACGCACATAAACCAGGGAGTACTGGACGGCTATTTCGTCCTAAATTGGAACTTTTCAGCAGTATTCACCCACCGGGGTCTGAACTTTTGAAAATAAACGGGATATTCTGTAATGACTGACTGCAGAACAAAGTTGCCTAGAGTTCTAGTGAGAAGTCGTGACCAGCGGGATCCACTGGGTTGGGCGTGAGGACAAATAGTCGCCGATAACATTAACTGGTGGTTTCATGAAAATTACGGATCGATAGAAATCGGAATTCATAGACTGGCCATTGAGTCGGATCCAGTGTCTGAATGGGCTTCGAGCTTGTTTTGTGACCTGTAAGGTCGTCGGTGCGTGGTAATGAAGAGTCTCAAACTAGGACGAAACAGCTGTCGAGTACTCCCAGGTTTTCCAATGGATCGGAAACACTCTGAGGTGACGGTTGACTGAAATCGCTTTCCAGGCCATCGCTCAAGTGGAATTTGAACGGGAAACGAGTTGGGCATACTTTTGAGGGTGACATGGAGGAAATTCTGTGAAAAGGAAATGAAATCTCACGAGTAATCTTAGAGCCAGAGAAGGAGGACTGTAGAGAACAGGGTGAAATGTGGATGTGATGTTAAAGCCCTATGCTCCACTCGGAATCCAAGGGAATAATAATAATGCTTATTTTGAGATTGGTTGAAAACAGACAGCATACCCCTACTTCATTGAACGTTTCTTTTTCGCATTGAATTCTTCTTCTTCTGAATAACTGACAGATATGTGATACATTTGTATCTTTCTACTTCAATTTTTACAGATTTTGAACTGCCAAATTTTCTATCGGAACTAATCTTCCAACTAACACCTAAGCCTGTTGTTTTTAAACAAACAATTGCAGTATTCGCAGTCACTTCAAATGACTCAAACACTCCGATTGATCTACCACGGCCACTTACTGGTCCACCAATTGTCTTGAACATCGATGCATCTGAATTATCCGACTCCAGTCTGAAATCATTTTTATACACAGAAATTCGTCAATCTATTCATCAGACTGTTCCACTGAACTATTCAATTCATCCGAGTCTTTCAACAGCCTTCTTATTGATAAATATCAGTCAACCAGTAGTCATACCATCAGCAACTGATGCAAACAATTATGATGATATTCCGTTCAGAAAAGATTTATGCTTAAAACATTTAAGACTAATAATATACTACTTATTACATCCATATTCACCTATTCTTCAGCAGGGTATATCACGTCCAATGAAATTAGCCAATTCTCCAGGCATACATACTACTAATGATTTTGAATTAAGTCTTTCATATTGTCTTCCAAAAAAGATTATATCATCAAAAGATTGGAATAAAGGCTTATTTCTGCCTGAAGGTTATTCAGATAATTGGAGTACAGAAAAATTGTATAGATTAATTAATTTTTCTCTTGTCGTGAATGAATCTCATCTTCTTTGTCTTCTGGTTAGACCGTGTGAGCATGCAAGATTTCTATCGCATCCACGAATAGTACAACAAGACAAGAAATCATCTGCCTCGATTGAAAAGAAGGAGAAGAAGAAGGATAATTTCTTATCATCTGAGTTATTTGTTCACGATTACCAATCAAATACAAGGATATTTTTGAAATCTGGTCTACTTCATTCAATTGCCCAGTCAATTGTCAATCGTTTATTTATCACTCCTAGTCAACTTAGAGGCGAAGCAACTGACCATCTGACTGCATTTTCATCAGTTGTTGATGTAATATCAGAACAGTTGAAAAAGGCCACAAAACAGTTTAATGCTTGTATCATGTCATCGTTAGATTGTATAAATAACTGCAGTCTATTGGAGGACTGTGATATTGATAGCATTATTAATAGTTATAGTAGTAGTAGTAATAATAATAATAAGTAACAAGTCATGTATCATTGATACGGACAAAAGTGTCAAATCTAATCAATCTCTGCCTATGCATTGTATCATTGCATATATAATTTTATTAAGATTAACTCACTATGATCTAACCTTGTTGAATATGATTGAATCACGAGCCTGTCATGTGATTTCAACGATAACCAACGTGTCAAGTTTAATGTGTCTACCGAATTATTTAATTCAATTAGCTAATCCAAACTGTTGTCCTACCTCTTCACTATGGGCTAGTAGTCATAGTAATAGTGATAGTCTACTTGGCAATAATTTAGAAAATTCAACATACTCTAAGATTTTACCGCTTCATTGTTTATGTCATTTCTATGCAAATGTTAAAAATGATGTTGGAGAGGTTTCCGTCTATGACAAGTTGTTAACATTGTCAGCTTTACGTTGGGAGCATTTAAACTCTGGCGTGTTACAACTTCTTCTAAGTTATATGTGTGTCCTATCACGTGGATCGTGTTCACATTTACCGGAAATATTTGATAAGGCTGAATTGAATGCTTATCTTTGTGCAAATCAATCAAACTGTGTTAATAATCATCATCATTTGTTATCGTCGACAATTGAGACAATCAATTGTCTGTATACAAATCTAATAAAACCAGCCTGCCTGAACTTTGAAAGTGAATTGTTCCCTTCAACATTGTCATCTCAGCAAACAGTATCTAGCAACAGTAAAACTAATAAATATCAATGGGATAATTTTGCATCATCGATACCAACAATTTCAACATCGACTTCGCATAAACCGCTTATTGTTACCGCTTGGGCAAAAGGTACTGGATTTACAACAACAGCACCATCAACAATACTACCAACGCTAGTCGGAGATGGTGATTCAACCACCGCTAACAATTCGCAGTCTAAAATGACACAATCAAAAGTTGAACGTGAAGATCAGTATGCTATTGTATTGTGTAATACTCTGAGTGGATTTCTTAATACATTTATGAATAGCAGATCGAATCATGATCATGATCATGATGATGATGATAACGATGAATTATTCGGATCAATTGTTTCTTATTTTATGATGAAATTTAATCTGATCAACTTTATTATTAATTATCTACGTAATGATTCTATTGTTGAAATAGTCAGTCGTATTTCGTTGTATAGATCTGTATTTCGACTAATTCATAGTATTGCATTATGCCCTCAATTGCATTGGTTATTGGTATTTGTTCAAGGAGATTTAGACAATAGTTTAATTGTAGAATTTTCTTCTAAATTATTCAATGCATTTCAATCTTATTGGAGTGATACTACAAATGCGTCAATTGTGAGTACTATCACTGATCATCGTGATAATGATGATGATGATGATGATTTGAATAAATGTTTAAGCAACATTGATTCTTCGTGTGTTATTGCCTTATCAAAACAAATACTATCTTATTTATCCAAATACATAGAACATTTAAAGTAAGTTGGATTGTGTTCATAAATGTGTCCACATAATTTATCGTTCATAATCATATCCACTCTAGCTATACAACTCTGAAACTTTAGTTTTATAGTTTTCTTTATTCCTTTTTATTCGTCATGGAGCCTAGTTGAATTTTCCAGATGCTCGTGTAGACAAGTGTTGAATCATTGCTGTTACACGTATTCGCTTTCAGTTGATTCGATAAATAAAGCTTCCGTTATCAGTCTGTCCCTCTGTCCTGCTATGTTAGATTTCAAGACTGTCATCTTATCCCGATCCTATGGTATAATTGTGTGTGATTGCGTGCAGTGAGTGCTATACAGCTGAACTATTATGGGTAAATTTTGTTTTGATAAAGTCTCACAGTGTTATACAGTAATGTTTACTGATGACGTTTCGAGCACAATTTATTGCTCATAATCATTTATATTCATTTATATAGTTCCATTGTTTTTCACTTGATTTGATTGGTAGTAATGGAAACAATGGAACTATATAAATGAATTTAGGAAGTCGTGTGATTACCTTGATATGATTATGAGCAATAAATTGTGCTCGAAACGTCATCAGTAAACATTACTGTATAACACTGTGAGACTTTATCAAAACAAAATTTACCCATAATGGAATTACACTCTACCACAGTGCACAAGTTTTATTCTTATATCAACAGCTGAACTACTCTAGATTTTGTTAGGTTTTTGCAGTGCTCCTCCTGTCTGACTAACCCTGTTCTGCTACTACTTTGGCCTATGTATTTGATCTAACAATCATTGCACGATATTAGATAAACTAAGTTGGGGGTTTGAATGTGTTGTTAAGAATTCTATGTAAGGTTTTCGAGGTTTTCCTTCTTTGTATGGAAGTACTACCAACTATCGAAAAACTTCAAAACTACTGAATGTCAGGTTGATGTTTTATTCTATTAACTGTGAAAACGTTACGTAACGCGTGATTTGCTTCATATGGTGAAATGTAATTCTGGCTCATTTATGTACCCCCAGTCTTTTCTCGCACATATTATGATTATTTGAAATGACACGTCATCATAATGCATACTTTTAGTATAATAGTTTTTTCTATCGAATAACTTCCACAGCGGCAAACTGAGTGAAGGCAGGAGTAAGACAGACAAGGCTGCCAACTATCACCGATGGTATTCCTGATGGTTGTAGTGGGCTGGATCCTGCGTACAGATGGTGCATGGGAACTGAGAAGACAGGACTACGTTGTAGCGATAAAAAGACTCTAAGTGATCTGGACTTTCCGGATGATCTATGGCTAATGTCACACAAACTCGAAGGTCAACAGGCGGAAACCAACAAGTTGGAAGCAGAGAAAGGACTTCAAGTGAACATATGGAAGACAAAGGTGACAAAGATACATAACCAACAATAAAAGGTACCAATCAATATCAACGGGAGAAATTTGAAAGAGGTCACTTCCTTCACTTATTTAAGCAGAATGTCAAAGCCAGAATCAGAAAGGTTGAGGCACACCTTCATGACTCTGAAATCAGTGTGAAAATCTTATGCGATCAGCATAGAGAACAATATTCGGATTTTCAAAATCTAGTGTCAAGTCACTTAATTCTTTTATATGGGTCAGAAACCTGACATGCAGTCCATGAGAAGCATTTTTCAAAAGACTGCAGAGTTTTATCAACACTGCTTTCGCTAGCTCCATATTGAAAAAAATGGCCACGAAGGATAGGCAACGAGGAACTCTGAGAACCAATCAAGGACCTACTGCCAAACAAATATTCTGACGAAAATGGAGATGGCTAGAACACACTCTGAGAAGTCCTTTGAATGATATCGCGTGCTAGGCCATCTCTAGAGTGTAAGCCTAACGGTAAATGACGAGTTTGGCGTGTGTCCGTAGATGACATGGAGAAGATTCTGTTAGGAGGAGATGAAAGTCTGTGGCGTCAGATGAAGAGGAATTCAGAGAACAGAGTGAAATGGAGATGTGATTTTGAAGTCCTATGTTCCGCTCAGAACCCAAGGGAATAATAATAGTAACAATAGACTACTTTAATCATAATACTTGTACATAATTCATCAATACATTCCAAACGGAGTCGTCTCTAGTTCTTTTATAATGTTTATCTGCGTGTCAACGTTTAATTTCAAAATACCTCTCTATCCTACTTCGAAACTGTAAGCTATAACTACTGAAAAATAGAAGACATGAAACGCTACTTACATTAGATCATAGAAATCTTTTCATTGCTTACATTAGTAAGCACAAAGAAGGTGAACCAATCCCCTACAGTCTGTTGATTGGTGGAGATCGTCTTACAGTAAATATTGTCATATTGAGACAGCTTCATATGGCCTAAATGTTTATTATAAATGTTGTCTCAGCGACTCAAATAACATTCAGTGCTTGCTGACCTTGAGACCATGTGGAAAAACTGAAGGGGTCACCAGCCCATTAGGTGGAGCCGTGAATTGAGTTAGGATCTGTTGGTGTTTGATGACTCCTTGGATGAAGTCAGAGAGGAGACAATTGAAGTTAGTAGGATGAGACGTTATCAGATATAGCTCACAACCGGAATCAATAGCCAACATGCTACATTTTCATCTCTCCCTCTTTTTCTGAACCTCACATGAAGTCATCAACGTTTGTTAACTGCTGGATGAGTGTTTTTGATTGTTTTCATGACGCTGCTCCTCAATCATTGTTTCTTTTCTATATATTGTTTTTTCTATGGTGCATCTCTTGATGTGTGTGTCTAAATTAATAATTCAGGTGGGTCACGTATTGCGATCTGATTATTTTGGTTTTCTGTAGGAAATTACATCGAATTGTATTCTTTCTCAAATAGCCAACACCATTTTTAATTTGTTTAAATTATCTGATACCAATGGAAACAAATCTATTCATTTTTCTGAAATCACTCCTTGTTCATTGATAGAATAATTATTTTGGTTTCAGTCGTTAGATATCGTCACTAACCAACATATCGGTTAGAAAGATCTTGGAAAAGCAGGGAACAGTGGACAGTTATTTCGTCCTATTTAGGGACTCTTCAACAGTCCCCACCCACAACCCTCATGCTCCATTGGTGATTGAACCCGGTGCCATCGTGCTACGAGACCAAACTCTTTGATCATTTAGCCACTGGGACTGCAATTCAGTGACCGGTGAATTCTAACTTTGTCAACTCGTGATAAACGAAGGCCTTCGATGAGCATTCACGTCACATTCTCAGTACAGCTTCAGGATATCTACTGAGTGGCTATCAGAGTTAGAATTCCTGGGTCACTTGACGCTGACTCAATAGGCTGAATGGTTATCGAACTGAGTCTCATAACCTGGTGGTCTCAAGTTCGTTCCCTGATGACGTTTCGGGTGCACAGTGCAAAAGAGTCCCAAAATAGGGCGAAAAGAACAGCCGTCCAGTGCTTTCTGGTTCACAGTAATCTCCCCAACTGAAGTTGGTTAGTGGGGAAATTTAATATTTGAAATTTAATTGAACCGATTCGCGTAATCTTAAGAATGATTATTGTCATGCATGTTTTCAAAATTTAATTATGTTGTAATCTTATTCTCCTCTTTTTTGTTGTTCACAGTAAACTAGGCTTAAGTAAGTCTGTTGGATCAAATTATCTTTCAAGAGAAAAGGCTACAATTAAAACGCCTAAAACGGAAGTTATTGCACAACCTACTAACAAACCTAGTAGTAAAGGTTTAACTCGTCAACCATCTATACGTTATCGTACTACCGTCTTTAAGAAAACTACTGGAAACTTAACAAAGACTCCTAATTCACTGCTGACTGGAAACGCCTTGTCAAATTCTGAATTTGATGACACATCCAAATTGGAATCACTTGATAATCATCATACAATGGTCAAAACTTGTAGTCTATTACAGCTTAAATCTGGTTTCTATGATCTCTTTGATGAAACTAGTGAAAAAGGCGATGGTCCACTATCTACTGTGACAGAAACTGATGAAAAAGACAATGAAGAGGGCAGTGTTGTTTTGAATCAGTCTGTTGAAGAGTTATCCGACAATATTGGTGCTGGTGATAATAATAATAATAATATAATAATAAAAGTCGATCCCAGACCATTGAACCAGTTGAAGTGAATGAATCCAATGAAAGCAATAATGATTTAACTAATGGTTCATCTCATTGTGAACAATTTAATAATAACAATAATGAACTGAACAGTAAATCTTCGAATATACTTAACAATAAATTAAGTGATTCAATCTATGTTAATCAACACTTACTGATTACATTGAATGAATTGAAGAATACATTTAAAATATTAAAAATTATATTAATGTATCAACAGTTATCTGTAAATAAAGAGTTCGATCACCATGTCAATAGTTCCGAAGATCAATCATCTTTATCTGGATTATCTACAGACGGTCGTCAGACTAGAAGTAGTAGTAGTAGTGGAAAACCAAACAGTCAAGTCGTGTCAATAAGAAGTTCAAGTACATCTTCAACTAATCAAGATTATTGCTTAGCTTTGAAAAGCATACAATTCTGTAAGTTTATTACTCATACAATTGATATAACTCGTTCATTTGATATACAGTTATATATATATATATATATATATATATATATATATATATACATAATATTCCCTTGAGTTCCAGATGGGACATAGGGCTTCAACACCATATCTCCGCTTTGTCCTGTACTCTTCAGTCCTCTTTAGCCTGTCTGTCTGGATTCAACATAGAACTTGGCACCGAAATCCTGCAGTTCGAGTTGCCACGTTCCAAAGAGCACACAAAGGTAGACAAGAAGATGAGTGATGAGAATCAATAGAGTTTTGACAAGTATAAGAGTGAAACAGAATGAGTAATGGTAGAAAGGAATATGAAAGATTACAGAGACTGAATACATCTGCGTAAGCCATTGACAACGATTTTGAGCCATGTCACCTATTGTCTCCAGCCATTGATTCTTAGAGTCCCGAGGGCGGGCCCCAACCCGGAAGTCCGCATCTCCCTACCTGACTCAGTTTAACTGTCAAGGATTTCATGGATTGATGCCATGTTTTTGTTTGGCCACCACTTTCTCTTTTCCAACCTGCACCTATATCAGCTAGTAATGCCCGTCGGGGAGGGGGGAGGCGATGGTTAGGCATGCGCAGCACGTGACCTAGCCATCTCAATCTATGTAACTTTATAGCCTCTTCGATTGATCTTCCCTCTTTGCCCAACACTCTACGCCTAACGTCAACATTACTTACCTTATTATACCACCTAACGTGAGAAAGAGATAGTAGACATCTATGATCAAAAGCAGTCAACCTTTTCATGTCTTCAACTCGTATTGGCCATGTTTCAGAGCCATAGAGAAGGACAGAGCGAACTGCTGAGCAGTACACACGTCGCTTGGTTGATAGTCGGATGTCACGCCTACGCCAGAGGTGGTGTAAGTTAGCGAAAGCAGCCCGAGCTTTTTGGATCCGTGCTGGGATTTTGTCGCCAATCAGTCCGTTGGTGCTGATACAACTTCCCAAATAGGTGAAGTAGTCAACATGTTCTTTCACTTCACTCCGTATCACTGAGCTAGGAGTTGACGTAGTCCAGTCCTGTAGCAACATCTAACATTTTACAGGGGCGAATCGCATGCCAAACATACGAAGATTGCTGCTCAAGGTGTTCAGAAAACTCTGCATTTTGTCAGCGTCCTCCCCTAACAGGACTATGTCATCTGCATATTCTAAGTCCATAAGACTATTCCCTGGTAACAAGTCGATTCCTAAGTCGTTAAGTTCAGTTAAGGATACTTCCATGAGCATATCTATGATGAAGTTAAACAGAAAAGGGGAAAGTGGACATCCTTGACGGACACCACTGGTTGTTATCAATTCAGATGACAATTCCCCATAAGCCCTTACATGGCTACGTGAGTTTGAGTAGAGTGCCTTGATTAGTGCAATGTACTTTCTTGGCACTCCTTTTACAGTCAAACATTGCCATATTACCTTTCGATCCACGGAGTCGAAGGCCGCCTTCAAGTCAAGAAATATGGCAATTGTTGGACGCCTAAAAGTTTGTCTATGTTTTAGGATCCACAGTTACTCATAAACTTTCATCTCCTCCTCACATCATCTCCTGTATGTCACCCTTGGACTCCCAACTCGTCTCGTCGTTGCCCATTCGAGTTCCACTCAAGCGATAGCCTGGCGCGCTATATCACTGAACGGTCTTTTCAGTCTGTATCACCCGATCCATCTCCATTATCTTTGTAATATTTGCTGAGCAATAGGTTCTTGATTGCTTTGTGCTTCGCAGAGTTTCTTGTGAGATAAATTTGATATAAAAATTGTGATATGTGTTTTCTCTTCATGGTAGCTTAGTATTATGCATTATTTTGCAAAAATGAAGAGTAATTAAGGAATAAGCGAGTACTCAAGTTGATTACGCAACAGATTGCTAAAGAAAAATAAAAGGATTTGGACAGTGATAACTTGTAACTAAAGATGAGTTAGTCAGAAAAATAAAAAAAATAATTTGAACAATTACAACTTTTAATGGTTTAGAGGGAGGAAGAACAAAGTAGTCTAGTTTATACATTCATGTAACTATGGCCAAGGTAAGGAAAGTGGCTGTACAAATCTCTTTTGAACACACCGGTTTGGCTTCTTCACGTGGATTTCTATGGCTTCAGGTATATGTAGTAGACGAATTCGTAAAGCAAAATTAATGTATTATTGTTATGATGCTAGATCCTTTGTCACTAGGTCACTGCTTAACTACTGACCAGTGCCCACTTAACTGGTAAAGCAGAACACGAAGAGAATCATCGATAAAACCAGGTTCATTTATTATGACAAAAGTGACTGTATTTATACAGAAAATAAGGTAGACTGGAAATCAACTAATCCGGTTGAGAGTTTGAATTGTACAAGCGTCCAATCAGAAGCAGGAACAATTTCATGTCAACGACTTGTTAATAACGCGATAATAACTTCACTGAGAGATGATAATGACCTGATAATTGCATGTTTTTCCTCTTCCTAACAATTATGTTTGTCTTTTTTGTTTAACTGTAACCCCTTGATTCTGATAAGTATTCATACATTGTTGTTATTATTGTTATTTTAGGCATGATCAAGTTCTTATCAGTTTCAGAAAATAATACTGTATCTCTATTAGTACCACATGCATACGCTGATTTATGTACTAAACATGAAGGTTTAATTTTACTGAACCGTAATATAAAAAAGTCACCTGATGGTGGTGATACAACATCCACTTCTTCTGCTGCTCCTTCTGTTCCTGCTTCTGCTGCATTATCATCTAGTGAACTTAAAAAACCATCGTCATTATCATCATCGTCATCACAATTACAAATAACACCAAAGATTCGATCATTGGATTGTTTACAACGCCTTGCTCAAGAAGTTGTCACATTGAGTACTAGTCTTCCATTATCAGAGAATGCTAGCGTGTTTATGCGGTGTGATGAAAATCATTTATGTCTAATCAAGGTAAGGTGGTTGGTATGCTATATATGATATCTTTTTGCAGTTATTCCTCTGCTTGTGTCGTTTCCATTGATTATTATTATCACTATTATTGCCTTGGATTGCGAGTGGAACATAGGGCTTCAACACAGCTCATCGCCACTTTTTTCCCAATCCATTTGTGGTTCTCTTTAGCTGGCCGTATGATTGCCCATAGTCTCTCCTCCGTATCACTCGTTGTTTTCTACTCGGATTTCACTGGAGCGATGACCTGATGTGAGATGTAACTCAGCCATCTCCTCAGAGTGTGTCCGATGCATCTCTACTTTCTTCCAAATATATCTGACGTTTCGTTTTGAAATGTCATCCAGTATATAATACTGTTTCACTGTGTGATATACCTAATAAACAAACTAATATGGAATTACTTACTACCACAGTGCCCAAGTTTTACACATATATTAATATGAGATTCAAAAGAACAATAATAAACAGAAATGTATGGGAGAAAGAATAATAACATGAAAAAACATGACAGCTTATAGTGGACATGGAGGATCACAGAGAGTGAATTCATCTGCACCATTGAGAACGGATTTGGGCGAAATCACTAATTGTCTCAAGCCATTGGTTCTTTGCATCCTGAGGACTCCAACCAGACAGTCTACCTCCTCCTACACGACTCAGACCATCTATCAAAGTCGATTTGGACTGATTTCAGGTTTTCGTTCCACCACCACCCCCCACCACCTCTTTTCTAAACTAATCATATGTCAGCTAACGTTGCTCGTCGAAAGTGATGGCTGGGAATACGCAACACTTACTCTAGCCATCTCAATCGATTGATTTTCCTTCCCTACCTAACACTTGACCAAAGCCTAACCTCAATATTACTCACCCTGTTATACCACTTAATATGTTAGATAGAATGCAAACATCTGTGATCAAAAACAGTTAACCTTATGCATGTCTTCCACTTTCAATAACCAAGGGTCACAGACATAAAGCTGGCTGGCTGGCTGGATTCAACATAGAACTTGGCACCGAAGTGCAGCACTTCGAGTTGCCACGTTCCAAAGAGCACACAAACGTAGACAAGAAGATGAGTGAAGAGAATCAATAGAGTTTTGACAAGTATAAGAGTGAAACAGAATGAGTAATGGTAGAAAGGAATATGAAAGATTACAGAGACTGAATACATCTGCGTAAGCCATTGACAACGATTTTGAGCCATGTCACCTATTGTCTCCAGCTATTGATTCTTAGAGTCCCGAGGGCCCCAACCCGGAAGTCTGCATCTCCCTATCTGACTCAGTTTAACTGTCAAAGAAGGATTTCATGGATTGATGAGGCCATGTTTTTGTTTGGCCACCACTTACTCTTTTTCAACCAACCTGCACCTATATCAGCTAGTAATGCCCGTCGGGGGAGGTGATGGCTACAGACATAAAGCAGGACTGGGCGAACTGATACTGTGCAATACACACGTCCTTTGACTGACTGACAACCAGTCAGATATTACGTCTATCGATATCGTTCCAAGGAATCTCATTTTCAGAATGGAGAAGAGTTATACCAAAGTTATGTCTGGTATCATCCAACTCGTTGTTACCATCTTTCCAACAAGTGTTTATTCTAATCTTCTTTTTTTCCTCTCTCAAATAGGCAATAATTACTGGTCCACCGGATACACCTTATGCAGGTGGTTGCTTTGAATTCGATATATACATTCCACCGAGTTATCCAAGTCAACCTCCATTGGTTGAATTTCGTACAACAGCAAAAAATACATTCCGATTTAATCCAAATCTTTACGAAGATGGTAAGGTATGCTTATCAATATTGAATACATGGCATGGATCTGCTGAAGAACGATGGAATCCTGAAACATCCAGTTTATTACAAGTACGAGTTGTATTTCACATTTATTAAAATGTCTATTATTACTTCTACCTTCTTTTCTGTTTTAAATTGAAGATACTTGTAAAAGTGGTGAGGCTTTGTTTAATTTTTGTGATTAGGTAGTATCTATTTTCGGTACCTTTTTTCATTTCTTTCAATGTAGACTTGTAAACATATGCGTTAGATGATAAGAAGTTTCATAATCATAGATAATAAGATAAGTAACCATAACGTAGATACTGCCCAAAACCCACTTATTATTATTATTCTTTTGGTTCTGAGTGTAACATAGGGCTTCAACACATCTGTCCTTTTCTCTGCAGTCCTCTTTAGCCGGCTTCACAATTCCCCATAAGCTCTCTCTCATCTCCTCTTGACACCATCTCCTCCATGTCAGCAGCCTCGGCGATTTCATCCATAGATCTTCTCAGTGTGTGTATGTGTGTCTGATCCATCTCCATTTTACTTGGGAATATTTGTTTGACAATAATTTCTTGTTTAGTTCATTCCCAGAGTTCCTTGCTGCAAAATTCTTTCTGGTCGGCCATTTGATCTTCAGTATGGAGCCAACGAAGATAGCTGTCGATAATAGGCTTACAGCCTGTGCGAAATGCTTTTCGTGTCTCACGTGTCATGTTTCTGACCCATATAGAAGAACTGACTAACTTAATATTTTGCGTTTAAAATCCGAATTTTGTTCTTTGTGTTGATTTCACAGAATTTCCAAACTTATTTTCGAGTGATGAAGTTCTGTCTTGTCTTTTCCGATCCCGGCTGGCTTTGTTTGATATCTTCATCCATGATGTTGCCTTTAGTTGAAACTATGGTGCCTAGATAAGTGAAGGAATTGACGTCTCTCAAATTTCTCCCGTTGATAGTCATATATGCTTGTTGTGGTGGTAGTTAGTCGGTTATCTTCATCGCCTTGTTCCCTTGAAGTCCTGTCTTCATTCTCCCCACAGACTAATGAACAATCCAGTCCTCCACAATTAGGCATATCATCCGTGATAGTAGACAGTCTTGTCTTACTCCTGTATTCACTCATTTCAAAGGCTTCACTGAGTTTTCCGTTGTGGATCACCTGACATGTGGCATTGTCATATAGCCAGTTGTTGAATGAGGTTGATGAAGATTTAGGTCCTGCATGCCATTGTGTTGAAGTAGTTTCAAATCAGCACTGTCGAAGGCCTTTTCAAAGTCAATGAAGTCGATGTAGAGATATGGATTGCTCACTTAGTCATCTAGTAATACGTCTGTATAACTATAGTGTGTTTCACTTCACGAAAGTTGACAGCACTTTTGTGAAATCGACAATAATGTGTGCCTGCACTCTTTTGGAGTAGTCAAAAAGTTTTTGTGTGGATAGGTGTTTCTTAACACCGGTTAGGGAAGTATTACTAATGTGATTTTCAGTTATACAACAAAAGTGGACAAAACTGCTTGATCGATCTGATATGGGTCACTTATAGTATTTTTCCAATAACATTGTTGCAATTGAAATACCTGATGTGCTATCGCTTTTTGGCTGAAAGTCGAAACCAACGGCTTTCATTCTCCAGCTACTTGTTTGTTCTTGTTAAAGTTAATTTGCATTTGATCGTGTCGGATCTTGTTGCTCAGTTTCTGGTGGTATAATTAGCCCATAGTATGGACACTTCGACGATACCTGAAAATTACCATAATATTGTTTTGGTTGATGGTGGCCATCCTGTTTCTGACTAGTCAGCTAGCTGTTCTTTCATTGGAAGTCGAACCTTGAAAACGTCTCTGACTGCAGCACTAGGTTAGGTGATCATGATTCAAATCTCAGAAGGCTCTTGAGGTTCTTTCAAAATCGCAGGTACACTCTGCCAACTGGTTAGTGTCAACAAGCAAAAAACCCAGGTCAATCAAAGAAAGCTTTCTGGCGATTGCCTCCAACTATCTAACAGTAATCATAATTTTCCGTTAATATATATATATATATATCTTTTGAAATTACCTTCCAAATCACTTTGCGTCTCTTGAATAATATATCTCTTTTCTAAAAATATCCTGTTGAAGTCTTTCGATCTATACTGAAGTAGTTGTCCAACACCTGTTAATTTTTATCACTCCACAGTGTGATGTCACTGTTCTGTTGAAAAATACTTAAAGATGAGATTTTATGTGAACGTTTCTGTAGTGACTAAAACCTACATGTTATGGTCTGAACTCAGGAGACCAGTCAATGCTGATCGAAACTTCATATTAGTTTGTTTATTAGATGTATCACACAGTGAAACAGTATTATTTACTTTAAAAGTCGTGTGATCACAATTGATATGATTATGAACAATAAATTTTGTTCGAAACTGTGTCATCCAGTAGGTAATATTGTTTCCCTCACTGTGTGATACATCTAATAAACAAACTAATATGGAATTTCTTACTACCACGGTGCCAAAGTTTTACACATACATTTATCAAAACTTCCTTGAGTTGCTCAGTCACAGTCACAAAGTGCTCCGATAATAATAATAATAATAACAGCAACAACAACAAAAAGCAGCGATTTGTCGCAAAATCTGCGGTACTATTCAACAATCATAATACATCAAAACGTAAAATCTCCCCTCCCCGCCCCAACAGTGCCGTTCGGCAGCTGCTATACACATCTGATAGTTTCTCGAGTACAAAGCAAGTACGCTATACAACAGAATTATTTGTCCAAAATCAGTCTTGAGAAGGACGTGAGAATCCACAAGAATATTCCCAGCATGGCGGGATTAGAACTCTGTCCGCAAGAAACATACACCAAACAATTCTCGCAGATAGTCCAAGGTTAGAAATCATCTTGATTCCCTCAAACTAAGTCTTAGTCAACAACATATTCTCAGTATATCACACAAACACACACAGAGAAGCATTAAAATTAGAGATTAAACAGGAATAAAGACAAATACTAAGGATCAAGGCAACATATGATATGTAAATGTCAGAACATTGATATACAGTCTAGGAAGAAGGAGATAAATAATTACCAAGTTAGTAGAAATATCCAAATAAGTAATAATACTGTAATCAGACCGTTCAGGAAAGGATTTTCCATGCAACTATTTCGTTAGAGCTTCTGTAATTCTCTGTTACAGTTGCCGCATTTTATTTTATTTTTTTTTTGTATGCCTTACATGGTAATTTTTTTTTACTGAATTCTTAGGTATTGGTATCAATTCAATCATTGATTTTTGTACATGAACCGTACTTCAATGAACCTGGTTTTGAATGTACTATGGGCACCCCGAAAGGTATCGCTATCAGTTATAAATACAATGCTCGAATTCGTGCTGCTACTGTTCGTTGGGCTATGATTAATCAATTAAAACATTTACCAGTTGGCTTTGAAGAAGTAAGAGAAATACATGCTGAGAATATATATATGTAAACGCCTTTTCTTTTGATTGGATAATTTATTTTTTTTAACAACTGATTTTGCAGCATTTAACTTCACCTATGTGTATACCTATGTGCGTCGGTGGCAGAACGGTTAGGACGCTCGCCGACCATGTACATGGTCTGGGGTTCGATCCCCGGCCGCCAACGCACTCCTCTACCTCGCTAAGCCGGTAATAAAAAGCTGGTAAAGAGGAAAGGTTGGGCATGAGGCTAGCAACCCCATCCTGTAAAAATAAACACTGCTCCTATGTTCCACTGGGAACGTGAAGGAATAAAAAATATATATACCTATTTATTCTGAAAGGCTTTAACTGATATCTCTTTGGGTGTGTAACTGTTATGTTTTTGAAGCATAAGTTTGTAAGGATTCGGTATATTTCAAATTTGATCACGAATTGACATCAGTTTGAAAACTATAGAGCACTGAACAGCTGTTTCGTCCATGTTTGAGACTCTTCATCGGTACGCACCCACACTCTTCTGGTTACAAGGCAAGCTCATAGACTATTCAGCCACTGGGACCCGATCCAATGGCCCATAAATTTCTACTTCTGTTTATTCGTGATTTTACCGCGACCACCAATGAATGTCATTGGCGGGTATATTTGTGCTCACACTTGACGTGGTGAACCCTAATAGAACTCTGGGTAACTTCATCCTGTAATCAGTCACTCGTGAGCATCTCTTGTTTGACAAAATGTTCTATAGTGCTGTGTAGACCTTGAAAAGTATTTTGTTTTACTTTTTCAACAAGTTTAGTTAATCTTTGCTATGATCACCTCGGGTGAGTGTATAAGTTGTATAGCGAAAACAAATTTACCGCGTCTTTTTCGTTCCCGCCCACTTGAATGAATAATGTTAAAGCATACACCCCCAAAATACCCCATTTTGAATGTACTCCACAAGGATACAAATGAAGACGAATTCATTTCTGATGCATTAGGCCACATATACAAGCATGTAACCATTAGGATGAAATTTTGTGTGTTTGTTCAACTCTGAAGCCTACTGCTACAGACTAATAAGTCCTGTTCATTGAAACTGGGGATTTAGGGATATGCTTTAACATCATTTTGCTTGAATGGGGGGGGGGTAAAACAGAGGGGGTGAATTACAATGATTTGATGAATTTCCTCAGTTAGTTGGTCTTTTTTGTGATTTCCATTAATTTAAATATTCCCATTATGATAATTATAGAACACGATTTGAGCATGCAAATACGTGTTTCCGATGAATTTTCATTAGGCCTTACAAATAATAGGCATTATCATATAGACATCAAATAATAAATATTCTCATGGTTAAATTTAAAACAACACATGTAAGCGAACAATATTGTTTTTTTCAATTAGATCTCATCAGGCTTAACTCTGATATAATTCAGGCAATTACCTGGAGTTCTAGTGGGAAGCCGTGACCAGTAGGATGCAACAGATCGAAGGTGAGGACAAGCTACTCATCGAAGACATTGCTAAGTGATCGCGCTATGTCGTGAATTGGTAGAAGTTAGAATTCATAGGCCATTGGATCGAGTCCCAGTGGCTGCTAAATGGTCTACGAGTTGGCTCACCTTGTAACCAGAAGGTCCTGGATTCCGACGCTGGCGGTGGGTGCGCTCTAATAAAGAATTCTAAACTAGGACGAAACGACTTTCCAGTACTCCCCGCAGGTTTTCCAATGGTTCTCTAACCGATATCAGCTCATGATGAAATCCTCCAAGCAATCAAATAAAATCCCTACAAATGAATACTTGAAAATAAATATAACTAAATATTTTACGAGTTGATCACGGATTGATATCAGTTAGAGAACCATTGAAAACGAGCTTGCCTTGTAACCGGAAGGTCCTGGGTTCGAATCCCAGTGGGTGCGTACTGCCGATGATTCCCAAACTAGGATGAAACAGCAGCTGTCCAGTACTCCCTGGTAACTGATATCAATCCGTGATCAACTCTTGAAAACATAACTAACCCTTACAAACCAAACTATAGAAAATAACTAAATATAACCCAAACTTGGTGATTTGTCAATTGGAATGATAAGATTCTGCACATAAAATTATACAATCAGTCATGATAATATTTTAATAATAGAATTATTATTAATAAAGGCTAAGAGAAACAAATGGTTCGATTAAGTAATGCCAGATTGTAAAGGAAGCGAAAATAAGCTATATTTTTTTCGAAGATAAATCATAAGATGATTATGGGATGTTAAGAAAGGGATTTCACACATAAGTAAGTGGTTGGTAGTGACATCGTCATTTGGTTAGGTTTTAATTGGCCAAAGGTAGAATAAAATAGCTGTATGAACTTCTTTTGAATGCATAGTTCAGGCTGAATAGTTCATCAAATGCCTATCACCTCAGCTATGCGTAGTAGATGAATACGGAGTTCATTGGAAAGATTCGATGGGATACAATGAATCATCTTGAATACTTTCATTTTCTCTATTAAATGTGACAAAACGGAACTTCGGATGGTTTTCGTCTGTCCCTTTACCACGCTACGATGGGAGTTGTTCAGTACTGACACGTAGGCTAAGCTGTCTAGTAGTACGTCCAATATAACCGTCTCCACAGGAGCAGTTGACTGAATCAATAAACGTAGATGTGACAAAAATATTTTTATATTTGTCATCATCTTTGTTATTTATAGAATTATTATTTAAAACAATTAGTTCCCTTTATGAATTTAGGCAAAGCAATAAGAAGACGTAATTTGTCTGAATCGTGTGATGTATTTGCACAACACATTTTGAACAATCTGATCATACACGGACTTGTCATAGGAATATATATATATGTGAAAATAATAAAGAGTTAAGAGGTGAGAAAATAGAGTTAGGTCAAGTTAAAAGGACTTATTGAAGGTCTTAATAACCTGAAGTTTGTGGAAGCCCTAGCAATTAGAAAGTTTAAACCACTTTCATGCTTTCAAAAACAATATGTCATCACACTAAACCTACCTTCCTTGGTAAACTTTGTTTTGATGCATACCTGGGGAGATGTACTATTACCTCAGTTATTTATTTTAGTGATCTTCATTGTTATTCTAACATCTAATATATCCTTTTAACTTGACCTAAGTCTATTCTCTCACCTCTTAACTCTTTATTATTTTCACATAAATATATTTCTATGACAAGTCCGTGTGTGATCAGATTGTTCGAAATGTGTTGCGCAAATACACTACACGATTCAGACAAATAACGTCTTCTTATTGCTTTGTCTAGAATTATTATTATTATGGCTAATTGCATAAATTATATACTCAATCTTATCATTCTAATTGACAAATCACCATGTTCGGGTTATATTTAATTATAGTTATTTATTTATGTTTTTATACTTATTTGTTATATACATTGGAGATAAGCCTGATGAGATTTAATTCAAAATACAATATTATTCGTTTACATGTGTTATTCTAAATTTTTCATCAAATAACTTTATTACCCATCGAGTCATGAAGAAAAAGACAATCGAGCAAAGAAAATTTCCTTTATCAATGTAGCTCAGTGGTAAGGTGTACTTGCTTCGCTTGTGAGAGATCTCGGATCCAATCCTCATCGTCTCCATACACAAATACACACACCGAAGTGTTTATTATGTTTTGACTACTTTACATGCGCCTAATTAAGCCATTGTTTACTAGTTGAAAATGCGGTTATACATCTTATCTTTATCTCTTCTGCCTGCAAATGACTATGGAATACAAAATTTTCTCTGTGTATTTTATTTTTTTTTTAATTTTTATTTTTAGGTAATTCTAAAGCATTTCCTTCATAGACGTTCATTTATTATTTCTCAAGTTGAACAGTGGATATTAGAAATGCATAATCATGAACAATTTAAAGGAATAGAAGTTTACGTCAAAGAACTTGAGGTAGACGGGGATAATGTTTGGATTTACTGTTTTTAATGTTTGTTATTTTTGTTGTTGTTGTTGTTGTCTACTGATGAAAATATCAAGATAGTTGTATTGTATACACCAATTCAGTCAGATGACATGGGTTTACATAATCTCTGGATGTATTTGAGCATACAACATGGATATTGGCCAGGAAGTATTGAATAGATGTTTCATCCTAGTTTGGGACTCTTCATCAGAACTCACCTACTGGGTGGATTCGCGATAGAATATTACGTGATAGACAGAATTGATTGGTGAATTTTATATGACGAGGTATAAGTTATAACTGACGATCCATCGTGTTCTTTCAAGCATGTTTTCTTTTTAATCAGCCTGCCGCTGTGTTAATGTCATATGCGTCTCTTTTACTTTCTTCACTTACCACCGCTCATGACCATAGTTATAACTTTTATTCAGTCTACGGAGCTAAACGGTTACTAATAGAATTGACCCGAATTGACTTCAGTGACTTAGGGATTGACTTCTTATCACCAGGGTATATTCTCGTTGAATTAGAATATGCGGATGATCATATAGTTCTCCTAGTTAAAGACGCTGATAAAAATGCAGAGTCTTTTGAACAACTTGAACATCAATCTTCGAATGTTTGCCATGCGATGATGCTACAGGACTGGACTGACTACTTCAACTCCTAGCTAAAAGATAGGAATTGAAGTGGTTGAACATGTTAACCAATTCATTTATTTGGGAAGTTGAATCAACCCCAATGTACTGACTAATTGCTAAAGAAATTTCACTACAGATACAAAAGGATCGTATGATATTTGCCAACTTACATCATTTCAATCGTAGACTTGATATTCGGGTATCTATCAAAGGACGTGGGTATTGTGCAGCAGTTCTCTATGTCCTTCCTTACGTCTGTGGGACATGACCATTGAAAGTGGAGGACATGAAAAAGCTAGCTGTCTTTGACCATAGATGTCTGCATCCTATCTCACGTATTAAGTAGTATAACACGGTGAGGAATATTGAGGTTAAGCTTTGGTCGAGTGTTAGGTGAGGAAGGAAAGTCAATCGATGGGATTGTGAAGGTAAATCGATTCGGATGGCTAGGACATGTGTTACACACATTTCCTTCCCCGATGGTCATTGTTAGCCGACATGTGATCAACTTGGAGAAGAGCTAATGATATTCAAACCAAAGCATGGAATCATTCCATGAAATCTTTGACAATTATTTTGAGCTAGCCAAGTAGAGATGTGAGGCCTACCTGGTTGGGTGGGGTCGGTCGTCGAGATTCTAAGAACCAATGAATGAAAACTATTGGTGATATATTTGGGGACCTTTCTCAGTGGCCGAGACGTATTCACTTTCTACGATCTTTCGTATCCTCTATATTGTCATCTTTTTCTCTGTTGCTCTCCTAATCCCTCTGATTTCTTTTTACTGTAATCGTTTTGAGTGTAATTTTTTCTCTCTTTTGTGTACCTTTGTGTGATATATGTAGTGTGGCAAATTGAACTTCTGCACTTCTGTGCAAAGTTCTGTGTTGAAACCAGTCGGTCAATCAAACAGTTTTCGATTGTTTTTGTGTGTTCAGGGTCCAATCGGAGTTAGTCCTCTCACTGAAACTATCATACAAAACAGCTGACATCTATGTAGTATGAGAGTGAATATAGATTGTTACGTGTGTCTATTGTGTAAGAAACTAGTGAAAGTTTCTATTTTAGTGTCTTACCTTGTTAAGACGGAAAAGAAGTATTAGAATTTCCAACCAACCAGTCACCCAGCACTGTTTCATTTTTAAAGATGCTGATAAGATTTAAAGACCTGTGAATAATTTAAGTGACAATTCCAAATATAAACTGTTTCTTCAAAACTGATCTGCGCCAATATTCCGTAGAACAATAGAGAGTGAACTAATTTTTAGCAAGTTGAGCATTCCATTAACCAGGAAGATTTTCCTCGTTTTAATGACCGATAAAATGTGAACCAGCGTACATGCGAGTCACCTTTGCCTGCTACTGAATTGCATTACTTATGATATTGACAGATATCCCAGGTAAAGAGAAATTTCTAACATAGGACGTTGTAACTTTTCAAACCGTCACATATGTATTGCATACGAAGTACAAAATAAAAAAGGAGAAAGATAAATAAATGAACATAAGATAGCGGGAAGGGTTGCAATGTCATTGAAAATAAGACATTCAAATAAGAAAATGAATGTTTGCATTCCAGTATGATTAATCTTGTGCCATAGTAGACAACATATGCTACCTACTGACAGCTCTAAGACAAACTGTCAGTTACTTTGTAATTTGATATCACATGTCAAGCTTTCTTCTCACCTAATTGCACTTTAGTTAACATTGAATTTTAGGTTATCCCGTAGATGGTGCTATTCCACTCATCTAAGTCGGATTATGTAATTTTGGTGTTAAGAAAACCCAAATTGACTTATTACTTGTCTTGATTACCATCTGCAAAAATGTACAACTGCATAAAAGAAAATCTTGATCCATTTGTACAGTTTTGTCCGAAGTAAGCATATGACTGACTGACTGGTTTCAACATAGAGCTTTGCAAAAAAGTACACCACTTCCTCTCGCTACACTCCGTATAGCACACAAAGGAAGACGGAAGAGAAAAAACAAAGTGATTGGAAAGTACAATAATAAGCACATTCGCCACTGAGAACGATTTTGAGCTAACTGTCTCCAGCCATTGGTTCTTAACATCCCGTGGACACCAACCACTCAGTCTACAACTTACTATGTGACTAGGTCAAACCAACTGTCAAAGACTACTTCGACTCACTAACTGTCAACGATTTAATAAAGTGATTCCATGTTTTTGGTTTGATCACCACCAGCTCTTTTCCAATCTGATCCTATGACTAATAATGACCATCGGGGAAAGCGATGACTAAGCATGCGTAGCACATCTCAATCGATTCACTTTCACAACCTCATCGATTGAATTCCCCTCCTTACCTAACACTCAACGTCTAACCTCAATATTACCCATCGTATTATACCACCTAACAAGAGAGATAGAACACCCACACCTTTGATCAAAGACAGCTAGCCATTTCCTGTCTTCCACTTTCCATGACCATATCTCAGCCGTAAAAGAGGATTGAGTGAACTGGTAGGCAGTACACACGTCCTTCTATCGATACCTGGAGGTTACCTCTACACCACTGGTGAAGTAAGGTGGCAAATGCCACGCGAGCCTTTTAGAATTCGTGGTGAGGTTCATTCACCAATTAGTCAGTTCATCGGAGCCTACTCACCTCTCCAGGTGAGTGAATCGGTCAACATGTTCAGTCACTCCACTTCCTGTCTTTTAACTAGGATTTGATGTAGTTCAGTCTTGTAGCATCATCTTCCACATAGCATGTACATTTGAATGTTTCACTGACATTTTTTTTGAATTCGTCCAGCTAACCGTTCTTAACAAAATCTGAAACTGATTAATATTTTTAAACATAATAATATATCCATTGACTGGGTATTTATACATTGATTTTATCAAGAGAATCTAATTCATCCCTAGCCTTTACTGAGGCCAGAACTGTATTCCGTCTTACCTTGTGATGCAAGAACTCTACTGCCCTCTCTCCCAATAGTTCAGTAGTAAAGTGCTCACCAGCCATGCTGAAGGTCCGCATCCGACTTCCGACTGACACACTTCTAAACCCCAACTATACTACTAGCTTGTAGTAAGACCATAAAATAGGGAAGGTTAGATATGTAAGTCTAGCCCCCCCCCCCTTGTTAAAACAATACCACCCGACTGAAACTTTAAAGCTTAAAGCCCTATATTTATTTCACTGGTAAGGCGAAGGAATGCAAAAAAGATATCAACACTGTTCTTTGTTTTCGGTCTTATTATATGGTAATCGTCATGTGAAGCCTTCAGAATCAAACATTTATATCACATTACTTTAAAGTTAATGCTTCCGTCGTCCAACAAAAAATCAAGTGCAAGATTGCATTTTCAACCGTCTTTGCTGAATACCCTATTATGACCTAGTGATACCGTATTAATGGCTTCGTTTAAGTTGGTTATAATGCTCCCTGAGAACATAAAACTATAACCAATTGATCGCGGGAAATTATCGCCCACACACTGAGATAGGCACAAAAATGTCAGACTGGGAAGAATGACGACCTATGTTAAACGAAACACTTATTGAATAGCATTGATATTTCAGCTATGATAATGACAGATGCCGTTAGCCAACGACTAGCATGCGTTCAAAGTCATTGGAGCGTTCACACTCGTGGGACGCTATTGTTGAACTTCGCCTTGTTTTTAGCGCTGCACTGTTTTTTTTTAATATATACTCATTAGTGTGAATAAACAAAGTGTTCATTTAACAGTCTTATTGGTTTAGAAAACAAGCCTAACTTAGTTGTGTGTGTGTGTGTGTGTAACGAATTTCAATGCTAAGATAAAAATCATAAACTAATTGTACTTACTTTTATGTTATCTTTTGTGTGTTTTTCTCCTATAAAACAGGATTCTTTCACTATTCTGAAAAATGAATTTCAACAGCTCGAAGGACGTTTAATCAGTTGGGAAGAGAAAAAGAAATCATTGACTCAATGATTAGTTTATTATTATTATTATTCATATTACTATCATCATCACCATCAGAAATTACATTTCTACTGATTATTTTTTTAGTTTATATATATACAGTGTATATGTATATTAATTACTTCAAATTTGTACATTCATTGTCAAATCGGCATTAACTTACTGTGCCATTACCTCAAAAATTTTCGATGAATTCTTTTATTTAAATTTCAGTGTGTTGGCTTTATTTATAACAAAACGTGTCGACTTCCTTTTCTATGCATATATCTCAACCTAATATGAATGAGATCAATTGCTATCAAAAGAAAGATACATGATATATACATGTGTAATTGAATTCTATCCAAACTTCTTCCTATTCCTACTATTCCTAATATTCTAATGGTGATGACAATTTTTCTGAGTATCTTTTCAATATTTCACGTTAGTCACAGGATTCGTACTAAAAGTCTGTTGTATAGGTTCAACTTCTTTTATGTCTTTTTCCAGCTTTCCTATTTGATTTATAACAAGTTATTGATTGTTATTTTTAAAAATAAATAGAAATCGTCTGCATAGACAATGTTGTTTAAATTCATCATATGTGTATTTCGCGGGTTTTTTAAGCTTTAAAACATATCTGGTATAATGGACTGGCAAATAATAATGCTGCGACTTGGATTCGTCACT